TCGATAATAAAAAGAACAGCCAATGGCTGTATTTTCAATGGTGGGAGCATTGAATTGCAAACCAAGTCTAGGTGGTCATTACCCCCCCTGTACCTCTAATGCTTTTTTGAAGGACTACAAAAACCTGGTAAATGCAAAGTTGCAATGACCACCACATCCCTGGGAATTGATTATACTAAAGTGTATATGTGCTGGGAGCTTGAATGCTTCAATGTAGAATACGGTGGCACCAATGCATTACAAAACTGCACGTTTTGGCCTTATCATTGACACGCTGTCTGGTGAATAGCACAGCCAGTTAGCGTGCGATCCTTAAATAGAAGGTTGCTAGTTCACAACTTAGTCAAAGGGCAATGCAACCTGTCATCCTTTTGGTATCGATGAAATGAGTGGTACTTGGGAGGAAGTCAACTGTAGGTGCCCTATGGATTGACTCACTCCTGCCATACAAGGAATTTCCACCTTTACCTAATGGTTGTAAGTAGGAGATGAAGCACAACCTTGTGCACAACCTTGTGCTCATTTAAGACACATACAGTGCTCTTTACAATCCACCGCTGGATGCAATTCTCTTCACACCATGCGGGTTGTTGGGGTTTTTTTTTTTACACTTCACCATGCTGGTCAATGTGGGTTGGTAAAGGCTGGTAGCGTAGACAAGACAGCACAGAAATACGGTACAACATATTTCTCTCCAGTGCCATCTATTGCCCACCGCAAAGCCAACACTGTCGGCCAGTCGAGACCACTGCGATCACTGGCGAGATCACCAGAACTACCACAGAGGTCACTCCCAGGATCATCGGAAACAAAGGCACCAAAACCTGAATACCGGGACCACTACTCGAACACACTATTGGGCCGGCTGGGATTACCACCGAGACCGCAGAGATCACGAGGATCACTGCCGGGAACATCAGAACTACGACTAGAACCACGACTTGGATCACTGCGAGAATCACAGGGACCACCACTGCCAAATGTCCTTGTGTGGGGTTGTAATGACCATGCATTGTTATTATGGACACATGAGGCCCTTTCGAATTGATGCTTCGAAGGGCAACACTGCCAGGTTACTCCTCATACACATGGCTGAGTGCAGATATTTGCAGGGGTTATAGGAAGCCCTGCAGATTGATTCAGGGTGCGATCAATAGGAAGAGCGGATAATATCAGACTGGCCAAACTGAGTTTACTTTTCAACCAGGAAAGCCCCACCGAGTCTTAAGACTTCCTCACAGGAGGGTACTGCATTGGGGTGTTTGGGCAGTTACATTAATGAGATGTGTAAGGAAAGTGGAATACCCAGAAAACACTCATCCATGCGGGGTTACGATTTATAAAGTTCCACACAGATTCATAAAATGAATTGTGCCATCGCCAGGCCACCTCACAATCCAAGCCTATAACAACTGCTATTCCCAGGCAGTCTCCCATAAACACACTATCCAAGCTTACCCCTGCTTAAACTAAGTGCACACTACGATCCATCCTCACGATTATCCCCGACCTGACAAAACCGTGTCAGGAAATTGCTCCCATCCTGGATAGCAGCCCCAACAGGCGAGCGATTGTGCCACGATTCCCCGAGACAGTTTTACATCGGGGTTGACTCAAAAAACATCGTCGCTGACAGAAAATCCAGTAATGCACGCTTAGTTTTTTTCTTCCAAGGTCATTCAGGATATGGTCAAAATTACCACCAAAATTACCACAATGGAAAAACAAAGGTCAATATGCCGCGCATACAAAACAGTACGCAAACTGCAAAAAAACACACGCGTGTGCATGCACTGTATCGCATGGAGCACACACGCAGACCCTACACATGCTTCACCAAACGCGCAAATGCCCTCTTCGCAAATCTTGCCACAAAGAGACCATCTCTTGCCATGCATCTCAGCACGTGTCGACACAAGCCGCTGCACTGTGCAGAACCTGTCACCCCTCCAGAGAACTTTATTTTGAGGAGCGGTGGGGGGAGGAGATGAACAGGTGGTATTCTGGAAGATGCAGTTAATGTTCTGAAACTCCAATCAGATGTAATCCTTGCCACATCACAAAACCTGCAACAGATCCCTGACAGTAAACAACTCCACACATCAAATAATGGCAGGCGGACGCCAGATGCTACTCGCAGATGAACTTAAATGAACACAACACCAGGATTTGAGTGAATATACTTGAGGCTCAACAAGCAACATTCTAATTATAGGAGCATTCGACTCAGCTGGTTGCTCACCAAGTTCTGGTTGATGAAATGAGCACCTCTTTGTGAGAAGTCAACAGTGCTTGTCCTGTGGTGAGATTGGTCTCTACCATGAGCAATGTGGAATTTTCACCACTGGCTCAGAAAATTATCAACACCCCAGATTCATTGGGAGTGTGAAGAAGCTGAATTATTCGTTTGCAAAGATGAACTATAAAACCAAAATAGGTGATATTTGAAAATGTCATGAAGCTGCATATAAACAATGGTACCAACACAACTCGAATGCTCATCTAACACGATGCCACTGTGTTTGTGGTAAACCCCTCACTCAAATAGCATAAGCCACTCAAGCAGGAGAGCATTTGCATTAATAAAATTGGATCAACTGTGCTCGCTTCAACACACGCACACCACGAACACAAAGGCAGCCCCACGAGCACCAAGCTGGCACCACAAACAAACGTGGGGATCACTGGGGAGGAATAGGGTTCTCGATGCAACACTATTCCCAAGCAATGCCCCATAGGGAGGCGCCTTTGAGTGACATTTACTCGCACCTAATGCCCAGCAGATTTGCCAAAGTTATTGAACCATCTGCAGACAATGCCATGGGGAGCCAATGTGGTGAGGATGGACACAGATGGGTGGTGGGGGGTTTAATTCCAATAATGTTCACAGGATTGTGTTATGGTTTATGCTAAATAAAGCGCAAGATATTTTTTCAAAACATTGTGATCTTTATGCATCAGTTAAATATGGGCTTGCAGCTGTTTTAACCGAATTGATTCAATACACACCCATTAAAATAGTTCTCAGTTACAAGTGTTATGGTTTGTAGCACAACATATTTTAGCGTGATCTAACAAGTCTACATCGTTCCCTTAACTTCATCCGTGGCGCCAGCACCAAGTGGTCCAATCTTGCCAACAATGTCATGGGATCCTGTAAAGTCCATACTGATCACCCGGGCTGCACATTTGTTTTGAAAGTCACGTAGATGAAGCTTATTTTATCTAGTTGCTGAGGTTGAATTAGTGACAGTCAGCAGCCAGTTGACTATGTCACTAATGCACCCAACGACCCACTTATTACCCACAAACACCATCAGTGAAATCATAATTTGCGGGAATGATAAATATTCCCAATGTATTATACCAAAAAGGTCCACTGTGTGCGAGTGATTTAAAAAGCAAAAAAAAATGCACTCATTTGCTAAATAAAATATGATGGTCATTTTCATTGCCAAAGAGTTATCCATGTGCTGGGCACGGACGAATCAAAGCAGAAAACTACAGCAAAGGTTTTACGGTGTTCAGGACTATATTATTCCCAATATTAGTGCCAGTTTCAATGCCATTCACTCAATCTGGCTACACTTGGGAACCTGGCTTGAATTCTGCAATAAAAGTATTTATCAATGCTCTCTAGTGTTGAGTAGAAAGACCAAATGAAGTGACACCAGAAGTAGCCCTGTGGTGTAATTTTCTACGGTCATTTTCTTGAACCATGTCACAGTCCGCCAACTCAGAATATGTATTCACATTGACACGCAATAATCCGACTTTTAATTTATCCATAAAGCATTCCTGAATTTAAAGATCCTTTTTTAAGATCTTACTTGGCCATTTTCTGCTTGGATATATTTGTAAATATAAGGAACCACGCGACCAGAGATATGCACGCTTGAGGAAATAACACTTAAAATAACTGTAAGGATAATTTGATAACCTATTTGCTGTATCGACGTTTATTTGACAGATAATATATGACATGATTCCAATATAATTAATAACAAATAATAATTTACATTACTTTGTCAACCCACTGCTGGATCAAGGGTTCCCCATACACTTTGGTCATGGGAGTTGTTTGACCAGGACCAGGGCTGGCTCAAACATCACTTGCTACTGATGCTGGCAGTGACCAGGAGTCACACTTAGGTGGCCAGGTTAATGGTACACTGAGCTAACGAATGTGTCACCCTTTCCCCTACTCCATGACACAACTATGATGTCATTAGGGATTATTAAAAAAATACTTAATGGTGATTTAAATCCCAGTCGTAGCAACTCCATAAAGACATAACCATTATGAGCCTTAGGCACTAGGCCATGAATAGCAAGGGCATACTGTGACTTTGATCCAAGATTTAAAAACAACACTACAATTGTAGCGACATAAATGATGTCACTATAGTGTAGCGACAGTACCGAGTGAGTGGTACTGTTTGTGCGGAGCCTCTCTCTAGCACCAGAGGGAGTATACCATAGAAGAGGTTGGGTGAGGAGGACATAACAGTCTGGGTGAGCCCGAGGGGGCACGTGGCCGGATGAGGTGGTAACGAGGACCAGAGATGAGGTGAGAGGGACACGTTATGTAGGCCCTGAATCGTCGAGAAGGATCTGGAAAAGGGGCGTGGTCAAGGGCGGGGCCTGGCCACGCCGCAGCGGATAAAAGTCGAGTCCCGGCGGTGATGGTGGTGGTTCATCTCTGGGAAGAAATCCTCCGTCTTCGTGGGTCCTGGGTCTCCGGTCTTCACGCACGTGGACCAGGCAGCGTGTTGGTTGTCCTGGTCCGATTGAGTAGTTATCCCGTCCAGTATGTATATAGTTACTCGTGGTCACCACCCTTAGTCGTTATCCAGTTAAGTAGAGAGTTACCTGTTGGAACTAGTGAATAGACGTGTTGCCTCCAAGATCAAGTGTGCGCCTCAATTGAACCCACGACACAATTCCAAGACCATGCATCACAATGGCTATGCTGTGAGCAGGCAATGCAGAGAACTCACCAGGTAGAGCGTGAAGGGGAAGCAGAGCAGGAAGAGCCACACGTAGAGGTGGAAAGCATTTGAGAATTTGCTCTGATGCGGGTCAAAGCACCAGCCCCCAGTCAGGGATGCCCAGAGGCCCTGGCGGAGAAACTGCAGCGCCTGGGAGCCCATGTCTTGTTCTTCTCTTCTTCAATCTCCTCTCGAGTCTGATAGGAAGATGGACAGTGTCACCATTACTTTCACTGCACCTTTACTTTCAAAACCGTAATAAAAACTAGAAACTATTTTTTATTTTACCAGGTAAAAGTGACCTGACCACAATTGACAGCTCAACAAAGTGGCTTATCATGTGGACATGTATAGCAGCCATATACTCTAACTACGTGTTTCTAAATGGGGAGGGAAACATCTGAATACACAGAGAAAAATCCACACGACCACAGGGAGAACATGCAAACTCCAAATATAGAGGCGTCAGGGTCAGGCTCAGGCTCAAACCCACGACCTCCTTTATACCAGGCGAGGTAGTTAACATCTCGCCACCATATACAAACACATTGGCCACAATTTGACTCTTCAGTTTGGTGGCCTAAAGAAAGGCTGCCTGCATCATAAATGCAGTGTGGTGATGTGACATGACATGCAAGGCATTAAGGAAGGAAGGATCTTATGGTCACAATCACACCTCTTTAGATGACCTAGCGTGTATATTATTACCCTGATACAAACCTTTGTTCATTTTATTATGCAACAATCCACCAAGATGGTGCAATAATGCATTTTGTGGACTGTTGCTATCCTGAGATGTTCGAGCCCATGGTGGTGTTGTTTTAGGATGGCTCTTGACCATCACAGCAGGCAACCCAGCAGCGTTTGTTCAACATTCCACAATCAGTTCATGAGCCTCAGCGAAATAAAAGGCAATCCAGAGTTTAATAATTTTAACAAATATTGCTGGAATATACTGGTCCAGTGGTGCTTCGATGTTATTTTTTTAAGTTTGGGGTGGAAGTGTCTTGTTTGCCTATTTTCTATCACTTTTCTGATGTTGCGAGCCTCTATTAATTCTGCCATTTAAGATGTTGTGTATTTCCCTATCTGTGCTTTTAACTTAATCAGCGGTGTTTTCCTGCTTGCATCTATTAACGTGCTGTCATTTGAGGGTCATAAAAAGCTTCACCATCTGTACCAATGTCCTTTTTTTGCAATCACCTGTATATTTATATAATCCACTGCCAGATGAGGGCCTCTCCACACCTTGCATGGCAAAAAGGAATGTGACCATACTTCACCACGCGGGTCAGTGCGGGTTGAATGAAAGTCGAGGGGAGATTTGAATGACAATGGATTTCACTACGTTGCCCCCTATTGTCCAAAACGCCCATCACGCCTGTATTTTGACCAATAGCCACCAATCCAAACACTATCCAAGCACAATCCTACTTAGCTTCCGATATCTGACAAGATCGGACGCATTGCGGGTGATCTGGTCATAGGCAAGCATCTATTAATGTGCTGTAATTTAAGGATGATGTAGAGTAGAACTACGATTCCAAAACTGGCCACTCTCTTAACCACTTCTCACTGTGATGCAACCACCTATTATTGTACAGAACGCCAAGGCGACTTCTATGCCACTCCCTTATACCACCCAATTGTTGTACAGTCTGCGATCACCTATTACAGTACAGTACTGTCCACTCTCGGTATTTTAAGAACTGGTTTTACCCTTTCTGGCAATACAAAAATGTGTTAAGATGTTAAAACACCAAACAGAAACCTTTTGCAAGTTATCAGCCACACACGCTTGTGACGAGCATGCAGACAAACATGCTCTGATAATATATGCGTTGTCTTTGAAACTGTTCGCCTTTTTGGTATTATCTGGTCTGACACTGGTGAGACTTGGCCCTAAAGAAGGCTGTCTCTGGTGTAAGGCCACTCGGTTTCAAAGACAATGCATCAAATATGATTATCAGAGCGTGTGTGTTTGCATGCTCACCACAAGTACGTGTGTGGTTAACGCAGACTCGAATCATCTGGTAATCGAACATCTTAAAACCTGTTTTTTTTTGCCAGTGAAGGTAAAACCAATTCTCATATTTTGATACTGCCAAGTAGGGTCCCATGATCGAGGTATTTTGTTCCGAGATCCCACTCACCACATTCTTTCAACCTTCCACGGCTTTGTGCAACACTCCGGGGTACCGTCGTAATTCAAGACGCGGGTATTACATTTCTCCGCATACACCCTCGATGTACACGCATCTTGCGGGCACATACTAACGTAGAGCTCCGTCGACAAGAGTTCGTCCCCCCGGCGATGTCAGTGTCTGTGCCGACTGGGGATCAATTTGTCTGCTGTGATGAAGACAGTGAGACGATGATGATCACGATGGTGACAGCGAGTACGGTGGTGGTGGTGGTGGCAATGGTCGTATCAACAATTACTAAAAGGCGGAGGAGAGTAATGACGGTGATGATGGTGATACACTCACGATGACAATGATGACAATGACACCGATAGCCATCATCACGATCGTGATGATGATGGTGGTGATGATGGTGATGATGATGGTAATGATGGTGGTGGTGGTGACCATGGTCGTATCAACGACGATTACTAAAAGGCGGAGGAGAGTAATGACGGTGATGATGGTGATACACTCACGATGACAATGATGACGATGACACCGATAGCCATCATCACGATCGTGATGATGATGGTGGTGATGATGGTGATGATGATGGTAATGATGGTGGTGGTGGTGGTGGTGACCATGGTCGTATCAACGACGATTACTAAAAGGCGGAGGAGAGTAATGACGGTGATGATGATAAACTCACGATGACAATGATGACGATGACACCGATAGCCATCATCACGATCGTGATGATGATGGTGGTGATGATGGTGATGATGATGGTAATGATGGTGGTGGTGGTGACCATGGTCGTATCAACGACGATTACTAAAAGGCGGAGGAGAGTAATGACGGTGATGATGGTGATACACTCACGATGACAATGATGACGATGACACCGATAGCCATCATCACGATCGTGATGATGATGGTGGTGATGATGGTGATGATGATGGTAATGATGGTGGTGGTGGTGGTGGTGACCATGGTCGTATCAACGACGATTACTAAAAGGCGGAGGAGAGTAATGACGGTGATGATGATAAACTCACGATGACAATGATGACGATGACACCGATAGCCATCATCACGATCGTGATGATGGTGGTGGTGGTGACGATGATGTTAACCGAGATGCTAAAACCCACGACGCAAACCACGCGTCCGCCAAACCCCACCACGGCAGCCCAACGCATTTGTTGTTGTTGTTGTCAGTCTGAGGCGACCTTAGAGGATGTCCCCAAGTCCCCTGTCTGTCTGCCAGCGAGAGAGAGAGAGAGAGACACTCACCCAAGCGACCGCCGAGAGCGGTGGAGGAGGAGGAGGAGGTTGACACCAACACACCTCCTGGGCCCTGAAGAAACCCACTCTCTCTTCGCTGCCAAAGCAGCCGCTGCCTGGCGGGTACGACTCTCAAGCAGGGCTCGAGACGACGAAGAGGAAGAGGAGAAGGAGAAGGGAGAAGGAAGGAGGAGGAGAGGGAAGCGGGGCCCCGAGTTAGAGGCGGGCTCCCGTTTCTTCGGCTCCCCCGGCCGCTAACGCCGCCGCCGCCGCCGCCATGGAGCAGAGCGATCGCCTCCTGTTCGCTTGTGGTGCTGGCGACGTCACGACGGTGGCCGGAGGGGGGAGGGGAAGACGAGTCTATGACGTGCGCCGGGTTTTACAAACGCGAACGGCCATGATGGTTAGTTCAAAGAAGGGCCCCGTGCAATTGTGTGTGTTGTGGAGCCGCGGTTGAACTTAATGTGTCACTCGAAAGGGACGGTTCCCGAAACGTCGGCTGTTATTTATTTATGAATTCCTCCTCCCCCCCCCCCACGTTTTTTCCAGTGCTATGGATGAACGTGTTGATTTGTTTCTTATTTCATACCTGTCAACTCCTTATCAGTGCCCTTTCTTATTACAGACCAATTGAGACCCACTGTGCCCTTATACATCTCAAAGTTCATCCTACACAGTTCCATCACAAGGCAGAAACAGAACCAAATAAACAAAAACAATGTTTTGCTCGTATTGAAGCGGCTGTACGCCGTATGGAATTGAAATCTCTATTTCCCTGTACAGTAATACGGGTAACCCCTATGGGTTTACAGGTATATATGTTATTTGTGTTTGTGCACCACTGCTAACGCAGCATAACCACCACCAAACATTATGTGTGTGTTGTTTAGTTCAACTTGCTCATCGTATATGGGGCCGTCCATAAATGACGTCACGCGATTTTGGACTATTTTTGACCCCCCCCCCCCCTTCGTCACACGGCGTCACAAACAGTCAGACCCCCCTTCAAATGTGACGTCACAAAGCTCTGCCCCCCCCCCCCCCCCCCAAATTAAAACATGCTTCAAATCGCTTTAAACTATTGTCATTGTAGTGCATATTTAATGTGGCGCTGCACTCTGATGTTGTAAAAAAACATTTATTAAAAAGTCTAATTAAGTAGAACGTATTGTCTATATCACATTTCTCAACCCCCCCCCCCCCTCGTCACACATCGTCACAAATGTCTGACCCCCCCCCCCTAGGTGCGTGACGTCATTTATGGACGGCCCCTATGAGCCAAGGCCTTTGTTGAACCAATGGTGCCGAGGTTCTGCGCCCCCATGGCACAGCGTGGCCGATGTGTTTCACAGCAAATGTGGTGGTGCCACGACCCCGCCCTGAACACGCACACACGCAGGGTCCCGGTGGGGGGTCGCCTGGCACCATGGGGTTTCATCCCAAGGGCCCCTAGCGGGGGTGTGCAACGGTTTCCCGGTGCCAGGAGATGGTCCGACAGCGCCCCCCCCCCCCAAATTACATTGTGGCCCCCCTTAAATTGGCTTAACATTTAAATTTCGAAATTCCTCTTGATATGCAAATTATTTTGTCAAGACGCTCTTCGCCCCTCCATCCCAGCATAAATAGTCGCTCCAAGTCTGGGGCATGCCATTCAGACTCTGTCTACTTGACAGACCTTTTCTCCACCTGAGGACGGCTGCTTGCGTTTTGGCCGAAACGTCGCGAGAATTATTTTATTATGTTTTATTTTTAATTATTTTATTATTTTCCTTCTACGTGACTTTACCGAAAGAACCAAGAAGATGGCTTAACATTGTCTGGGCGCACAGAAGCTCACCGGGCTAACCGTATGAGACGCTCACAGCACGGGTGAGGGGCCAGGGGGGAAATATTAAGAACCAAAGAGTATGGATTCCTGCAGTCACTAAACCTTCAAATCAATATTGAACCGCCTCTACGGGGAGGGTTTCTACACAACAGTTAGATCTTTTAACAGACTGCGAGACAAGAAGGCTCACTTGATTGAGTTTCTCAACTTTCTGAAGATATGCCGCAACACCAAGGTAATACCGATCGCACATCTGCTGCTGTCACTTCTCCTCCCAATTTCCGACAGCCTAAAATCGGTCTTTGCTAAAGGGTTGAATTTCTTATATAAACTCTTGTTGCAGCAGCTATTTCTCCTACGTCAGCAGTCCTCCTGCTGTTTTTGTTTCACACCTGATGACGGCTGCTTGTGTTGCGATCGAAACGTCGTGATCTATTCGTTTTCTATCTACGTGACTTTATCAAAAAAAACAAAGAGTATGGATCCCTGCAGTCACGAAAGCTTAAAATCAAGACTAAATTTGACACAAGGCATCATTTATACCATTGGAACCTCATTTGCCAGTAAAAAATATGATAATAGTTTTTTTACCCTTCTATCTGGCAGCAAAACTGACACCTTTGTTGCCAGATAGAAGGGTAAAAAAACTATTATCATATTTTTTACTGGCAAATGAGGTTCCAATTGTGTAAATGCTTACCCCGAGCTCTCATACTCTGATGGTGCATTGTCTTTGAGTTGTGCGCCTTTTGGCGTCATCTGGTCCAACCCATGTGAGACTAAGCTCTAAGGAAAGCTGTCTCGGTTGTGGACCAATCAACTTCAAGGACAGTGCATACATTATCAGAGTTATGTTTTTTGTTTGCATTAGGACTGCAGGTATTGTGGTCTATGCAAACATGACTCCTTGTAAAAAAAGGTGTCAGTTTTGTTGCCAGATAGAAGGGTAAAAAAACAATTATCACAAGGCATCATGTCTGCATTAACCACACATACTTGTGATGAAACATTAAAATATATACTTTGATAATTATCAAATGTACTGTATTATAATACAGTAAAGTCTATGCATTGTCCTTATAACTGGTTGACCCACAAATTATATTATTAAACCATATCTGTTCGCATGTTTTACCACAAGAATGTGTGGTTAATGCAAACTCGATGCCTTGCAATAGGCATCTCAGAATCAGAATATGTATTTATCCTGGAGAAATCCGATGAGCTATGAAGCAATTTTTTTTGCTACAGATGTCCAGTGGGGCGGGTCAGAACGTTATTTAGATTATTTCGATTATTTGGCTGCTATAAATGTTCACATCATAAGCCACTTTGTTGAGCTATCATTTGTGGACAGGTTGCTTCTGATAAAACACATTCCTGCGGAGGGAGCTGGTAGGAACGTTGGGTTGCTCGGTCAATGGCCAGGGTCAACGGCGGCGTGGTGTATTCCGCAAATATGCCCGACTGTGAGGGCGCGCACAAGCCGGCGTGAGTAGGTTAAACGTTGAGTTTTATAAGGGCACCACGGGGTGACCAGCCCCTCCCCACCCGGCCCCACCTCCCCACCCAGCCCCTCCCCACCCTTCCCTCTCCACCCAGCCCCACCTCTCCCATTTTTGGATGCACGACGGACACCATAATCCCCTGTGGGCTGGTGTAACCAGGAGGTTCCTTCCAGTATAAGTTTTGTAATACCTCAGTGGGCTTTGTCTGGTAGGACGGGGATGTTTTAGTTTCATTTGCATGTTTTTGGGTAATTTGTTTGCTTTTCCTGTACTTTGCACTATTGTCGTGGTTTTTTCACTGTTTGTTGTTGTAACGATCTTACCCGCCCCTTCTGGACATCTGTGAAAAAGAGCTTCATTGCTCATCGGATTCCTCCAGAATAAATACAGATTCTGATAACAAAGTGTAGGAAAGCTAGGGTGTTTATACACATCTTAACACCTGATGTAAAGCTTTCGTGACTGCAGGGATTCATATGCTTGGTTATTTCGGTAAAGTCACGTAGAAGGGAAATAATAAAATAATACAAAAATAAAACAATAAAAATTCTCACGACGTTTCGACTGCAACACAAGCAATCATCATCAGGTGTGAAATCCACAGCAAGAATTTTTTTTTAAAAGTGTCGGTTTTTCCTAACATCAGCACCACAGACAGCGATTGCTTGTGTTGCAGTCGAAACGTCGTGAAAATTGTTATTGTTTTATTTTTGTATTATTTTATTATTTCTCTTCTACGTGACTTTACCGAAAGAACCAAGAATATCTGAACACCCGCTGTATTATTGCCGGAAATAGTACATCACCTTTATTTTATCATCATATCGTAAATTCTAATGACTCTAACCCGGGACATTGCCCGGGCACGTGTCGTCCGCGAAAGACGCGCTGGCGTTTTAGCGCATCTTCCTATTCCGGAAGACGCTACCGCCCCTGCTTGTATTCGACCTTCTACCTCTTCCGGAAGACGACCTGCCGTCATCGCCCCTCCCCCCCGGTGGGGGTCTGTCGATCACGCGCATGCGCAGCGCGCGCCGCGTGTGTGGTGGTGGTCGTAGTTGGTGGTGGTGGTGTTGGTGGTTGTTAGTGGTGGTGTTTGTGGTGGTTGTTAGTGGTGTTAGTTCGTAATGGCGAGCAAGGCGCTCGGTCGTGGAGCCGTGGCGCTGAGCCGGCTACAGGTGAGAGATGTTCCTGGAGATGTTTCCGTGAAATGCGTCGGAGCCGGTCCACGTGCAAGCGATGCCTCAGAGGTCGTGACCCCGCACTGTACTGCCGCATGGTGTTTGTGTATGCAGTACAGTGTATACAGTGCAGTACTGTACACACACGTGGGTGGATCTGTGGCTCCACAGCTGGATGAGGGCCTCCTGACGCCGTGCGGGTCGTGGCAGGTGCCGTAAACCTCTGTGACGATACTGAGTTGTACTGTACTCTGCTCGCCGCCTTCAACCCACGATGACGAACTTGGTGAATCTTCTTGGTTCTGTCGGTAAAGTCACGTAGAATGAAAATAATAAAATAATAAAAATTAAACAATAAAACTCATTCAGACGCTGTCTTCTCGACAGACCTGTTCTACACCTGAGGACGGCTGCTTGCGTTGTGGCCGAAACGTCGGGAGAAATATTTTATTATTTCCATTCTACGTGACTTTACCGACAGAACCAAGAAGATGAATCCCTGCAGTCACGGAAGCTTTAAATCGAAATTGAACTTGGTGAAGTATGGTCACATAACCCCTACGGGAAGGCCCTCAAACAGTGTCTGGACAAACAAAACAACCCGCCGTGCATGTGTGTTATTGCGTATCGCATTGCTATGATGTGCGGTCACGTCGTGTGTCTGTGACATTATCAATGCGATGTTCAGCTGACCCAATGTGCCCTGTTGGTGGCAGCCGTGGCTCGAGTTCACGGCGATGCAATGCGCTGTTGATCCATAGTTGTTGAACGGCGTCTTCCAGACGTGAGTGTGAATCCCAGTGAGGGGGGAGGTAATTTCAGCCCATCCATCATCTCTCTCTCTCTCTGGGGTGGATAAAATGAGTAGTCCCGAGCCTCTGACGCGCGTCGTCGATTAGATGCGCAAATTATGGACGCGTTATACATATGACTCATGGTTAGTGTCACTTGATGAAAATCCAACAATGGTTGTCTTACGGAATGGTCTTACGGGATGTGACATTTCTGGATTAGTGCCATCAGAATAAATGTCTCTGGCGTGCTTGAGTAGAGACCCTTTGACCTTTGAGCACGGCGTCATGCTGCGTCCCATTGTTCACTGTCTGCAAAGCTGATCCGCGGTGTGTCCTCCGCGTGTATCCTCCACGTGTGCAGCAGGTAGTGCGGACATGTGTGGCTCACACGGCGCTGTCTCCTGCACCTGGGTGAGTTTCCCCAGGGAACCAACCTGTGGGTCTTTCCTACTTCACGGGGGTGGGTAAGGGGGAGTGTTGTGCGTGCTCTCAATCACCCACTCATCCAAATAACCACTTGGAGTGGGTGGGTGAGAGCCTGAGTAGGTAAGTAATTTGGTATCTGGGTGAATAGTTCAGAGACTAAAATGGTCGGTGGGTTGGTGGTGGTTGGGTAGATGGGTTGGTGACATGTTGAGTTGGTGAGTAAACTGAGCAATTGATTTTGAAGGTGGGAATTTTAGTTGGTGACCAAGTAAGTTACTAAGACTGTGGCTCAGTGGTTGGTTGGGTAAGCAGTAACGGAGTGAGTTAATGCTTGGGTGGGTGAGTGGGAGAATGGGTAAGTAAGTAAGTGGAAGAGGAAATGAGTAAGTGGATGCTAATTTGATTAAATGGATACATTGCTAAGTAAACGTGTGAATGGATAGGTAGTTTTGTGAGGGATTTTAGTGATAAGGTGAGTGAGCTGGTAAACGATTGAATATTTTGAGCGTGTGGTTTAGTAAGTGATTGAGTGAATGTAGTAGCCATTGAGCAGTTAAGTGGTCGAGTGAATGAGTGATTTAATGGTTGTGTGGTTGAGCCATGGAGTGACTGAATGCATAAGTGAGTGGTTGACTGAGGGAGTGCTTCAGTGGATTGGTGATCGGTTGGGTGAGTGAGCGAGTTCTTTGTTGTCTTGTCTCTAGCTCCCAGGTATCGGCACCGCTGGGGTTCTCGTTGGGAACAGCCCGCACTCTGTCTAGTGCAACATCCCTGGTAAGCCATACCGTACACATCCACATGCATTTCTAGTCACATATAAAGATCCCCCGTATAGCCTTAACAGACTGTAGGGGCAAGTGCTGTTAGCGAGCACCTATGAAGGCCGGAACGGTACACGAACGAGGGGGTGGGTGGCCAGCACCATGCCCGACCGCCTTTGTCTCCCCAGTGGTGATGTTTACACACCGCACCAGGTACTCATTTAAGGCTGAGTCGACCTGAGTCGACTAGTCACATATACGCACACCTACACACGCAAAAAATTCCCCTAATAGCAAACATGGCTGTTGGGGCACCTATTAAGACCCGCACACCACACGAGGAGGTGGTGTGGCCAGCGCCACACCTAATTAATAATTGATGCATTGTGTTGGGCGCATAATAAGCATGGTATCATACTCGTAGGTGCACGTATCGGAGGAGCCGGACGTGCTGTACAAGCGGCTCATCGTGCGGGTCAAGGCTCACGAGCGCCCACTGCTCGACAGCTACGAGTTCTTCATCACACGCACGGCACAGTTCCTCAACATCCCGATCCACACTGTGTACGTGGGGGCGGGGACACTGGCTGGATGCACTCACCCTGCACTCATCCACGTCACCTATTATGCTTACTTAACTAACCTAAGCAAACACTAATTCCTTAACTTTTCATCATATAACCCCCTACTCACCTAAATGACATTCTCGACGACCAATTAATTCACCCATCCACATAACCACTTCCCTAACTCTTCTACTAAAACACGAATGAAATAACTTATCCGCTAATAACTGCTTACTCCCCCAATGTGCTAACACGGTCATTGATTAATTTGATCACCCATCTATTATTTCACTTAAACATTCAACCACTAGTCTACAACTCAAGTAGTACGAATTACTGACTCGGTACTTCGTGTTGAATGCTGCTTTGATGTGTCTTGCTGCCACTGGCTGCAGCCGTTGACTGTTGCTACTGTTGCCGTGCACCACAGCTATGAGCCGCGCCGCAAGATCGAGCGCCTCACCGTACTCAAGTCGGTTCACATCTATAAGAAGCACCGCGTGCAGTACGAGATGCGCACGCATTTCCGCGTCATAGAGGTACGCAGGGCTCACAGCCACGTGGCGCTACACTACCGTGCCGTGTGTCCTCAAAATACTGGGCAAATCACCTGTGGTGTGCCCCAATATATATATACTTTTACTCCACAAACTTCATTCTTTCAAAGAAGACCATACTTAGGTTTTCACGACGAATAATGTCATTCTTAATTCGTGTTTTGGGTTAGATCATGTCGGTATAATATAAATTAGAGCTACGCATTCCTCCACCGCCCAACATATTCAAACAAATTGAACTGTGACTTGGACAAACGTGCCAATCGAGTTTGTTTTCCATCATAACCGGTGGAGGGTAAGCGCACCAGACTACGACGACATGAGATGCTTTCAACAGCTCTGGGACGGGCGCTGCATGCGTATCGAGCAGGGAACCACTGGACTTGTCCAATGGAATGTCAGCAGCCATGATGTGACCACAGTCCATTACAGATGCAACAACTGCACGGGCAAGCCAGCTCTTGTCCTTCCAGGATCGGCCTGTTTATTCCTAACTGGAAACATACACGTAATTTATATTCTCCCAATGAGTGAAAGCTGAAAACCTGTTTTCTTCCGCTGATGAAAGGATGCTCTTTGGATTTCATTGTTTTGGTGTTGACGCTGGTGGTAATGATGATGATGGTGACATTGGTGATGATGGGAATACTGCCGATGTTAGGAATTGTAATGATGGTGATGATGTAATTGGTCTGTTGTTGGCGTAGTGATGGTTGCGTTATTTTAACCACATTTCTATTTTTTTTTCAGCTTAAGTACCTGACTGGTAGCACGGCTAATGTGTACCTGGAGTACATCCAGAGGAACCTGCCAGAGGGAGTGGCCATGGAGGTCACACGGGTCAGTCAGCGGACAACTCGCACACATGTTTAACCTCAGGAGATAATTTATGGCCCCTGTGTTTGCAGGGAATGTAGACTCACGGGCTGAAAATACTGTCATATATACAAAAGCCTTAGGGAATCTCAATATAACATCCTAGCAGGAACATCCTGAAAAAATTGAGACTTGGCAAGTTTGTTCTTCGTTTTGGGAGAAGTGAAATCTGTTACTATTATTATGATCAGTGTCATCACTGCGTTATAATTGTATGCAATCTTAAGCTAATGTTTTTAGCACTGGCCCTTTAGGATAGATGGGCAGAATGTTGATTTATATAGTTGAAGGCAGCATTTTCAAATGTGATGACCCACAAATACCTAAATTTGTAAACACAGTTGCTTCATCAATTGTATTACATTAGTGGGAATTAAAAACCTGATGTGTTGGTGGAGGGATATTTAAGCCTTGTGGATCACTGTTTTTATTTGCTCTGCCAAGGTGAGCAAATCTACGAGGCTAAGCTGGCCTGCCACCAACAAGTGATCGCACTTTATGAACTTATTTTTTTAAAATGCATACCGAGTCAATGGTTAAATCCTGCTACACAAACGTTAAAGTACCTATGCTCAAACGAGCAGTGGGACAGCACTGTCTGCTTTGGCAGCTATAAGCCAACTGTGGAAATTACAAATTCAATTATTTTTTTTCCGTGACAGTAGTCATTCTCTCCACAGTACTACCGCTGTTGACTTCCAAAAGTGGTGCTCATTTTATCAATTGCAGAGAGATGATGGGCCAAGTCGACCTACTACCAGGATTTGTAATCGCGACCTTCTGATTACCATTTGAACGCTCTAACCGCTGAGCTACAGCCGTACATGGAAACGAGTGCTATTCCATTTCCCTGCTCTTACAGGGAGACACTGACACAACTCGAATTATTATAAAGTCCTCCTTTCTCGTTGTGTCACGTGTTTGTGCAGCACACGATTGAGCAGATCCCGGAGCACATCGCCAACCCCGAGTGGAAAAAAGGAGCGCAGCAAGAAGGCGCCAAACCTGAACTCCCGTCGTGAAGACCCCCGACCCAGCCAAGTCCTCTCCCGCCTCATCCCTCCTGCACACGAGGGGTCTTTTTACAAGAATCACCGACTGCTCAATCCGCTAAAGCATGAGCCATTCACGCGGCGATTATTGCAGAGAGATACGGGGAAAACCAAGTACAGGCTCGGCACACTCTCTGATGTACTGAGAGTAAAATGTAATGCGTTACTTGTTATTGTTGTTGGATTACCACAGGTAGCAGTGATCCTATATTGTTACTTTGTGGTTAACACAAACCAAAAGTTGTATTCATATACTGGGTCAGAATTGCCTCTACCACCATTCCCCTGAGGTCAATAAATACCCTTTTTGTGGGAAGTTGTGGTTGCCCTCCATACATACTGGCCCCTACAATGGGAATGTGAAATTTATAAATGTATCACCCACCTTAATCGCTGATAAAAACCCAATTTATCTGGCTGGTCATGTACAAAGCGCTCATAAAGTGGCCGTTGGAGCATTTGAAGTCCGCAATGTTGAAACTTCTATTAAAATCCCAGGCACATCCACCTTCTGTTGTGGGTCCTGTGATGTAAAACTCAATCGCACCTCTAAATATGCATTGTTTTCAGAAATACATTTATATTCAAATCTGCAATTTGACCTCGTACAGAGTGTTTCTTTCACTCAGAGTAGACATGTTTTAAAAGAAACGTTCTAACGAGATTTTAGGTTTTTATTAATTTCTAGATTTGAAGCTTTCGTGACTGCAAGGATTCATATTGTTAGGTTTTATTTTTAATGCACTAATGCAACGTATACATAATTGACTTTTCCAGAAGTATTTTATTGACAGGAATAAAACGGTAAGGTACAGCATATGGTCAGACAAAGTGGGATGGGGGAACAGGATGGGTAAAGTATAATGGACTATGCATGTTGAACTCTTTCACACCGTACGTAGCCAACTGCTCATCGGAGGTACGGTAGCAAACTTCAGGTGTTATGAACCTTGGGAATGCATTTGTGTGAGCTGCAACTAACATCATGACAAGGATAAGAAACGAAGACACAAACAAATTAAACAATAAAATGTTCATAAAGAAAATTTACACGAACGTGTGGATCAATAAATAAAAAAAAACTGTTAAATGGCTAAATGTAAAAATGGTATCAAGTGTAACACTTCCGACAGCTAGTTTTTGGATAAAAATGAATGGTCCGCTGGCAAGAACACCCAACAATACGGTCATCGAATATTGAATTACTAGACCGTTACGAGCGACTTATCCGTGGGAGTTGTGAGGTCCACAAACTATCTTCGTCCCTTTCCTGCCTTAGTGGTTTTCCTTGCAGATAAGTGGAGTCAAGTCAGCAATATTAGCATAACACCACGGAGAGTAGGATTCTTGATAATGTTTCAGTACATGACCACGGTTAAGAGGAGTTTTGTATACAGGCAGTCCTCGGCATAGGAACACCAGAGTTTCGAGCATCCGCACTTCCATGAAATATATTTTTAACATCGGCTTTCGATCGCAAACTCGCACTTGCGAACTGCATGGTGAACTTATGTTCAGAGGAGCGAACCTCTGCAAGATGTCATGAGTCGCGGCCTCCCGCTGGGCTTGAGTGCTTTTGTGCGTTCTTGCCCCCGCTCACGGCCTACACCTGTGACGATTATCTGCACTGGTCCTGGGCCACCCCTAAGTCGACTCAGCCGCAAATGATTACCTGGTGTGGTGTGTAAATATTACCACGGGGGAGACCAAGACGGCCGAACGTGGTATTGGCCACCCACCCCCTCGTGTACGGTGCCGGCCTTCATAGGCGCTGATCGCTAACAGCAATTGCCCCAACAGTCTGTTAAGGCTATACGGGGGATATTTATCTTTGTGGAGACTCATTACGCCCAGGGTTACAAGCAAGCCAGCATCAGAATTAAGTATTACATGCAAAAATAAATATTCGTTATGGGTTTAACAATGCTTCTCTTTGTTTAACCGCAGCACATTTTATAACAGACTGTATGCATTTAAATACAGCACATTCCGATTTACAAACTGATCGACTTACGAACATATATCTTGAACGAGACTGGTTCGTAAGTCGATGACTGCCCGTATTGTGTTTTGAGTTATTACGTGGGGTTTTGTTGAACGTGGACCCATATCTAACAGAGGGGTCCTTATAAACATCTTGCAGTTCACAATCATTGCTTCAAGCAAGCCTGACTAATGATGAGACACTTAATGTGGAAACGGTGCAAAGTTTTGATTGTGTTGAACCAATGCTGTTAAATATGCACTCCCATGAGGCCATGTGGTTGATGGAATGTGTAAGCTAAATGTGTTAAAGGACACAATGGAAGGAGGCATATTGTCGACGCTGACGCCAATGATTGTGTTGTCGTCAGCTGTCTTGAGGAATCTGATGAGCTATGAAGCTCTTTTAAAATCCTTTATATTAAGTTCACTTGCTTGCGCGCTTACGACCGTGCAAATCTTTCGGTCGTTTTTTAACCCACTTCCCGTGATCCAATCGAGCTGACATTTTGCACACAGACTCGTTGTGCATGACAATTTATTTTCGTGAAAAAAATACAAAAATTTCCACTTTTTAGGAAAACAAATTTTCACTAACACAATCATATATTTTTCCTAAACACAGAAAATTATTCAAGAAAACAACAAAAATGTACAATATAAAAAAATCATACAAAAACTGAAAACCTTATAATCCTTATATACGACTTTCCTTATATTTAATTTAAAATACCAATGTGATAAAAATGAAACTCTTACTCAAGAAAAACAGAAATGAATAATAAAATAAAACCGATGCCACGCATATAAAGGATTTATAGTGAAAAACTTTGTTTTTACGGGTAAATTTTTTCACATGTCCAGTTGTAATGTCTCGTGGGTGCGAATCCACGTGGTCCGACTACACGGAGTCACCAGCTGCTGCCTTGGGATTGAGAAATCCTTGACCTGGGTTCGAGTCCGTGTTGAATCACTGGCGCGCTATCCGCTGCCTTTTTATCTGAAAGGCGAGAGACCGCGTGAGACAGGCGTGAGGTGTGAGAGGAGTAGGCGTGAGGACGGGATGAGTACATGAGATGAGACAAGTGTGGGAGTGGGGTGAGAGAGGTGAGGGAGAAGGGTTAGAGGTACTTGAGAAGGGAGAGGCTTGTGCGTGAGAGGAGTGAAACATACTCTTAGGTTTTTTCGGTAAAGTCACGTAGGTAAAAATTAAAATTAATAGAAGTAATAATAGAAATAAAATTATAAATCACGACGTTTCGGAGGCAACACAAGTTTCCGTCATCAGGTGGGACCGTCACAGCTAAATTTACTGCATCAAGTGAGGCAAAATTCCAAGAGACCAGCCCTTAAATACAAGTTAAGGGGGGAGGGGCTTATCTGAATGTGGTAACCAGGGAATGGAACGTGGGGGTGGTGGGCGGGGCTTATATTATTTCTATTCTATTCATTTAAATTTTTACCTACGTGACTTTACCGAAAAAACCGAAGAGTATGCATCCTTGCAGTCACGAAAGCTTTAAATCTAGAATTAAAGGAGTGAGACAGTTTAGGGATAGGGGTGAGGCAGGTAGAGTGGGGGTGTGGTGAGGGAGAGGGTTAGAGGTGAGTGAGAGGGGAGAGACAGGTGAGGAAGAGGGGTTAGAGGGGAGAGACATGACCCAGGTTTTGAGGGTGGCGTGAGACAAGAGGCGAGGCTGGAGGATTCCTGCCGGAGACGTCGGGATGTAGATTCTGGTCCACGCTAAACCGCATCCACTTCACAAACCACGGCAGATGCGGATACCGGATGCCCACATGGAAAATTAAAAACTCCAGTTGTGTGCGACTGTGGTCATCCGGAAGAGACCATACAACATTTCACGATGCAATGCCCGATCCGCAACTACGAAGGAGACACATCACAGGGATACAGTCCGATTACTCCTGTGGCGCTGTTTTCTGGCTTAGACCACATGAATGTGAAATTGTAGTCGTTGATCTTGCATATACATCAGTCGTTCGAAGAAGAAGTACGTTTATTTATAGATATTGCCACTCAAAATGTATTGCTACAGAAGGATACTGCATCTAAGACGGACCCAAAGAGTTACCAACCTAAAAGTTAGACAAAGTTTGTGCAAATAAGAGCTGATACACAAGCAGTGATGAGAAGGAAATTGGCACTATTTGGACACACGTAGGATGGACAACAGGAAAATGAAAAGTGTGTAAAAATGTTAAGGAAGAGGAAAGGGAGGAAGACCTAACAGCGAATGACTTGGCGACACAAGAGATTTGTGCCGGAAAAACGTGGCACTATTCGAGCACATTGGCACAAGGCAGAGGAGGAAAGTGGAAACTAATTGCGAAATGTGCAGTGGACACGCACGGGTCTATGCCCACATGGATCGTGATGATGATGATGCTGCATGCCTGTGAACCCCTTATCAATGTCTAACTTATTACAGACCAATTCAGACCTTATTGGTAACCTCGTGCACTTATAAATCTCAATATTCATCCAACACAGTCCCATCACAAGGGAGAAACACAAAACAGACAAAAACACGTTTTTACCCGAATTGAAACGTCTATACGCCGTTTGGACCCAAAAACTAAATTTGCCCGTACAAAAATATGGAGTAAACCGGCATGGATTGACGGCTTATGATGTTGTGACGATTCGAATTGATGATGATGCTGTTCAGTCTCCTACATACGTAAGTCTGGAATCGGGGAAATAACGATTTCATATATTTTTTATTTGTTACTGCAAACCCAAGATGTCTCTGAGTAAGGAAGAACGAGTCCAGATAATTCTACTCATCGGAAATCGGAGTCAGAGGGAGGTCTCCGTTGACTTGAACAGACTGCATCCAAATCGCGAGCATCCAAATTCAGTGTCGAACCATTTGCGGCGACGCATTATAGTCGCCAATTAAACCGTGTGCTCGCTGGAGTTGTGTATCAGGAACAATGCTCTTGACACGTTGAAGCACATTATGTCAATAAAAGCGTTGCTATTGCCTTTTATTGTATTATTTTCCCTATGATTCCAGACTTATGGGAGAGACAACCATGCATATTAAACAAATATATCTAAAATAAATCATCAGAGGCTTGTGTTGCGATTTAATTTATTTCATACCTACGTGACTTTACCGAAAGAACAAAAGTATAAATCCCTGCAGTCACGAAAGCTTCAAATCAAGATTAAAATACAGGCAGTCCTCTACTTACGACGGAGATGCGTTCCGACGACCCCATCGTAAGTCGAACATAGCGTAAGTCGAACCGTCGTAACTCGGGGACTACCTGCAATACCACTCGTGTCCACCAAGTCAAGAGGGGGCGCTAGACTCAAGGCGCGTTCACCACCACCACGACCACGCGTGCGACACGTGGTGGCTGGGTGGGGAGTTGTGTTGGTTTCAGTCGTTCGCTCGTGTTTTTTTTCGTTCACAATGAAGCGCCGTCGGGGAATGAAGAGGGCGGACATCGTCAAGTCGCTGTCCAAGCGCCAGCGCAAGCATCTCAAGCAGTTCGGGGAGGAGCACCCGGTCACAGAGGGGTCAGTCGATCTAGGCGATTTTGCGAGGCCGGCGGTGAAGCACCGACCTCGCCTAGCGCCTCCGGGCCGGGCTGCGGTGCGTCGAGTTGGGCGGCGTGGCCGTACCACCAACCCCCCCCCCCCCCACTAACATATACCGATTGAGTACAGCGCTTTAAAACTAAAACTATTTTTTTTTATATTCTTGGTTCTTTCGGTAAAGTCACGTAGAAGGGAAATAATAAAATAAAAATATTAAACTATTAAATTCTCACGACGTTTCGACTTTACCGAAAGAACCAAGAATATGAATCCCTGCAGTCACGAAAGCTTTAAATCTAATTTTTTTTGTTTATGTTAACAGGTAACAGCCCACTGAACTATACAGCTGTTTTCAGAAGCGACCTTGCTATCACGAGTTATCTCTCTCTCTCGAGCGCGTGGCAATTATGTGCAAATCGCACGTCCAAGTTGAAGTCTGCGTGTGACCCATGCACGAGTCGCGCGACTCGGACCGCTCAGTCCCCCACGTGGAGCCCGGCGGAGGGTGTATTTGCTCGCAACGTGGTCGTCCGTTGTCCGCTTCTTGGTAGCCGCAGTCACACACCGTGGGTTGTCTCTAATTCTCCTCTTGTTGAGGTGTGCACAGCGACCTGTTGCTGTTCTTAAAACGATAGACGGAGCGCCGTAGTTTTCGTGGAAGATTAAACCCGAGCATGGAAATCATGGGTGGGGGGGGGGTGTCGTTGATGAGGTTTTTATTTGTAACTACAGTAGCTTTATTTAGCCGTCCTAGGACGGGTGTATGTTGCAGTAAGTCTGAAATATTAAATGGAAAAAAGTTGTTCAGCTCATTATTATTAATGAGGGGGTTGTCCTACGTGGAGTGACGTCACCCGCTAATGGTTATTGGGGAGGGGTGCGGCATGTGGAGTGACGTCACCCGCTCATGGTTATTGGGGAGGGGTGCGGCATGTGGAGTGACGTCACCCGCTCATGGTTATTGGGGAGGGGCGCGGCATGTGGAGTGACGTCACCCGCTCATGGTTATTGGGGAGGGGTGCGGCATGTGGAGTGACGTCACCCGCTAATGGTTATTGGGGAGGGGTGCGGCATGTGGAGTAACGTCACCCGCTAATGGTTATTGGGGAGGGGTGCGGCATGTGGAGTGACGTCACCCGCTAATGGTTATTGGGGAGGGGTGCGGCATGTGGAGTAACGTCACCCGCTAATGGTTATTGGGGAGGGGTGCGGCATGTGGAGTGACGTCACCCGCTAATGGTTATTGGGGAGGGGTGCGGCATGTGAAGTGACGTCACCCGCTCATGATTATTAATGAGGGGAGGGGTGCGGCATGCGGAGTGCGCGACCTTTCGCATTCGTGTAAATTTCCACGCGTGCATGAATATTAATGAAGGGGGGGGGGGGGGGTCTTTTGCAGTGACGTCACGCACGCATGTAGCATTGTGCTGCGTAGATTTATTTTTTACCGTCACTTTCTGTAAAGAAACATATTTGAAGCGAGTACAGTATTTGGCTGCTATAGATTCCCACGTGACGAGCCACTTTATTGAGCTGTCATTTGTGGCCAGATCGCTTCTGAAAAAGAGCCCTACAGCTCAGTAGGCCTTGCCTGGTAAAATAAACATAGTACTGTTTAGTTCTAATGTCTGGGAGGCTAAGCAGGTTTGTATAGATAGGGGCTTTGATGGGTGACCAGCATATCTAACGTGTACTGTAGGCTATGGTAGCTGCGTACAACGGAACGAGTTGTTAAAATGCGGTACAAGTTGCGGGAAAACAGTACAGGTCCGCACCATTCTTGAGATTTGTGAGCATGAAGCGAGTGTGTGTGTAGTACAACAGCCCCGCTTTGTAACGCCAGCAAACTCAAACGAGGTCCACTTACAAGGGCAGATAACCAAAACTCCACACTTTAGTTAACACGTATGTATGTTCAACTTTTTTCGCAACCGAACGTAGCCATCTGTCCTCATCGGAGGTACGGGGGAAGGACAATAAACTAAGCGCAACACTGTTCTGACGACGTTTCGGGCAGTGGACCTTCGTTGTAAAGCGAGAGCTAATTTCTCAGGGCTCTGATAGGTTATTTCTTAGGCTTCTGTGAGATTATTTTCAGATTCCTGAAAGAAGGGACATTGCCGAAACGTTACCTTTCATGTTTTCCTCTTCTTAGGGCAGTGTTACTCACAAATGAACCTCATGGCGGGACCCCGGGGTCCCATAAGTCCCCGGCTCTCGCATAAACTGCGTTGCGACGTCATTTTATGTCTGTTGAAGGCAAGCGATATGGCAATCTGTTCCTCTAGATGCACTCTACACGATGCGCTAATCAAAGTTTAAAAGTTTTATTTCTTCTGTGCATTCGTCCTCGCTGCGCTTGGACGACATGGCAACAGAATGATCCGCGCCAGGCGGGTCGCGGCGTTGATGTACGCGGTGGGATGGAGTCGCCAAAAATACAATCATTAATTACGATTTTGACTTCCGTTTATTCGGGACCCCGGGGTCCCGACATAAGGTTCAAATGTGTAATTTTTTGGGCTTTTTTGTTCTTGAGCATCACTGCCAACACTGTACTGCACAACTAAAATGTGTTCACGTGAGTCAATTGTCTTTCATAGTGAATGACTGGCCCCGCCATAGCAATGTGGAATTTCCACTGCTACAGTACTACTATGCAGGGTAGCCAACGGAGAATGAGATAAGCGCGACTCCTTTACTCGTGTGAGCAGGAAGACCCCCGGATATACCCAAACGAATGATTTCTCTTGTAAAGAATAACGTTTAACATCCGCTGTTTTTCTTCTTCCCACTAGGGCTTCCAAGCGAGCGTTTTCTGATGCTGCCCCTAAAGTGGTGAGTAAGTTAGTCGGGGTTTATAAAATCCCCTTTGCATGCGCCCGGATGCTGCTGGGTTTATAGGAAATGTGGAGCAGTGAGGATGTGATGAGAATCATGGCCAGACACGTGAGTGAATGGAGGGGTGGCATTGTCAGGCATGGATGCATGCAGCTTGCAGCTGGGTGTGTGCGTGTTGGTATGGGTGTATGGCGGATAGGTTGACTCGGCCTTAAATCAGTACCTGGTGCAATGTGTAAACATTGCCACGAAGAAAACAAAGTCGGCCGGGCGTGGTGGTGGTCACCCACCCCCTCGTATGCTGTGCCGGCCTTCATAGATGCTGCTCACTAACAGCACTTGCCCTAACAGTCTGTTAAGGTTATACGGGGATATTTTTTTTGTATTGGCGGAACGGGTGGAGCGGTGGTGCAGCGGTTGGCAGATTATGCTATAAGCCCGGTGACCTGAGTTCGATGCTCGCTCACGACCAATAATGGCAAATATCTAAACCGTTCCTGGGCCTTTCCTAGGTTGACTCAGCCTTAAATTAGTACCTGGTGCGGTGTGTAAACATCATCACTAGCCAGGGGTGTTTCTGTCCACACCACCCCCTCGTGAGCCATGGTGGTCTTCATGGGTGTTCACACACAACACCTGCCTCAGACTACACGGGGGATCTTTGTTTCTGCTAACTCATGCCCTGATAACCCCCCGTCCCCGATTCACCCGCGTGTACGGATGAAGGAGACGCTTTTGGACGAGGGCGAGTCGAGCGCTTCAGACGAGGTGGACGAGGAGTTGGAGGCAGCAGCGGCGCCCTCACACTACCAGCAGCTAATCGGCTTGCTGGGTGGCAACGAAGCCGATCCCGAGACCAGCGACGAGGAGGAGGAAGAGGAGGAGGAGGAAGAGGAGGAGGAGGAGGAAGAGGAGGAGGAGAAGGGAGAGGGGGCAGTGGTGAGTGGTGATGAGGAGATGCTCCTGGCGTCCATCACTCATTTGTCTTAGTGTTTCTTATGGTGGGAAGCCACTAATTTCAGGGCTGGAAATATATCTGTAGCGACAAATGTTTCTGTATCCCTGTCTCCTTCACAGTTATTCAGTTGTTACTGTAACAATTATTATCACGATCGTATGGCTCAACTGTACCCGATCATAGAAATGTGAAATTTTCACCACTGCATGGGGGCAGGGGGGTGGGAGTCTCCAACTGGAATCAACACCACCTCATACTTGTTTGATCAGGGGAGACCCTTGAAGGTGGATGTTATTTTGACACAGACAACTAATAAAGTTGTCACGTGAATGAACGTGCCACGTTTTTCCTGCTTCAGCAGCACCGCCAGTAGTATGTTGCGGGACAGTCCACACACAACTATTGGGTACGGACGTTTTGCTGGTAGTTAAAACGAGCATCATCAGGCAGTTTCCATAATTGTTTAAACGTCCTCCAGCTTTTGACCGTAAACAGTCACGCACACCGTCTCTGCAGGTCGACGATTCCGCTGAGGAGGAGGAGGAGGAAGATGAAGGGGAAGATGAAGAGGAGGACGATGTTCTCAGCACTGATGCAGAAGAGGGCAGCACGGAAGCCAACCGAGGCGACGGTAAAGGAAAAGGGGGCAGCACAGACTCGGACGCTAGCAGCACCGACGCAGAGGATGAAGCCGTCAAGGCGAAACTGGGCAGCACGAAAACCAAAAATGGCGTCGCCAACTCAAAGGGGGGCAGCCGCAGCTTGAAGGCAGCGCAGCAGAAGGGGAAGAAGGAGGCACCGGGCAAGGAGTCGCCGGAGGTGGAGGCGGGCGACTTGGCGGGCTTCGAGGGCCAGTTTGTGGATCGCGTGCACGCCAAGGCCTTCAGCCTGGACACGGTCGTCCCAGTCCAGAGTGGTGCGGAGGAGGAGGAGAAGGTGGAGGGAGACGTGATGCAGGTGTCTTCAGAAGGTGAGCGGAGGAGGCCGTTGCGTTAAACCGTGCGTGGGGGGGCTGGTGGGGGGCGGGGGCTAGGTGGGGAGGGGGTATGGCGCACATTGATAATTGTTAACGTGGCTTCATAAAGATGCTGGTATGCACAGAAAAACCATGCTGCGCAACTATACTGCAAAGGGTGTCCAAATGCATTTATTGTACAAGACACTTGATATGTTACTTCATTTATTCTCGTGCATATAATGTACATCATATACTACACAATGGTATCCTGCTGCTTTAAAATGTGCATTAAATATCGTGATCACCTCAATTTTTTCTCCGTGCTATCACATGGTAGGCACCTGGATAGTATTTTTCCGCTGATATGTCATAGCATTCGTTTTATTTCTCACAGCCCTAAGCCATTGAAGGAAATTGCACATTCCTATGACAAGGCAAAGAGATGCTCTCCATAGAACTACTTCTGTCAGCTCCCGCAAAGCGGTAGTTATTTTATCGACCCCAGAGGAACAACGGTGTTGGGACGGTTCAGTTCCTCAACTGGTTTTGGAAGCCGTAACCTTCCGATTGTCAGTTGAGCGCTGTAACCACGACTGGACACACAGCAAGGTGGTGCCAGTCAATTGATTTGCGGCAGCGTGTGTGTGGAGCCTGACGCTGTGCCGTGCTGTGCCACGCTGTGCCGTGCTGTGCCACGTTGTGCTGTGGCTTCAGATCCGTTCGTGCAGCACCTGGCGTACGAGCTGGAGCCGGGGGAGGTGAAGACGCTGCTCGACCGAGGCAACCGGAGTACGGAGATCGTGAAGGTTTGTGCTGCGACTGCGCTTGAAACGGACCGTCGTTTATTTGCGCAAGTTGGGTGGACATTCTTAGGTTTTTTCCGGTAAAGTCACGTAGGTAAAAAAATTTAATTAATAAAATTAAAAATTAATTATTTTATTTTACTTTTATTAATTTAAATTTTTTACCTACGTGACTTTACCGAAAAAACCTACGAATATGAATCCTTGCAGTCACGAAAGCTTCAAATCTAGAATTAAGTTGGGTGGAGCCTGTCAAGGGGTCGTGACAGTGTTGGTGCTCGTGGCCCGGGCAATGGCATGGGTTGCTGCGGTGTTAGCACAGCGCGTGAACCCCAGAGCTACCGATCCGAACAGTGTACTTCAACCACCACTGCGGTCATCACAGCCACCACCAACACTTTCCATTTACACCACTCGTTTCACCACTGCTATCATCACCACCACCTCCAACATATCAACCACCACAGTCAATGGTGGTTCTCTAGAATTCTCCTGGGTTAGAGGCCAGGAATTACCCAGAAAAAGAAGTTGAGTCAACAGGAAGTGTGATGCATTCACAGGGAATCGCCTGAGTTTATTATTATTAAGGCGCAAAGCATCTGATCGCAAATTAAAAATTCTGATAAATAAATAAGCAGACAATACACTTCCTTCACATATCCGTCTCTTTGCGTGAAGTAATTGTACACCTCCCATAACACGGCCTGGGATTGCACAAATTTCAGCAGCATTGGTTCTACACAAGCAAACTGAACCAGGTTTAACATCCAGTGTCTGGTCAGCAAAGTCAGGCTGGCTTGAACCAATGCTGATGAACTGCCAAGTGCTTCTCGGGAAGGGCCCCCTCTCAGTTGTTATGGGTCAAAGTTTGACGCAAAACTAAAACAAGACAGAAAATTTCGATATTCTTAGGTTTTTTTGGTAAAGTCACGTAGGTAAAAACATTAAAAAGTAAAATAAAATAAAAATCACGACGTTTTGGAGGCAACACAAGCTTCCGTCTTCAGGTGGTACCGTCACAGCCACGACAGAAAATTTCGATTTAAAGCTTTCGTGACTGCAGGGATTCATCTTCTTGGTTCTTTCGGTAAAGTCACGTAGAATGGAAATAATAAAATAATAAAAATAAAACATAATAAAATTATTCTCACGACGTTTCGGCCACAACGCAAGCAGCCGTCCTCAGGCGACTGTCTCCTCGACAGACCTGTTCTTCACCTGAGGACGGCTGCTTGCGTTGTGGCCGAAACGTCGTGAGAATTATTTTATTATGTTTTATTTTTATTATTTCCATTCTACGTGACTTTACCGAAAGAACCAAGAAGAAGACAGAAAATCACCGTGGAGAGGCAGATATGTGAAGGGGGGGGTTATTTATGTGTTACTTATATACTCCACCACTTTGCTCATGATTATTGTGTTTTATATTATAAATAGGATAAAGGGGATAAGTGGGTGCTCGTGTGCGTGTGTGCGTGTGTGCGTGTGTGCGCGCGTGCGCGCGTGTGTGCGCGTGCGTGCGCGCGTGTGTGTGCGTGTGTGTGTGCGTGCGTGTGTGTGCGTGCGTGTGCGTGCGTGTGTTTCATCAGTGGCCGTGCCTCGGGCAGCTGCACTGCTCGTGGAGCCTGGAGAAGCAGGCCGGGGCCCCCCGCTTGGGGACAGGGGCAGCGCCGCTCGCCCTGCACCCCCCCCTCGAGCGCACGTGGAGACACGTGAACGCCCAGGCTCACGGTGCGTGCGCAAGACTAATGTTCCCCCGTGTAGCCTTTAGCAGACTGGTAGGGTGGCAAGTGCTGTTAGCGAGCACCTATTACGGCCGGCACGGCACACGACGGGGTGGGTGGCCAGCATCACGCCCGGCCCGCCTTCGTCTCCCCAGTGGCGATGTTTACACACTCCACACAGGTACTCATTTGAGGCTGAGTCGACCAAGCGGCGGTCCAGGACCGGTTTTCAGATCATCGTCACTGGTGTTGATGGCCATAAGCGGGAATCGAACTCAGGTCATCGGGTTTGTAGCGCAGTGCGCTGACCACTACACTACCGTTCCCCACGCATACATTTGTGTACAAACACGAGAATTATCTTTCGATTTAAAGCTTGCGTGACTGCAGGGATTCATCTTCTTGGTTCTTTCGGTAAAGGCACGTAGAATGGAAATAATAAAATAATAAAAATAAAACATAATAAAATAATTCTCACGAGGTTTCGGCCACAACGCAAGCAGCCGTCCTCATGTGGCGAACAGGTCTGTCGAGAAGACAGAGTCTGAATGACACACCCCAGAATAGAATTATCACGCACACACGGGCACTCGAGTACTGCCACGTGCAGATAAGGGGCAGAAGAGAGGGCCACTGGTCCGCGATGACAAACAACTCGGCCGCATTCCTCATCTGTTCTCTCCCCGGTAGGCGACGGAAAGCCGGTGAAGCCAGACTCTCCTGCGCCGTTCTTCACGCCGCTGCAGCAGGAGCTGTGGTCGCTGTTCACGTCGTACCGCGACCTCTTCTACCCCGAGCGCTCGCCGCTGGGCTCCGGCGAGGACGTGCGCCGCCTCTACTGCCTGCACGTGCTCAACCACGTGCTCAAGGCCAACGGCCGCGTGCTCGCCAACAACGGCGTGCTGCAGCGGCGCGCCGAGCGGCGCCGCGAGGCCGAGAGCAGCAGACGAGGCCGCGGGGGGCGCAAGCGGAGAGGCGGCGGAGCCAGGAAGGACGTCGCCGCAGAGGGCGGTGCCGGACAACTTGAGGATAAAGCGGAAGACACAAACGACGTCGATGATGATGATGAGTTCCGGGACCAGGGCCTCACCCGTCCGAAGGTGAAAGTGAACCGCATGTGTCTTAAGGTTGAGAGCCTTTATGCATTAGCTCTGTCCCATCCTTCTGTCCGTAGTAGGGGCATGATAAGTCTCGTGAAGATGATCCAATACGTACCAAACTTAAGTGTGAAGTTGCGTCGCTATTTGGGACTTGCCCAACTGAAAGCTGCCAAATTTATCAAAGGGTTGATATTCTTATGAGAAACATTTTCCAATGACCTCTTAGTGCCCACTGAACTTTCTAATGTATCCTGTTCTAGAAAGTGGTCAAAGCTACATGTACAATTCTCTAGCTGACGTGAGGCCATATTAATTGAAAACCCAAAAATATTCTGACCGTCAATTCACTGCACGAGAAAACCCGGCTTATTCAAGTCCTGACCTTCCACCTTGTGCATGACTCCATTCACCATTACGGCCACATTGAATGTTCCGATTCAAAGTGACCACCATGTGTATGCGTGTCTCTGTGTGTCAGTGTGTCAGTGTGCACGTGTGTGTGTCTGCCTATCCATGTGTGTGCTTGTGTTTGTATAAATGTGTGTCGGCGAGTGTGTTGATGTATATTGGCATGCCCGCATGTCTGTGTAGCCTTGTTTTTTGCGTGTATGTGAGCTTGCATGTGTGCGGTAGTGTCGCGGTTAGCGTACTGCGCTATGAACCTGGCGACCTGAGTTCGATTCCCATTCACGGCCAACACCAGTGAAAAATATCTGAACCGCTCATGGGCCTCCCCGAGGTCTACTCAGTCTCAAATGAGTACCTGGTGTGGTGTGTAAACATCATCAATGGGGAGACAAAGGCGGCATGGTGTCGGCCACCCACCCCCTCGTGTGCCGTGCCGGCCTTCATAGGTGCTCGATAACGGCACTTGCCCCAACAGTCTGTTAAGGCTATATGGGGGAAATTTTTTTCTTTGTTTTTTTTTGTGTGATCACATCTTTTCCCGCACGCGTCCAAACCCCCGCCGCTTGCAGGTGCTGGTGGTGGTGCCGACGCGCGACGCGGCGTGGCGTGTGGTGACCACGCTGGTGGCGCTGCTGGGTGGGGACGGCCGCGAGGGAGCGCCGCGCGTCGAGGTCAGCCACCGCGCTCGCTTCACCCGCGAGTTCGGCCGCGACCCCGGCGAGGAGCAGCCGCACAATCTGCGCCGGCCCGACGACTACCTCGCCATCTTCTCTGGCAACAACGACGACCACTTCCGCTTCGGTGCGTGGCCTCCGATGATCGCGGCGATAAAATTATCGTGTCGTACACGCAAAAAAATGTGCATCGCCATTTAAAACGAAAAAAGCTATTTTTTAGTTTAGCAGATAAGGTCCACTAAGTTATATAGCTTTTTTTCAGAAGTAACCAGGCCACAAATGATAGCTCAACGAAGTGGCTTATGTGGAAATTTATAGCAGCCATATAAAGGAGGGAAAAACCGGAGGACACGGAGAAAAATCCACGTGACCACGGGGAGAGAGAACACGTAAACTACAAATATACAGCAGCAGGCGTCCGGGTCAGGACCGTACCCACCTCTTCCTGTATACCAGTTGAGGTCGTTAACATCTCGCTATCGTGGCAACCACAAATGAAAAATGATATAGTGACCGATGACGCACGCACGCACGCACAGGGATGGCGCTGCTGAAGCGAGGCGTGCGTCTCTACGCGCCATTCTACGCGTCGGACGTGGTGGTGGCGTCGCCCCTGGGCCTACGCACGGTGCTGGGGGCGCCGGGGGAGGCGACGCGAGACTTCGACTTCCTCTCGTCCATCGAGCTGCTCGTGCTGGACCAAACCGACGTCTACCTCATGCAGAACTGGGAGCACGTCATGGTGACCCACGCACCTATGCACGCACGCAGAAACGCACGTTACTAATTATTGAGTACAGTTGGTACGAGCGTCATTCTTAGCTATCGTGAAGGCGCTGTGTTTCACAGACAGTCTGCAGTCATTTCACTAAAAGGGGGCGATATTGTGTAATGCCATTTCAGTGGTTTGTGGGTAATTATTCAACGATTATGGAGGAGGCACGAAAACATGGCACAGAAATGTGGAATGGCCATCGCTGACTGAGAAGCTGCCTGATGCACCTGAATCTCGGCTTGGCATTAATTGTATTTAGAGAGACTTAGCGCCGTTGTTTTTAATGACATTGTACTCGGCGCAGAGAACCGTAGTGACATGACGGCACTCTACGATAGCTGGCGCCAAACTGTGCCACACGCCCTCCTGCATTGCCTTGTGGGAGCCTCGGTACCAATAAAGTTATTTTAGTTTTCTGGTTTCGTTTCGATGATGTACACGTACGTCATCAGAATGGGAAAGGGTTACCTGCCACAGCACGTGTATACAACTGGAAAATGCGGCTTCTCTTGCCTCCGCCGCCGTGACCGTCGCCGTGCCCCCCCCCCCCCACCCACCCTCCGCTCCGGCAGCACTTGGCGGCGCACGTGAACCTGCAGCCGCTGGAGCCGCACGGCGTGGACTTCTCGCGCGTGCGGCCCTGGAGCCTGGACGGCCACGCGCGCCACTACCGCCAGACGCTGCTGCTGAGCGCGCTGCCCCACCCGCTGCTGCACGCGCTCGTGTCACGGCACGCCAGCAACTACCGCGGCCAGGTGACGCGGGCGCGCGGGGACTCTTGGGGAAATGCGCACGAACACTCGGGGGTATGGGGGGAGGGGGGGCATAACGATACATGGAGACGCACGCAAACATGGACACGCTGGGGCATACACGTGGTCACACGGGCCGATACATGCAGATACGAGCACGCAGACAATAGGAGCACACACATGACGACGCGGTCTGTGTGTGCGTGCAGGTGCAAGTGAGGAACACTCCATTGCTGGGCTCCATCAGCCAGGTCGTGGTGCAGCTCCCGCACGTGTTTCAGCGAATCGAGGCCGACAGCACCACTGAGATTGCCAACGCCAGGCACGACACACACATTGACACTTGTCACACAGGTTTATTCACACGCACACACGTACGCGGGCACGTGTACGCATTCGTCGAATCGCTGTGGCGCGGAGCACAATAGTCACGTGCTGCCATCCGCAGGTTCGCTTACTTCGTGGAGCACGTGCTGCCCCAGTACCGCGACGCCGTCATGGCGCACACCATGGTGTTCGTGCCGTCGTACTTCGACTACGTGCGCCTGCGAAACCACCTGGCGCGCGAGGGCGTGCGCGCAGCGCACGTGTGCGAGTACACGCCGTCCGTGCGCGTCGTGCGCGCCCGCAAGAGCTTCCTGCGCGGCGTGCGGCCCTTCCTGCTCTACACGGAGCGCTTCCACTTCTACAAGCGGTGGGGCGAAGCAACCGCACCCGCTCGCCACACGCGGCGCGCAGAACGCAGCACGCCACACGCCAATTTAGCCGTGCCTACGTTGACCTCGACCAAACTGCCCGCAACGAGTCCGAGACTTTGTCGCATCTCGGAAGCTGAACACCGTTTTAAGCCAGGATTGTACTTGGATGGGCGACCAAACCATGCAATTAAATAGGCTTTAATAGGCCGCGGGGGCTATGCTGTGACCAGCAGTGTGGCAATATATATTGTAGTATTCTACTATACACGCACGTCTGTGCTTCCTGCCTTCACCATTCCGCACTGACCGACGTGGTGACCCTCGGCTAGCGGTGGACTGTGCGTGTGCATGTACACAATCTGCTGCACCGCGCTGCAATACCACTCGCATACCAGTGCATTGCACTGAACCGCACTACGCAGCCACACGTATCTCTCTATCCATCCATCTGTCTGCACCAACATCCATGCACCTGTGTGTTCACGTCCGTCTTTTCATCCGCCCAATTGTCTTTCCATCCATTCGTCGTAACATCCATTCCGTCCGACCGTCCGTCTGTCCACGCTAACGCGCGACGTCTCCTCCCCCCCCCCGCCCCACCCCCAAATCCCTGCAGCTACTCGATCCGTGGCGTGCGCCACCTCATCTTCTACGAGCTGCCCACGTACCCGCACTTCTACAGCGAGGTGTGCAACATGCTACGCGCGGCGTCGGCGGCCGACGCGGAGTCGCGGGCGGCCAACGCCGCGTGGACCTGCACGGTGCTCTACTCGCGCTACGAGGCGACGCGTCTGGCCGCCGTCGTCGGCGCCGCCCGCGCCGCTCACATGCTCGCCTCCTCCAAGAAGACGCACCTCTTCGTCACCGGCGACGATTCCTCCGCCGGCGTTGCCGCTGGGCAGGCCTGATGACGGCTTCCACGTTTAATATGAATAACAAAAACTTTGAGCTTACGTAGCTCTTTTTCAGAAGTGACCTGGCTATCGCAATTGATAGCTCAACCAAAATGGCTTCTCGTCACACGGAAATTTATAGCAGCGAAATACTCGTGCGTGTTTGTAAATGTGGAGGGAAAAAGCGGCCAAGGGAGAGATGTCCCTTTCTGGTCGTGGTCGGGAGGCTCTGCGTCTGGCACTGCTACGAAGAGCTTGGGTTCAAGTTTAGGTTGAGGCTACCCACGATTTCAACCAGATTTTCTAATTCACGGAAGCTCATGGTTTCATCCTGGTCACCATTTATTTTTTTATCCCATCGCGGTCAATGTGGTTTGCATTTAGTGTTCCAGATTCCAGCTCTGAGAATAGAATATTTCGATTTGAAATTCATGCCCACAATTGCCTCTTTAGCAGGACATGAGAAGGTCCACCTCTTATGAGGCGATTTGACAAGACTTAATTCAGAAAGTAGTTCCGTGATCCCATTTGCCCATGGTCCGCTCGCTTTAATTATACGATGGCGCTAGCAGCAAGAAATTCGAAATTTCATCAAATGACAATCATTCATTATTAAAATTTTCACGCTCGTGGATTGAACTTTAAGAGGCGCGGGAAAATAGCGAAGTCTTCAGATTCCGACAGAAGGACAACACCAACGCCGATGTGTGGTCGAGTGAGAAGTAGATTTAATTCCAGGCGACGAGCTGCGACGGAGAAACGACGTTCGCCTCGTCCGGTTCGAGAGACGGGGCTTGACATGGAGGCCACTGGGGGCAGATCGGAGGTAGCGAGATGGAACGTACGATGAGAAAAGCGGAAGCTGAACCGTCTGATTGATATCGATGTCACAGTTGTCATAGTTCAAAAAAGAACAATGTTTTTCAAATTAAAATAACATTTTTCCAGATGGTCAACAATGTGTTAAGGCTGGTTAAGCTGTACAAACTGTCAGTTACATCTGTGCTGTCGTCATTCCACTATGATCCACTGCTAAATAAAGGCCTCCCCTATGTTGTCAACGTTACAAGCTGGCTGTGGGGTGGGAGATGCACAATGGATGACTGGTATTGCTCAGTGACCAGGACGCAAACATTTTTGAGGCCAAAACCGCGTTTTATTGGGGACGTCCTTAAGGCAGTGGACAGAGAGCACACTGGCTTGGGGTACCCTGGCTACAGGGAAACACACCCTACTTAAAGTAGTGAGAGCTTGCCCGCTCGCAGCGTCAAGAGAACTCGTGTAGTCTCGCGCCGGTACAGCCTTGGGCCTGAAGGACAGCCTGCCTCTGGGATAGACGCAGCGTCTCGTTCCAGACACTGTCTCCTCTCGGCTCCTTGGCTGCCTCTACATTTTGCTGCTTGACTCCGGTTGTTGGCTGTGAGCATTCCCCCAGCTTTGAGCGGCCACATAGCACAATTCGTCTTTGTAAGTGGCAGTTATCCACCGTTCTTTAACAAAGATCCCCCCCCCCCCCCCGTATAGCCTGAACAAACTGTTGGGACAAGTGCTGTTAGCGAGCACCTATGGAGGCCGGCATGGCACACGAGGGGGTGGGTGGCCACCACCACGCTAGGCCGCCTTTGTCTCCCCAGTGGTGATGTTTACACACCACACCAGGTACTCATTTGAGGCCGAGTCGACCTAGGGGAGGGCTATGACCAGTTCTGATAACTGTCACTGGTGTTGGCTCTGAGTGGGAATCGAGCTCGGGTCGATGAGTTTGTAGCGCAGCGCGCTAACCGCTACACTACCACTCCCACCTTTCTTTAACCACAACACATCTCAGTTCACACCCTTCTCAAGGTCAAAGTTCATTATACAAGTTTACCCGCTATCGAGTTGTCTCTTCTCTCTTTGGAACAGCAACAGCGGCTCCTAAAGTAGGCTTTGGAAAAAAAATGTATATTGCAATATGCTCCTCCATCACACAATGCTGCGGAAACAGAGTTGCATGCAAGAAGGTTTTCAGAAATCACCGAGTGTTTTACATGAAATGGAGCGAGGTCCTCTGAGCTGCAGACCGAAGCCTCACTTTTATATGGTTCTAGCCATGATTAATTTAGGAGCACCTGCAATCTATTATTCCTAGAATCATAACTGGAGATGGGCACTTACAATGCCAGCTGTTTAATTGCCTACAAATCCCCGATCCGCCCCCAATAATCTGTCAATGCACCGTTGTGGTCACAGCTCAATAAAATCTGTTTGTAATTTCCATTTAAAGGTAGTTTCTTTTGTCGGTCTACTTTGTAAGAGCTTTTGTTTTTCATTCTGTCCCTCAACGGTCCACATAGGGTCATAGGCGAGCCAGTGTCTGCCCTCTGGTCCAGTCTGTCACGGTCCCACAATGTCACTGCTCGGGCAACGCAAGTCGGCCCTGGACACAAAATGAACAGCAAAATAAATCAAACTCGAGGTAAAAAATGTAATGCGTATAAATAATATTAAAATATATTTCAAAGTTAACCGTAAACCCTTAAAAGGAATAAAAACATTAAGCGCTTTGATGAGACGTAACTTTTGAGAATAAAATAGGAAAATACTGGGAGGAACATTGCTTTTTAGCTGATATTCTGAGTGCCGCTGGTGATACATCATGTTGGACAAATGTGTAGTTGGGAGGGGGGGCCTGTATGATTGTTACCTGTGTTCAGAATGGTTTTCAGAGCTGAGATGTAAAAACAAATTGAGCAACGTGTACTGATGCCAGGTGATGCCTTCCAGATGAATCCCCCAGTATAACGATGCTTTGACAGTGCAAGAGAGAGAGCGACGTGGCATTGATTCTGTTAAAGTATCCGAGGTGGTGCTCTCATATCAATAAAAAATTAACCCGTAAAAACAAAGTTTTTCACTATAAATCCTTTATATGCATGGCATCGGGGTGGCTAGAGTCCTCTCGTCCTCTGGCTTGAGATGGCTGCCACCTATGGGTCAGATGATTGTCTGCCACCATTAAGCAATTGGTAATTAAATATTTAAAAAAATTCCCCTAAACAGTGTAAAATTTGGGAATTTTTTTTTCACGAAAATTAATTGTCACGCACAACGAGTCTGTGTGCAAAATGTCAGCTCGATTGGATCATGGGAAGTGGGTTAAAAAACGACCGAAAGATTTGCACGGTCCTAAGCAAGCAAGTGAACTTAATATAAAGGATTTAAAAAGAGACGGCCACTTTACAGAGATGGGCTCTGCCCAATGTTCATATAAACACCGGGACACATTGACTCCGAAACGAACTGAATTGACAAAGCCACTCAGCAATTACTTTATTCCTTAAATTAAAATTACAGCACGGTGCAGTATTTACAAATTGCAATCAGACCAGTACCACGGCCAAGACGCATACCTTTTGAATGGCATTCGTGACCCGACAGTGCAAACGGTTTAAACAACAACAAACGAACTCGCCACCTTCGAGGAAAGCATCAACGGCAACGCCTCTCGCGCTGCCGTCTTTGAAACTCCGTGTGGCTCGTCTCGACGTGCAATCTTCCACAGCTTGCAGGAAGACAATTGTGTAGCGCAGGGGAGCTGAGCAATTGGGCTCTCGTAACCAAGTCCAAAGCGTCTCCCCTGTTGATAATTGGTTTTTTTACCCTTCTATCTGGCAACAAAACTGACACCTTTTTACGAGGAGTCATCTTTGCATAGACCACAATACCTGCAGTCATAATGCAAACAAAAAACACAACTCTGATAATGTATGTGCACTGTCCTTGAAGTTGATTGGTCCACACCCGAGACAGCTTTCCTTAGAGGACAGTGCACATTATCAGTTATGTTTTTTGTTTGCATTATGACTGCAGGTATTATGGTCTACGCAAACATGACTCCTTGTAAAAAGGTGTCAGTTTTGTTGCCAGATAGAAGGGTAAAAAACCAACTATCATATTTTTACTGGCAAATGAGGTTCCAATGGCGTCTCCCCTGTTGTTCAAATGAGTGGCCCTGACCCAGTGATGGAAGTTCCACATTCCCAATGCGAAGACCAATCACCCTACAGGATAACCACCGTTTTATTGATCCTGGAGCGACACTGGGTTGAGTTAATTCGCAGGAGTTAAACTTTATAGCCTGGTTCTCGAGTGTTTTGACCAGTGGCGGCTCCTGCAAAATCTCTCAGGGGGGGCAAATGTCTGGATGATTGATAAGGATAAGGTCCACCCATGCAATGGATAAATTAACAGCTTAAGCATGTAAAGGCAACTTCACTTCTTTAATATTAATGAAAAATAAAGTGACTCTTACAATACATCTTGTTTGTTTTTATACTCACTATTAAAACAAACCACTCAAGTTTATTTTATTAAAGATTCCACTAGATTTTGATTTAAAACTTTCGTGACTGCAGGGATTCATCTTCTTGGTTCTTTCGGTAAAGTCACGTAGAAGGGAAGTAATAAAATAATAAAAATAAAACATAATAAAATTATTCTCACGACGTTTCGGCCACAACGCAAGCAGCCGTCCTCAGGTGAAAACCAGGTCCGTCGAGGCGACAGAGTCTGAATGAAACAGCACACGAGCTTGGAGCATATATATAAGCTGGGCGCATTGACAAAGGAATTTGCATATCAAAAGGAATTTAGCATATTTATGGGAAATGCAGGAATGTGATTAGTACTGAATATGCATGTGCATTATGCAGGATTAACAGCATCAAAGGGAGCTGCAGTTGCTGCTGCTGCTGCAGTTTCTGCTGCTGCTGCAGTTTCTGCTGCTGCTGCAGTTTCTGCTGCTGCAGCTGCTGCAGTTGCTGCTGCTGCTGCAGCTGCTGCTGCACTTGCTGCTGCACTTGCTGCTGCTGCTGCACTTGCTGCTGCTGCTGCACTTGCTGCTGCTGCTGCAGTTGCTGCTGCAGTTGCTGCTGCTGCTGCAGTTGCTGCCTTATCCATTTTAATATAACACTATGTATTATTCTACCCACCCTAATGTGTATCACACTGCTATATATTTACTATACAATTACGACACCATACATTACTCTGCACACTGCACCATGCCAGTGAGTGGAACGTTGTGGCCGAAATGTCGTGAGAATAACTTGCGTTGTGGCCGAAACGTCGTGAGAATAATTTTATTATGTTTTATTTTTATTATTTTATTACTTCCCTTCTACGTGACTTTACCGAAAGAACCAAGAAGATTCCACTCGGTGGCGATAAATGACTTTGTTGGATGAAACGTGCTTACGTATGATGACGTTGGCACGTATGATGACGTAAGCACGTTAGGGCTTGCCCTCCCGGAAGCCATAGAAAATGCATTGGAGCGCCCCCGTTCGAAAAAAACATCTTTCAATGTAAGTCTATGGGGCCACTCGGGGCGATTCTCAGCCGGAGTGAAATCGCCCAAAAAGAGGCGGTACTCCACAGAACGTGACATGACGCTGATTGGACTATATCCAGAGGCTGACAGTGACGGCTAGCGTGACTCTGTGGTTCAATGACATTGGTGGTGCGTCGCCCAATCGCCCTAATGAAGAAACCGCCCCTGGTTTTGACCACGGGAAATCCAACTGGGAGAAAGTCGGTGTTTAAACTGGTGGGGTTACGACCCAGGTGGGGTTAATACCCAGGTGGGGTTAATACCCAGGTGGGGTTAATACCCAGGTGGGGTTCAACTCAGCCCATCATCTCTCTGGGGTCGTTACAATAAGTACGATGTGGAAAGTCTACCGTGGGTTTGTGGAGGAAACGGTTCCTGGCATATGATTGTGAAATTGTCATCAATGGCTCGAAGGTCAACGACAGTAGCGCACTGCGTCATGTGAAGACGAACTAAACTAAACTTTATTATTTTACCAGGTAAGGCCCACTGAGCTATTTTTCAGAAGCGACCTGGCGGCAAGTGATAGCCCAACGAAGTGGCTCATCACGTGGAAACTTATAGTAATACTCTAAAACGCATGTTTCTAAATGTGGAAGGAAAAGCCGGATGACCCAGAGAATAATCCACGCGACCACGGGGAGTACATGCAAATTACAAATATACATTTTTCGATTTCAAGCTTTCGTGACTGCAGGGATTCATCTTCTTGGTTCTTTCGGTAAAGTCATGTAGAAGGGAAATAATAAAATAATAAAAATAAAACATAATAAAATAATTCTCACGACGTTTCGGCCACAACGCAAGCAGCCGTCCTCAGGTGAAACCAGGTCTGTCGAGGCGACAGCGTCTGAATGAAACAGCACACGAGCTTGGAGCGTATATATAAGCTGGGTTGGAAGGGGGTGGGCGCCTTATATATATGCTCCAAGCGCGTGTGCTGTTTCATTCAGACGCTGTCGCCTCGACAGACCTGGTTTCACCTGCTTGCGTTGTGGCCGAAACGTCGTGAGAATTATTTTATTATGTTTTATTTTTATTATTTTATTCCCTTCTACGTGACTTTACAAATATACAGTTCGTCAGGGTCAGGATCGAACCCACGACCTCCTGTGCACCGGGCAAGGAAGTTAACATGTCGCCACCATGACGCCCATGAAATATTTCCAAAGCCGTCGGCGACAGAAGAACTTGCTGCGCATGAGACATCTTGTACACCGGGTGCAAACTTAAAGCATGTATCTCTTAACTCAGCATGGCCTGTATCTTAAACAAACATTCTAAAAGGTTCCTGCATGGGAGCTTTAGCCAATTATTTTTTGAGGATCGTTGCATGCAGGAGGTAAACAATCCACATCTACAAGAGAACAATACTGTGGCAAGTCGGAAGCCCACTTTCTGTACTGCCTCTGGGAGGCACCACATCATGGTAATGCACCTCATGTCTCGCATGATCTTTGCATGGTCCACCAGTCCCACCTCCAGGCATGTCACCACCCCAGACCCACATACAAGGCGTGAACGCAGGATGTCAACAATGCATTCTCGATGTCTGAAATACTGCCATCTGTTCCCCGCCACTCCTGTTGGTCATATATGTTGACAACTGTGGTCAACAGACAGGATTTCTGCTTTGTCTCGTACAGACAAGTGCTGAGGCTGACGCGGCAAATGGCAAAAAGGTGGTGTGGCCAACACCACGTCGTCACCTTTGTTCCGTCTGTTGGTATGTTACGGACTTCTTTAGATACAAATTTACAGCTGAGTTGACCTAGAGGAGTGCCAGTACAGGCTCCTGGCCATGTTGCACAACTGGTGCAACATGGCCAGCAATCGAACAAAGTTGTCAGGATTATAGCGCGGGGCGTTAAACACCGTATCGCCTTTAACAAGCTGTCGAGGCAAGTGCTGTTAGCGAGCACCTACAAGTATGGCACACGAGTGGTCAGCACTCGACCGCCTTTGTATCCCCAATGCTCACGTTTACACACCGCACCAGGTGCTCATTTAAGCCCGAGCCAACCTCAGGGAGGCCCAGGACCAGTTTTTATATATGTCGGTGATCTTGGCCTTGAGCGGGAATCGAACCTCGGCTCGCCGGGTTTTGTCGCGCGGAGCGATACCCACCGCACCGCCGCTCCACACACGCACATCTACTCTAGTCCGCAGCGGCCGCCTGCGGACCTCACACTTCTACGGCCGGGTTGGACCCCTTGCCCTGTTTCACCAACACCTCCTCCTGCTTCATCTTGGGCCGTTCCGTGCGTGTGTGCCACACCAGCACCTGCCCACACACAGACACACAGACACAGCGTTGCTCCTGCACGACCCCCAGACAGCAACGGAGTGCGTGCATGTGCACGAGCCCCATCTTGCAGGTGCACTTTTCCGCGTTGTAATACGTATACTTGTGCGAGTCCGAACACCTTTACACGGACGTGTTATGGAGCATCCCTGCTGGTGCGTTCATTTCTTTAGAATTGCTTTTTGTGTTGAGTTTGTTCTCCTAACTTTATACCTCCGATTAGCAGTTGGCTACGTACGGTGTTGCGACAGAAGTTCAACATGCATACACCAACACGCAGCGTTTTTGTGTGCCTTTGTGAGTGCGGGGGTTATGCCGGTATTAGTTTGTGCGTGTGTCAGTGCAAGGTTTGCGTGTGTGTGTGTCAGCGACAGTGCGACTGCCTTTGTGAGGGAGGGCTGTGTGACGGCGAGTGTGGCGTGTCTGTGTAGAAATGACTTGTACGATTGAGTTGTTTTATGCCTATGCAAGCATGTTGCTAATGCCCGTGTGACCTCGTGCTATCCCTCCCTGTCATCTCGTCTTATTATCCATGTGATCTGATGTGATTATACCCATGTGACCTGGCAGGAATATGCTCATGTAAGTGAAATATGCGCCATCAAGCGAGTGAAGTGTGCGTGCCTGTACATGTGTGTGGATTGTGCCTGTCCAACCTTTGATGGTCATGCCACAGGGATCTGGTGGTTCTATGCCTGTCAGTGGCTGCCCATGTGGCTGTGTTGTCTGTGTGGGTGTGTTGTCTGTGTGGGTGTGTTGTCTGTGTGGGTGTGTTGTCTGTGTGGGTGTGTTGTCTGTGTGGGTGTGTTGTCTGTGTGAGTGTGTTGTCTGTGTGAGTGTGTTGTCTGTGTGGGTGTGTTGTCTGTGTGGGTGTGTTGTCTGTGTGGGTGTGTTGTCTGTGTGGGTGTATTGTCTGTGTGGGTGTGTTGTCTGTGTGGGTGTGTTGTCTGTGTGAGTGTGTTGTCTGTGTGGCTGTGTTGTCTGTGTGGCTGTGTTGTCTGTGTGGGTGTGTTGTCTGTGTGGGTGTGTTGTCTGTGTGGGTGTGTTGTCTGTGTGAGTGTGTTGTCTGTGTGAGTGTGTTGTCTGTGTGGGTGTGTTGTCTGTGTGAGTGTATTCTCTGTGTGGGTGTATTGTCTGTGTGGGTGTGTTGTCTGTGTGGGTGTGTTGTCTGCGTGGGTGTGTTGTCTGCGTGGGTGTGTTGTCTGTGTGGGTGTGTTGTCTGCGTGGGTGTGTTGTCTGTGTGGGTGTGTTGTCTGCGTGGGTGTGTTGTCTGCGTGGGTGTGTTGTCTGCGTGGGTGTGTTGTCTGTGTGGGTGTGTTGTCTGTGTGGGTGTGTTGTCTGCGTGGGTGTGTTGTCTGCGTGGGTGTGTTGTCTGCGTGGGTGTGTTGTCTGCGTGGGTGTGTTGTCTGCGTGGGTGTGTTGTCTGCGTGGGTGTGTTGTCTGCGTGGGTGTGTTGTCTGCGTGGGTGTGTTGTCTGCGTGGGTGTGTTGTCTCCAGGTGGACGCTGCGTCCTGCACCTCGGTGCAGTTTCTCGCTCGCGGCTCGAGCTGCTCGGCGGAGGTGAGCGACACGAGCAGGCTCGACTCCAGGTCCCCGCGCGCCGCGTCCGGGTCGAAGGCGGCTTGCGGGTGCGACACCAGGAGGCTCAGGCTCACGGCGAACCCGGCCATGTCGATGGGGAACGGCCGCTCTGGCCGCCACGCCGTGTGGAACGACGCGACGCGGCCCTCCACCACCACGGGGCCCTCGAAGCGCAGGCCGCCCACCAACCCGACCGGCCACACCGACACGCCGCGCGTCCAGCGCATCTGTGGTGTGGCGGTGGGGGGGGGGTAGCGAGCGGTGGTGTGGTGGTTAGCACGCCGCACTACAAACCCGACAACCCGAGTTTCATTACCGCTCATGGCCAGCAGTGAATGTCTGAACCTGCCCCTTGGCCTCGCCAAGGTCGATTCAGCCTCAAATTAGTACCTGGTGCGGTTGTGTAAACATAAGCACTGAGCAGACAAAGGGAGCCAGGCATGGTGGTGGTCACACCACCCCCTCGTACACCAATTACAGTCTAAGTAGACTATACGAGGGATCTTTGTGGAAGTGGGGAGCACAGTGATCTCAATGGGTCCGTTCTGTGACCTGTTATCGAGCGTTCAACACTTCACGTGGCCTCAAAATACACCCAAGTTGGCACCAGTATGGTGGTGATGTCACCGCCACTTTAGTGGCAAATGGCAGCTGGTGGATTGAAGGCTCGTTAGTAAGAGATCACGGGGACCCAGTCGTTATAATATTTCATAGGCGCCATGGTGGCGACATGTTAGCTTCCTTGCCTGGTACACAGGAAGTCGTGGGTTCGATCCTGACCCTGACGAACTGTATATTTGTCTTTCGATTTAAAGCTTTCGTGACTGCAGGGATTCATCTTCTTGGTTCTTTCGGTAAAGTCACGTAGAAAGGAAGTAATAAAATAATAAAAATAAAACATAATAAAATAATTCTGACGACGTTTCGGCCACAACGCAAGCAGCCGTCCTCAGGTTCCATTCAGCCAGTTCCATTTGGTAAATTGTATCCACATTTTCAATGTCAATAGAAAATGGGTTACGGAAAAGCTGTATGTCCTGTTCATGGAGATGAAGCTCTTTAAATCCAAATTGGAACTCCTTTTGCAATTTTTCCAGTGAATCCACACGTTTTGTTTGGGAATGCAACCAATGGTTTTTCCGCTAACAGATTTTGAGTTGTGGGGAGATGGCAGAAGTTTTCCTCCTTCACTTGTTTGATGAGGAGGCCTAATATTACTTCAAATGCTTTGACATGTGATTGCATATCACAGATGAGCTTCCCCTTTCCTTGAAGTTGCACATTGAAACTGTTGAGTAGCTCTGTTACATCTGTCAGAAAGGCAAGGTGCCATTTCCATTCTGCATCATTGAGCTCTGGTACTTCTTTGTTTTTTTAAAGCAGAAAAGCTGTAATCTGCGGAAGTAAGTCATAGAAACGTTTCAAAACTCTCCCTCAACTCAGCCAACGGACTTCTGTGTGATACAGAACATCTTCATAGTCAACATTTAGCTCAGACAGAAATGCTTGAAATTGTCTGTGGTTTAGTGCATGAGCTCTAATGAAGTTAACACAAGATACCACAAATTTCATAACCGAGTCCCACTTCAGTGATTTACTACACAGCGCTTGTTGGTGGATGAGGCAGTGTATGGCTATTGGATGAGAATGGTTATGTTTGTCCATCTCTTGGTTAATGCGAGCAATTACTCCTTTCTTAGACCCCACCATGCTAGGAGCACCATCAGTTGTCACACTGGCTAGTTTAGCCCAGTTCAGCTCCAAACCATTCACAGTTTGGCAAACCTTTTCATAGATATCCTCTCTTCTTGGTTCTTTCGGTAAAGTCACGTAGAAGGGAAGTGATAAAATAATAAAAATAAAACATAATAAAATAATTCTCACGACGTTTCGGCCACAACGCAAGCAGCCGTCCTCAGGTGAAGAACAGGTTTATTATTTTATTACTTCCCTTCTACGTGACTTTACCGAAAGAACCAAGAAGATGTATATTTGTCATTTGCATGTTCTCCCCGTGGTCGCGTGGATTATTCTCTGGGTCCTCCGGTTTTTCCTTCCACATTTAGAAACATGCGTTTTAAAGTAACCGAGATGACAGATGCACCACCTGTCTTTCCCATTGTGCCACCTTGCTGCGTTTTAGTTGCATGGATCTCTGCTTGTTGTCCGTCTCGCTCCTACTTTTTGATGTTAGAAGGCAGCCAGCCGCCTCCACTGCCTAGCATCGTCCCGAACGAGCCTCCTCGACAGAGACCTACCTTGACACCACTGGCATGACATATGGACGCGCACAAACACACACACACACCTCCTCGAAGAGCTCCAGGCTGTACGTATTGTCATCGTCGGCAAAGTAGACGACGGCGCCGGTGTCGGCGGCACGGTGCTCGCGGAGCCAAGCGATGCCGCGATTGCGCTGCAGGACCCCCCGTGGCTTCAGCCAGCGCGGGTCCGAGTCCGCGAGCTTCATCCGCGAAGGAGTCGCTGCGTGCAGCTGCGTGTGCTCGAGTCCGGAGCCTGGTCGGGGTGGCGGACGGTGGGAGAAGACGACAAAAAAAAGCACCGCGCTATAATGTGCGTGTGTGCAAATCTGTGGTTGTTGTATCTTTGGGGTGGCGGGAGTGTCGTGGTTAGCGCGCTGCACTACGAACATGGTGGCCCCGGGTTCAAGTCCCGCTCACGGCCACCGCTAGTGACAATTATTTCAACTGGTCCTGGGCCTTCCCTAAGTCAACTCAGCCTCAAATGAGTACCTGGTGTGGTGTGGTGCTGGCCACCCACCCCATCGTGTGCCATGCCGGCCTTCATAGGTGCTTGCTAACAGCACTTGCCCCAACAGTCTGTTAAGGCTATACAGGGGATCTTTGTCTTTATTTTAGTTGCATCTTTAAGATTGTACGCTTGTGTCAGTGTGTTATCGTGCTTGTATATGTCCGTGCTTATGTGCGTGTGTCTGCATGCTTGTGTACGACTGTGACTGTGTATTTGTCCGTAGATGTCTTATTCTGTGAACGAGTATGTAGAAGCGTCTGCTAGCAGGTGTATGTGTTTCTGCATGTTTGTGTGTTCATGCATGCGCAATGCAGTGCAAAACACTGCCGCTCTAAAAAACAATGTTGCAGCCAATCAGCAGAGCACATCCGTTCCCTAACCCCAACCATTATCCGTCCACCTGTTTTCACATTCATGTTTGTGTTTCTCCCATTACCGTGCCCCTATGGGACCCAAAACAGCAGCTCTATATTACTTCTTCATTTCGGTAATGACAGGGATGAATGAACACCTTCCTGTCTCATGTTTTCTTATTCTAGGAAATGGCTGACAGTTTGTGGTGAATTTTTTTTAATCCAGCTTGGTCACAAAGTTAGTTGACCTTTAAAATATCCATTATTCAGTTCCCGTTAATATTTGTGATTAATTTATGAAGATGTGATAAAAGGCTAATTGCCTGTGATTATTCAAGTCAATTTCGTCTACTTTACAAGACAGAGGAAGTTATTGAGGGACCATAATTGGGGTATTTCATTTCTGTACGAAAAAATATAGTGAGTAGGTCTGCTAATTTTATCATTTGACCAGTTGGAATCGTACAACTGCGTAGGATTCTGTTATTGGTGCTGTGTAGCTCTGCAATGTATTTTCGGGTTGAACCGCGTGTTGTTCCACACGACGTCTGAAACTTTGCTCTCCGCGCCGGGAAGCTTCTTCAGGAACTGAAGCTGGAATAATATTTCATCCTGCACCAGACAGAACAACTGCAGATTTGGGAAAGAAAGTTGGACTGACTGCCAAAACTAAATTAGTCGACCTACCAGGTAAAGCCCACTGAGCTATATAGCTCTTTTTCAGAGCGACCTGGCCACAAATGATAGCACAAGTGGCTTATCATGTGGACATTTTTAGCAGCAAAATACTCTAAATGCATGTTTCTAAATGTGGAGGGAAAAACCGGAGGACCCGGAAAAAATTCCACGCGACCACGGGAAGAACATGCAAACTCCAAACATACAGGCATCAGGGTTGAGATCGAACCCACGACCTCCTGCATACCAGGCGAGGAAGTTAACATCTCGTCACCGTAATGCCCATCTCGCGACCATGCCTGCAACACAACTGGAGTCATCTGACAAAATTGTCGCCAAACTGCAATTGGCGGTGGCGGCTGCAGCAGGAGCAGCAGCAGCGGTGTTTCGTCCGAGCAGTGGCGCTTCTCGCCGCGGCGCCCACCGTCGTACCCTCCAGCAGACGCCGCACCAGCGCCGACGGCTCCTCCGCGTCCTCCACCAGCACCCAGTGGAGCGCGGGCACGAGCGCCAGCGTGTGTGCCAGGCGGGTCAGCTCAGCCTTCTGCACGAGGCGGGCATACGTGGGCGTCACCACGTAGATCGTGGGCAGCGGCCGCTCGTCATCGTCGCCGCCGCCGTCGCCGCCGTCGTCGTCACGGCGCCCGGCACCGACGCGGTCGCGAGCGCGCGCCGCCCTGCGCACGCGTCGCAGCTCCGAGAGGAGCTCCGACTCGCGCTGTTCGGCCGCCACCAGGTGCGTGCGGCAGTCGCACGATTGGCCTGCAAGAGACAGCGGCGGGGGTGGGGGGGATGCGAGCGCGCACGAGGGGCACACAACGATTCAGCATCGGACGGCGAGACGGAATGTCGTCCCTAAGTTCAGTCGCAATGTTTGAAATGCGCTCGGAAACGCTCCGCCTCGTTCGACGTTTTACCTTCGTTGACTACGGTGACATCATTTACTGGGCGAACGTCAATTCGACCTTGGGTCAACTAAACCCAATATATCATTCAGCCTATTGATTCGTCTTAAGTTCCAGCTATTCAACATCCGAATCTGGTTTTCGCTCATTCTCAGCAGGAGAAATATACGTTTTGCCATACAGAATTTCTCTACGTGACTTTCTCTGGACTTTTGCCCTGCAGAAAATATGGTTTGATGCTTCCAGTTCAAACCCTTGTCACCTAAGACACATCACGAGGATCTAGTGAGTGCACTGCCGTGAAGGCAAATAACTGTTTTGGGCAACCCCTTTAATGTACCATATTCTAGGAACTTTAATTAATATGAAGCTTTTTCAGGCAACCACGGCACAATTTGTCTGGAACCCCTCTTCCTACCCGTCCGCCAAGGGAGTCCCTACCAGGAGTACAAACAAGACTTCAGGCAACATAGCTCTGAGGGACATTAGAACACACAAATCCCACCACCACGATAAGGTTACGATCCTTCGTGGGGAATTTGTTATTTATTCAATATTTGGTTTCATTTCTTATATGGTTCTGATCGAAAATGTTCATTTTGTAACGACAATGCTTACCCCTAATTGGCTATTGGACATTTTTAAATCTTATTGCTATTTACTCTTGCCTACCGTTTATTGTCATATGGATATAATTATTGCCTACCGGCACTTGCCTATAACAATATCAACTTATATAACGACTATCATAAAATCTCAAGGCACTTTACATCAATGACATCGGGGGTGGTGTTGGGTGACAAGTGGCTCTGAATTGAAACAAGCAATGCCTTCTGAAATAGAGAAACGTCTTTTGGATCCCGACCAGAATTCGCCAGAGATTTCCACATTCCGGGTGCCCGAGAGGCGAGGGCACGGAGATCGCCGCCCGTGGACTTGAGCTTCGCTCTGGGGATGCAGAGGCGACCCAAGTCCATCGATCTCAAACTTCTTGTTGGAACGTGGTGGGGGTCTCAGTCGCGACTCCCCAATACGGAGGTGCCAGGCCACTCAAGGGCCTTGAATGTGAGGAGGGCCTTAGATTTTGAACGGAATTTAAGCAGCAAGCAGTGAGCGAAGCGATGCAAGCACGAGGGGTTGGTATGTTGTGATTGAAGAGTTTGGGCAAGGACCCAAACAGCTGCATTCTGAACGGAGAGGAGTCGATAAAGTATCTTAGGGGCCGTCCATAAGTGACGTCACGCGATTTTGGACGATTTTTGACCCCCACCCCTCGTCACACGGCGTCACAAAAAGTCTGACGTCACAAAGCTCTGCCCCCCCCCCAAAATAAAACATGCTTCAAATCGCTTTAAACTATTGTCATTGTAGTGCGTATTTAATGTGGCGCTGCACTCTGATGTTGTAGGAGAAAACATTTATTAAAAAGTCTATTTAATTAAGTAGAACGTGTTGTCTATATTTATTTAAAGTTGCGCATTTTGATATGACGTCACATTTCTCAAACCCCCTCCCCCTCACTCTTTGATTATTTCGGTAAAGTGACGTATAAAGAGAAAATAATAAATTAAATACTAGCATACGACGTTTCGATTGCAACACAAGCAATCATCATCAGGTATAAATGAAATAGAAACACAAATCTAGTATACTTAGAAATGTAATGTAATACAACAGAGAGTCGGATAACATAACAGTCAACACCCTACCTGGTTGATTACGTTCTTCCTGAGAATGCTAAATTTGAGAGAGAGATTGAGAGATAAAACACAGAACCAGAGACATATAGACAGACATATAAGTAGAGACAGATATCACAGAGATACATAGAGACAGAGACGGACATAGGCACACAGAGAAACCACGTGTCCAGGGAGGGGTTAGAGAAATTAGCATGTCAATGAGTGACACGCTGCAGAAGCTGACCCCCCCCCCCCCCCCAGGTGCGTGACGTCATTTATGGACGGCCCCTTACTGAATGTTCCAGATAGAAAGGCGTTGCAATAGTCTTTGGCTTTGACTGTTGCCCATCACAGAGTTCTACATCGCAAGGCCCGCGGGCCAATTGCGGCCCCTGACAATACACAAAGAGTGAAAACACCGTCCCATCACCATCATCATGCTGCTGTCAAACCCCCAAGGGTTTAAAATGTGTAGCAGCCCTCACACTGATGATATGTTATCGGCGAAAGTGGCCCCCATCTGAAAATGCATTAGGAACACTGGACTATATCACTATGGCAATTGCCTATCGGCTTTTGTTCTTGCCGATCGACAATTGGCTATGATTATCGCAAAATGGTTAAACTCACTGGCTAAAAATATTTCCTATCGGCGACTGTCTACGATAATTGCCGGCTGGTCATTGTTTATTGGCTATCTACCCATTGGACAACAACAGAAACATCAAAAATTAACCCGTAAAAACAAAGTTTTTCACTATAAATCCTTTATATGCGTGGCATCGGTTTTATTTTATTATTCATTTTTGTTTTTCTTGAGTAAGAGTTTCATTTTTTATCACATTGGTATTTTAAATTAAATATGAAAAAAAAAATTCCTAAAAAGTGGAAAAATTTTGAAAACATTTTTCACGAAAATAAATTGTCACGCACAACGAGTTTGTGTGCAAAATGTCAGCTCGATTGGATCACGGGAAGTGGGTTAAAAAACGACCGAAAGATTTGCACGGTCGTAAGCAAGCAAGCAAGCAAGTGAACTTAATATAAAGGATTTAAAAAGCGTGTTGTTCGTAAAAATTTAACGATCCGGAGAGGGAGGAAGACCTAACAGAGAGAATGAATGGGCTTGACGGCGACATAAGAGATTGGTGCAAGAAAAACGTCGAGCACTACTTGAGAATATTGCAAAGCTGTCAACCCATACGGTTTGACTCCGTACTCTTGTACAGAGAAATTGAGTTTTCAGGTCCATACGGCATACAGCCGTTTCATTACGGGCAAACATTTTTTTGTCTTTCTCCCTTGTGATGGGACTGACTGTCGAGATGAACGTTGAGATCCATCATGGCACGGGGTGACCAATAAGTTATGAACTGCTCTGCAATAAGGTAGGGCACTGATAAGGGGTTGACAGGTATGATTTTGGCACTGCAAGGCAAGAGGAGGAAAGTGGAAACAGATGCCGAAATTCGCAGGCCCACCTACCTGCCCACGTGCATTGGGTTGACCCTTTTGACCCAGCGAGATCACTGGCAGATCCAACCGTCTGTGCTCCACACTGCCAAAACCATCCCTCGCATAGTCTACATAGATTGTTGGGTCTCCTGCTGTTAGCCAGCACCTGAAGATGACCCTTTTGACCCAGCGAGATCACTGGCAGATCCAACCGTCTGTGCTCCACACTGCCAAAACCATCCCTCGCATAGTCTACATAGATTGTTGGGTCTCCTGCTGTTAGCCAGCACCTGAAGATGACCCTTTTGACCCAGCGAGATCACTGGCAGATCCAACCGTCTGTGCTCCACACTGCCACAACCATCCCTCGCAGAGTCTACATAGATTGTTGGGTCTCCTGCTGTTAGCCAGCACCTGAAGATGACCCTTTTGACCCACTGAGCTATGACTTTATTGAGAGCGTATTGCCTATGGGGGGGATGTTATTAGCCTTATCGGGGCTTTGCTGCTGCTGATGCTGCTGATGCCGGAGGAGGCTCGTGAAGGACGCTGCTACTGGGCAATTGGAAGCAGTCGCCCTCCAGCAACAACGGAGGGTAGAGGAGCGACGCTCACAACAACGAGCGGAGCGCCGGGTGGATAAAACACAGCAAGTTGGCACAGTCGGGGGGTACAGCTGGTGGTGGTGCATCTACCGGTCATTTCAGCCGACCCATGGCACCTGCAGGGTCCGTCCCGTGACCTCCTGCACCTAGCCTGGCACAGTAGGGGTACAGCTGGTGGTGGTGCATCTACCGGTCATCTCAGTCAGCCAACCCCATGGCACCTGCAGGGTCTGTCCTGAGACCTCCTGCACCTAGCCTGGTACAGTAGGGGGGTACAGCTGGTGGTGGTGCATCTACCAGTGGTCATCTCAGCCAGCTAACCCATGACACCTGCAGGGTCTGTCCCAAGACCTCCTGCACCTAGCCTGGCACAGTAGGGGGTACAGCTGGTGGTGTATCTACCGGTCATCTCAGTCAGCCAACCCCATGACACCTGCAGGGTCTGTCCTGAGACCTGCACCTAGCCTGGCACAGTAGGGGTACAGCTGGTGCATCTACCAGTGGTCATCTCAGTCAGCTAACCCCATGACACCTGCAGGGTCTGTCCCGAGACCTGCACCTAGCCTGGCACAGTAGGGGGTACAGCTGGTGGTGCATCTACTGCTCATCTCAGTCAGCCAACCCCATGGCACCTGCAGGGTCTGTCCCGGAACCTCCTGCACCTAGCCTGGCACAGTAGGGGGCACAGCTGGTGCATCTACTGGTCATCTCAGTCAGCCAACCCCATGACACCTACAGGGTCTGTCCCGAGACCTGCACCTAGCCTGGCACAGTAGGGGGGTACAGCTGGTAGTGCATCTACCAGTGGTCATCTCAGTCAGCTAACCCCATGACACCTACAGGGTCTGTCCTGAGACCTGCACCTAGCCTGGCACAGTAGGGGGCACAGCTGGTGCATCTACCAGTGGTCATCTCAGTCAGCTAACCCCATGGCACCTGCAGGGTCTGTCCCGAGACCTCCTGCACCTAGCCTGGCACAGTAGGCGGGTACAGCTGGTGCATCTACCGGTCATCTCAACCAGCCAACTCCATGGCACCTGCAGGAGACCTCCTTGCCAGCGACACCTTGGGACACTTCGCGTGGCGGCCTCTACGTGCACCTAGCCTGGCACGGGCGCCGTGGCGGCGTTTGTCCGTCGCTTCGTGGCGAGTGGCGGGGGGTGGGGGGGGTGCAGTTGGTGTTCGTTACCGAGCTGCGAGAGGGCGTAGAGGAGGCCGCCGCACGACGCCACGAAGTAGAGGAGGAAGAGGCTCTTGAGACGGAGCCGCGCCATTTGGGGGGCTCGCGACGTGATGTGAGGAGGGTGGGGGGCACGTGGGGGGCACGTGGGGGGGGGGGTGCAAGACGCGATTTAACAATCGCGAAACGGCGGCGTCGCGGCAAGCGCGGCTACCCGTAGCGCGCCGGTGTCGATTGCTTCCCTGTATCGCCCGGATCGATTCTAGGATCGATTTCTCGGTTGGTGGCGTTTTGTAGTTTTGTCAGCACGTAGCGAATGTCGGGGAGGAGGTCTGCGTGAGTTGATACAACAGTCGTGCGTTAGTGGAGTTGTGCGTGTGTACGTTTGAGTGTTGCGGCCGTTGATGCATGTGAATAAGGCGGGTATTAGGAATCGTTGCTGTCAACGATTCGAGGAATCGAATCGACGTGCTGATGTGTCGGCGATTCGGCCACGCGTTGTGTCACTCGCTGCATCGTCAGCCTGGGGGACATTCAGAATCTTGATTCAAATACTGCGCGAGGAATCCGATAAGCTATAAAGCTCTTTTTCACAGATGTCCAGTAGTTGTTTTTGTCCACCCGACAGGCCCCGTAAACAATTCCACTCGTTCGGTTAAACCCCAAACAAGTCACCGCAGACCCCGTAATATATATATAAAATTGTCTCGGCGAATCAAAACGTCAATTTAAAAAACGAAATTTGTTCAAAATAAAAACAACTTCCGGCTCCCATTCATAAATTCGTCTTGGACGTCGGCTATGACGTCGTACGGTGGCCGCGGAGGGACGCGTCGGCGCAGCGCGTGAGTCGTGACGTTTAAAAACGCACACAAAACGCGTTTTATAAATACACCCCCCACGGGTCACGCGCCGCGGTTGGCGGCCTCCCACGAGGATCTGCAAACCTCGTCCGTCTCCACCGCGTCGTTCATCGCTCGACCTTCGAGTCTCCCTGCAGCAACAACAACAACAACGACGCGAATTGACATCGCGATTGTTTAAACAACAACAACAACCGCCCGCTGTTTGTCTACGCCGTGTTGCTTCTTCTTCGTGCTGCTGGTGGTGCTGCTGGTGGTTGTTGTTGGGTAAGGCGACGCCATCCGCGAGTTTGTACGAAGACTTTTAAGTTGCAACTTTCACCCACTCGTAGATCAACAAACACGACGGTGGTGCTGGTGGGGGGGAAGGCACGACACGCCACGCCGAAACTATCGGTAACTTGTTGTTTCGAGTGCACCGTTTAGGGGGCCGACAATCAAATAATTATTAATTGGTGATGGTGGTGGTGGGGGGGCAGTAGGGAACGCGTTTCGAGATGGAAGTCCGAGCCCCAGGGAGACGGAGCGGCGAAATCGCCTCCGTGTGCGCGGATTGTTGCTGGGGGGGAGAGGCCTTCATCCAGCAGTGGATTGGCCGCGCCCCACGACGAAGGCGACCTACACGCACACGGTGTGTGTAGGACACACATGGTGTGTGTCCTACACACACCATGTGTGTAGGACACACACCATGTGTGTAGGACACACATGGTGTGTGTCCTACACACATGGTGTGTGTCCTACACACATGGTGTGTGTCCTACACACACCGTGTGTGTCCTACACACATGGTGTGTGTCCTACACACACCATGTGTGTAGGACACACATGGTGTGTGTCCTACACACACCATGTGTGTCCTACACACATGGTGTGTGTCCTACACACATGGTGTGTGTCCTACACACATGGTGTGTGTCCTACACACATGGTGTGTGTCCTACACACATGGTGTGTGTCCTACACACCATGTGTGTCCTACACACACCATGTGTGTCCTACACACACCATGTGTGTCCTACACACATGGTGTGTGTCCTACACACATGGTGTGTGTCCTACACACATGGTGTGTGTCCTACACACATGGTGTGTGTCCTACACACATGGTGTGTGTCCTACACACACCGTGTGTGTCCTACACACATGGTGTGTGTCCTACACACATGGTGTGTGTCCTACACACATGGTGTGTGTAGGACACACATGGTGTGTGTGTGTAGGTAGCCTTGTGTAGGGTTGTCTTACACACACATGGAGGGTGTAGGACAACCCTACACACACGGTGTGTAGGACACACATGGTGTGTGTAGGTCGCCTTGTGTAGGGTTGTCCTACACACGGTGTGTGTAGGACAACCCTTCACACACACACATGGTGTGTGTGTGAAGGGTTGTCCTACACACACACATGGAGGGTGTAGGACAACCCTTCACACACACACATGGTGTGTGTGTGAAGGGTTGTCCTACACACACACATGGAGGGTGTAGGACAACCCTTCACACACACACATGGTGTGTGTGTGAAGGGTTGTCCTACACACACACATGGAGGGTGTAGGACAACCCTACACACACACACATGGTGTGTGTGTGTAGGGTTGTCCTACACACACACTCATGGTGTGTGTGTGTGTGTGTAACAGCGTGGTGCGGCAGCAGCTGTGGTAGTGGACACGGCGTGTTTGTTTTGGAGGGAAAGCGACGATGGGCCAGAGGAGGAAGTGGTTCAGACTCTTTGGTTCTTTCGGTAAAGTCACGAGGGTATAAAATACATTAAACCACGACGTTTCGGGCGCAACACCAGCAGTAGTTTCTCGCTGTGGTTGTCCTCCCACCTGATGATGATTGCTTGTGTTGCGCCCGAAACGTCGTGATGTAATGTGTTTCGTTTTCTAACTAGGTGACTTTACCGAAAGAACCAACGTGTATGGATCCGTTCAGTCACGAAAACTTCAAATCTAGCAATGAGGGAAGGGGTTCTTGAGCCTGGGCTGGAAGGGGAGGGAGGTCCACACCCCGGTGCAGCAGCATAGAAGTACAGTCAACATGGGATACCTTTTTGGCAGTATCAAAGTATGGAAACATAAGAATGTTTTACCCTGTCTGGCAGTAAACCCGATTTCAAAAGACGGTGCATATATTTATCACAGCATGTTTTACTGGTAGGAACCTCCTGGTTACACCAGCCCACAGGGGATTATTGTGTCCGTCTGTCGGGCTGGGTGGGTGGGGAGGGAGGGGCTGGGAGGGGAGGGGCTGGGTGGGGGGGTAGAGAGGGTGGGGAGGGGCTGGGTGGGGGGGGCTGGGTGGGGAGGGTGGGGCTGGGTGGGGGTGGGAGGGGGAGGGGTTGGGCTGGGTGGGGAGGGGCTGGTCACCCCGTGGTGCCCTTATAAAACTCAACGTTTAACCTACTCACGCCGGCTTGTGCCCGCCCTCACAGTTGGGCATATTTGCGGAATACACCACGCCGCCGTTGACCCTGCAGGCCATTGACCGAGCAACCCAACGTTCCTGCCAGCTCCTTCCGCAGGACAATGTGTTTTGTCTGCACGTGCAGCACGGGTACGCGTGGCCAATGCGCTAACTTGGTTTTCTTGCAAAAGGTTTCGATTTGGCGTTTGAAAGTCTTGACACCTACCGAGTTTGATTTGCCAGAAAGGGTAAAACACAATTCTTATTTTGTTTTTCCCCAAGTTCAGCCATATCTACCAACCACAAAACACCACCCATGCAAGGTTCGCCGACATTGCGTACATCTATTTAGACCGCTCTTCATCTTTGTTATTTATGATCCGTCGTTTGTTGTGTATATGGCTACGAGGCGTCGGGGCAACCTGCTGGCTCCAGAGCCTCATGCGGTCCTTTTAAGGACCATGCCATCTCGAAACTCGCATGCCCGTTCCGACAACAAACGTCTCCGCTTGTTGTGTGTTAATGCCCGACGACCCCTGGTGTGCCAGCAACAGGAGCATCACGGTGTTGCATCGAGGTGGTTTACTGAGTGGAATACAGGCAGTCCTCTAGTAATAGAGTTTTACCCTTTCAACTGGTACAAAAACTGACACCTTTATACAAGGCATCATGTTTGCAATAACCACAACGCAAGCAGTCAAAATGCAAACAAAAAGAAACAACTCTGATGATCTTCTTGGTTCTTTCGGTAAAGTCACGTAGAAGGGAAATAATAACATAATACAAATAAAACATGTGGCCGAAACGTCGTGAGAATTATTTTATGTTTTATGTTTATTATTTTATTATTTCCCTTCTACGTGACTTTACCGAAAGAACCAAGAAGATGAATCCCTGCAGTCACGAAAGCTTTAAATCGAAACTTTGATGATGATAATGATATGCACTGTCCTTGAAGTTGATTGGTCCACACCCGAGACAGCTTTTCTTAGAGCCTAGTCTCCATTGGTGTTGGACCAGATGACGCCACAGGTAGTCCTCTACTTACGACGGAGATGCGTTACGACGACCCCATCGTAAGTCTAAAATATTGTAAGTCGAAGATGGCCTAGCCTACCCAGGAGTCTTAAAGAATGGTGATAATTTAGCAAAACAGCAATTTACAGTACCATACTATATAAACTATATGCTGTATGTTTTTATTAATTACAATACTGTATTGCACAGTAAAATGTGAAGTAAAAAACTAGGTAAATTCTTAGCCTACCTATATGAACTGCAATTTAATAGAACGTTTTTTCAGGAAACAATCCTATCTGCTGTAAAAAAAAAACTTTTAACATGCGTTGAACGTATCGTTTGCCTGCCGCGCGAAATGTAAACTAACAATTTTGTCGTATCGCCATCGTAAGATCGTAAGTCGGACCCCATCGTAACTCGGGGACTACCTGTAATTGCTTTCGGAGCAGCGTGGTGAAAATCGGGCTTTTGAGTCCTGTGGTATTTTGTTGCACGGTTTCTGTTCTGACTGGTTTACCCCCCACAGCCTCCGCATACCTGACCGGAGAGTTTTAATTTATTTTCCAATTTACGCGTCATCAGCATGCGGATTTGGGTTGTGGCCCTGTAAGCTTCTCGGAAGGTACAAATATTAACAAATGACAGTTAAGGGGCCGTCCATAAATGACGTCACGTGATTTTGGACGATTTTTTACCCCCCCCCCCCCTTCGTTACACGGCGTTTCAAAAAGTCAAACCCCCCCTCCAATATGACGTCACAAAGCTCTGGCGCCCCCCCTCCCCAAAAAATAAAACATGCTTCAAATCGCTTTAAACTATTGTCATTGTAGTGCGTATTTAATGTGCCGCTGCACTCTGATGTTGTAGGAGAAAACATTTATCAAAAAGTCTATTTAATTAAGTAGAACGTGTTGTCTATATTTATTTAAAGTTGCGCATTTTGATGTGACATCACATTTTTCAAACCCCCCCACCCCTCGTCACATATCGTCACAAATGTCTGACCCACCCCCCAGGTGCGTGACGTCATTTATGGACGGCCCCTAATGGCTGTTCTCCTTTTGGCGTTATGTGGTCTAGGCCCTAAAGAAGACTGTCTCTGGTGTAGACCAATCAGTTTCAAAGACAATTCTACATATTACCAGAGCATGTTTTTGTTTGCATGTTCATCACAAGTACGTGTGGTTAACGCAGACTTGATTCCTTGCAAAAGGTGTTAGAACATCTTAACGCGTCCTGTTTTATTGCCAGAAAAGTAAAAACCCTATTCGTAATCAGCTAATGGTATTCGCGGATCTTTTTAAAATTCACATTTGGCCGTGCTTGTGTAGACGAGTTTTAATTTTGATGAGCTTGTATATTGGCGTGCGAAAAGTTTTGTTCAAGGGTTTGACGGGTGGCCTCAAGGTCCTGAGAGGTTGAGAAAAAAAAACCCCTAGCTAAAGGTTGATGCCACCCAAAGAGAGATATGATCTCCGCAGCTGCACCAGCCAGTACACCGGGGTTCTGTGCTCTGACAGATGAGTTAGAACAGGGGTCGGCGGACACCCGCGGGCTTTGTTAAGGACCACATTGCGGCTCTTGAAATATTGAGGGGTTTTTTTTCTTTACCGAATTCGATAAAATGTTTTTTGTTATTTTGGTTGCCTATCCCTGACCATGGGAGTTCAGTTTACCATGGGGGGGGGGGGGGTCCCGTTTACTATGGGAGTCCCGTTTACCATGGGAGTCCCGTTTACCATGGGAGTCCCGTTTACCATGGGAGTCCCGTTTACCATGGGAGTCCCGTTTACCATGGGAGTTCGGTTTACCATGGGGGTTCAGTTTACCATGGAGGGGGTCCCGTTTACCATGGGAATTCAGTTTACCACGGGGGGGGGGCCCGTTTACCATGGGAGTTCAGTTTACCATGGGGGGGGGTCCCGTTTACCATGGGGGTCCCGTTTACCATAGTAGTCCAGTTTGCCATGGGCGTCCTGTTTGCCATGGGCGTCCCGTTTGCCATGGGCGTCCCGTTTACCATGGGAGTTCCGTTTACCATGGGAGTTCAGTTTACCATGGGCGTCCCGTTTACCATGGGCAGGAGTCAGCGACCTGCGGCTCTTCAAGGACTGCTTCTTGTCGTTGTTTTATAAAAGATCACCACCATCTCGTATTCACCACCACACAGTGCATGGTGGCTCTTGACGTTTTGAGTGCTTTATTGTTTGTTATGTTGGTTACTGACCCCTGAGTTAGAAGCTTCCTTAATCAGGAGAACATTTATTTAAAGTAGCGATCATTCTAGTGACATTACTGCGCTGACGGTATTACACGTGTTTTTTTTTTCTCTCTCAAGATATTTCGGCTGAAAAATCCCTTGAGACCGATGGACGCATGCAATCGCAAACACGTGGCAACACGTGTGTACACACATTCACACGCAAGTTATTTTCGTTGGGCGTCACGGTCGAATATTTTAGTTTGACAAATGAATCGAGGCATAGCTTGGGTATGTAGCTGAAAAAAATGCATGTGTTGTTGAGGGTATGAAAAGAGGAACCGGTGATATCGTTGCGGAACGTGCACCCCCCTAATGGAACATCTTCGCCGGTTAGAAACATTTAGGCTGGCCTGCTAACGATCCATCCTGGGTTTAACCATATATGTGTGTGTGCGTCTAAGTCGATGTGTTTCTATGTGTGTGGGTTAATGTATGTGTGTAAGTCCATGTGTGTGTCTGCCTTTTTCGCCCGGGCAACGCCGGGTACTTACCGCTAGTCGTTGCATAAAAGCTTGAATGGTTTTTTTATTCCCTTGTAACAGCTTTAAATCACGAAAGAAGAGACATTGCTTGCGTGTTTTATGCTGCTGGCCACTGGTCTGATCTGGTTGGGTTGTGGGGTTATGTAGGGAAGGAATGCCTTGGGTTGGGTTGGGGAGGTTTACTTGCGATATGTTAACTTCCTCGCCCAGCATACAGGATGTTGTGGATTAGATCCCGAACCTCTGACGCCTGTATATTTGGAGTTTGCATGTTCTCCCCGTGGTCGCGTGGATTATTCTCTGGGTTCTCCGGTTTTTCCCTCTAAAACGCATGTTTCTAAATGTGGAGTATTTGGCTGCTACTATAAATTTCCACGTGAGAATCCACTTCGTTCATCTATAATTTGTAATAAAGGCTGCTTATTAAAAAGCACTACTGTATATATCTCCGTGGGCCTTACCTGGTAAAATAAAAAATAGTAACATTTTGAGTGCTTGGTCCGGTCAGGTGAAGTGAGGTTGAGAAAGAAGACCTGGTCAGGTATTTGAGGACCCTTTCAGGTATGGCCAAGTCAAGTAAGGGCAGGTTTCATTGAGTAATGGAGGACATATAATATTCGGTGAGGTGGTTGCGGTTTGGAGGAGTTTAATTCACTTTGTTAGAATCATAATATTTAAACTGGAAGAACCAGATGAGCTATAAAGCTGATTTTCACAGATGTCCAGTCGGGGCGGGTCAGAACGTTACAGAAACATTCGATACAGAAACACGATAGGAGTGCAAAGTATAGGAAAGGTAAACAAATTGCTTACAAAAAAAATTAACAATTGTTTTATATTGCCAGGTAAAGCCCACTGAGGTGTTAACTTATTTTTCAGAAGCGACTTGGCCACAATTACTAGCTCAACAAAGTGGCTCATCATAAATGTATAGCAGCAAAATCATCTTAATGCACGTTTCTGAATGTGGACAGGTGCAGTTGGGCAGGAAAGTCCAGGACAGGCTCTGCTCTCCCTGGGGGAGAAGAGGAGAAGGAGGAACTGAGGGATGACGAACCACCTCTTCCTCGTGTTGGAGAACACTCTCTATGCCGCCGCCTTCCTCTCCGGCCTCATCGTGGCTACGGCCATGGCGATAACGCAGGTACGTGTGTACGTGTGCACATGTCTGCGTGCGTACGCGTGTTTTATGGCCACCCACCCCATCGTGTGCCGTGCCGGCCTTCATAGGTGCTCCCTAACAGCACTTGCCCCAACAGTCTGTTAAGGCTACACGGCGGATATTTGTGGTAGTAGTGAGGAGCGGTAGTGTCGAGCGGTGGTCCCCAACCTTTTTGGCACCAGGGACCGGTTTCGTGGAAGACAATTTTTTCACGGACCGGGGGGGGGGGGGTGGTGGGTTCATCATTGGGTCTTTCCCCCTTTTCAAAGACGCTCTCCTGCAACGTTTGTTGTTTACTCATTGTGGCTACTAGGGGTTAGCAGCTTGTGGGCTTACCAACACTGTGACTGAGACAAGTGCGCAGTGCGAGAAAGAGGTGCGAATGGAAGTGGTCAATAATAAAAAAATCGGGGCAGACCACGCGCGGACTCACCGCTCTCACTTCCTGCTGTGCGGCCTGGTTCCTAACAGGCCACGGACCGGTTCCGGTCCACGGCCCGGGGGTTGGGGACCCCTGGTGTAGAGGTTAGCGCGCTGTGCTACAAACCCGGCGACCCGAATTCGATTCCTGCTCACAGCCAACATCGGTAACGATAATTATCTGAATCGGTCCTAGGCCTCTCCTAGGTCGACTCAAATGAGTACCTCGTGTGCTGTGTAAACATCTCCACTCGGGAGACAAAGGCTGCCAGGCGTGGTGTTGACCACCCACCCCCTCGTGTGCCATTCCGACCTTCATCGGGACTCGCTAACAGTACTTGCCCCGACGGTCTGTTAAAGGCTCTATGGGGTCTTTGTGGTAGTAGCGTCGTAGTTGGCACACTGCACTACAAACCCGGCCCGCTTGAGTTTGATTTACAATCATAACTGATGTTAGTGGTGATTATCTACAATGGCGGTAGCCAACTGGCATCTCCCGAGCCGCATGAGGCTCTGTAATCCACCACGTGCGGCTCTATCCAAGTGGCATAATGTAGAAACTACTATCACAGTAGCAAAGAATAATGAATGTCTCCTGTGCTGTGCCGAAAACTGTCAATATACATACACTTATGGGTACATTTTGGCTCTTGGTCTGTTACGGGTTTACAACCCCTGATCTCGAACCAGATCTGGCCCTTCCTTAGATTGACTCGACCTTAAACGAGTACCCGGTGCAGTGAAAACACAATGGGCATTGGCAGGGACATAGGTGGTTTGGTGGTGTTTCTGGCCATATTAAACCCCCATGGCTTGAAAATCATCACCTGACGGACACATTTTTTAGTATGCATGGTGCTGGCCACATGTTTTCTGCTGACCTTAATAGGTACTCTCGAACAGGACTTTCCCTCGCAGTGTGAATTGCTCAGTGAGGAAACTGTGACTTGTTGTGCTTGTGTAACACAAAGCATCATAAATAGCTGTTTCCAGAATTTGGTATTTGAAGGCGTATCAGTATGACTGAATGTGAATAAACCACCCAGAATGTGATTGATCTCACCACTTCTCAGAAGCTAAGCAGAGTTGAACCTTGGTGCTTCTTGAATTGACGACACGATGCATAGAACAGGCATTGAACACTGTTGCGAGGCTCCATTGTAATCCAAGGCAGTGCAGAAAAATCCATTGATGTGCTGAACTACACTTGTGTAATAACAGCCATAGAGGGTTCACGTGGGGATTGGCTTGCCGGTCCTGCTCGTAGCCAATAAGGGTTGAGATTGGGACCATGGCCCATGCGTCATCACGACAGGTCATCGGAAGTGATTGGCCTAGCCATTCGGGCCCCAGCGAATGGGGAGCCGGATGAGGGGCGTGGTCCCGGGATTGACAGGGAACCATCGAGAATGGTGAGAGCTGTCCATACATGATTGGCTGGGGGAACCACGTGACGAAGGTCTTAAGAGCGAGCGAGAGGGAACGATCGAGAGCAGACTGAAAATAACAGAAGCAGGGTCACGTGCGGACGGGGCCTCGGGTTGCCACGTGCGCGGAGGGAACTTCGTGTGGAGTCTGTCCTCTCTCTCCGTTGTCTGCCAGCAACGGAGAGTGAGTGGGAGAAGTGTATGGTGGAGTGGAAATAAAAGGACTGATTCCGAACCCGTCTCCTGGAAGATTATTACACTTGTGTAGGGGAGTAGTGGGTGACGTCACGTCACGCTCGCCCTCGGAGATCGCAGAACGTGACGTCAGGCGGACCTTGGGGGACGTTGACGTCATGCCCGGGGGCGGGGGGGGTATTTAAAGGGAGACCCGGGATGTAACCGGGTTTCGTTGCGGGTAGGAGTGGGGACTCGGGTAGTTGATCCTCACGCGAGCCGAGGGGAGCCTACTCCGCCCGACCGGCTGAGGTTGGGGTAGTCCCGGCCCGGGGCAGGGAGGAGAGCCGGGTTAGCCGGGTTGTAGGGATCCCAGTACCCTGTCCCTTGGGGAGTTATAGGCTAGGGGGGTTTTGATTCGGCGTAAGCCCTCAATAAACTTGGCGTGAGCCCCTAACGAAACCTGCCTCGGAGTCGTACATTACGCCGCAACAACTGCACCGTCTTTGCTCCCCACCTCATCAACCCAGGGTGGGAGGAGCGCTTCATCCAACAGTGGATGAACACTCAAGGCCCCGCAGCAATGTTTTAACAACCCTCCACTTGCCCTACTGCTCTCTCCTCTTCCCTTTTATCTCCCCTTCCATTGGTAGTCTTCCAACACATTCTATTCTCTGCACAATCCATCAAGCTCCGGATAACTGGCTTGCACAAAGACCACATCTGACAGTTAAGATTTCGTTACCTTTTCCTTAAACTAAAACATTTTCACAACCTGGTTTGGTTGTCATATTGTGGTACTTGCAACGGAGCAGTGGCACAATGGATAGTGCAGTGCACCATCTTCGCGGCGACCTGAATTTGAATTCCAGTGACGGCTAACATCATTGGCGAGTGATATCTCAACCAATCCTCGGCCCCATATTCTACCTGCATTGTTGCAATGTAGTGAACTATGGTCGAACAACCTCCCTAACCCACATAACATGGTGAGGGCTGCATCCAGCATTAGTAAGGGCGCCCCGATGGCAAGACCTGGTATTATACAGGAGGTCGTGGGTTCGATCCCGACCCTGACGCCTGTATAATTGGTGTTTGCATGTCTCTCGTGGTCGCATGTATTTTTTTCTGGGTTTTCCCTCCAGATTTAGAATCGGCATGCGTTTAGAGTATTTGGCTTCTATACATTTTCGGACGATAAGCCACTTCGTTGGGCTATCATGTGTGGCCAGGTCACTTCTTTAAAAGGGCTATGTAGCTCAGTGGGCCTTACCTGGTAAAATAAAAAAATGTGTTTTAGATTAACAAAGGGCTGAACATTATTTGCATCGTGTTACTAACCTACCCGAGTGGCCTTATGGTACTCGACTCACAAGTGGAAGGTGGTGAGTTCGTATACCAGCCATGAATTGATATGAGCCCATTACCTCCCCACCAGGGGATTGTAAATGGTTACCACTTTGTGGGTACTGCACAGCATCGTGTCCATTTACCAAGGAATTGTGGAATTCCACCACTGGCAGTAGAGATGAGCACCACCGCAGCACCCGTTTCACCAAGGAGACATTTTGAAGTTGACTTTGTGACAGCAGTTTCCAGCTTTGTTACATTTAGCTGAATTTTTTAATTAATAACACTTTCACAGGCCATTTGCACCCACATCCCAAAGCCGAACAGAGTGCCCATACACAGCAGCCGCAATGTGACCGACTGAGGCGGCCCTGTTTCAGGACAAGAGCTGTTTTGTGTTCACATGCAACACAGCCTTAGCTCACATCGCATATTTTTCAAGCCTGCGGCATGGAAGGTTTTTGGCGTAGGCTTTCTTTTCTGATGAATGTACCCTGCGTTAAAAATAAAAATTGAGTCGACTCAGCTATGGCGCGCAAAATGGGAAACCTGTGCACGTCCTGCAATTTTGGTTAAATTCAGAGCTCGCCACGAAGAGTCTTTGTTTTTGACCAAGCCATTCATCCCTCTGGGGTAGGTTAAAAAAGTATGCGTCAATATATTATAGACTGGACACTGCTGAGGTGTGTTAATGCCTGTCTCACCAAAGGTACTTAGTCCCTATTTGGTCCTCTAAGGGAACTCCAGTCATCCTCGCAAGCAGCTTTTGCTAGCCACTGCATCGCGCGCTTTCAGATGCGCTTCCGCGACCGTCTGGAACGCTCTTCCTTCCGATATTAGAAAGCCACTGAAGCTATGTGCATTTTAAAAATAGATTTAAAACTAATTTCTTTACAACTGCTTTTTGTGTTTAGTTTGTTGGTCTTCCCCCGCACCTCCCGATTATCACGGTTGGATATACGTAAGGTGCGAAAGAAGTTAAACATACGTACAACACTTCTGTGCACGGCCTGGTCAACACCCAGGGAAGATGCCTATGGCAGTAATGACTGTGGATGCTGCCAGGCTGTACAGAATTTAACGAATACCCGAGAGTGCACAAAAGTGCAAGTCTCGACAAGCCAAAGTGAGGTCGGGGATTGCTTGTCATTCATAGCCGGCCAGGTGGCTCAGCGTCAGAGCGAGTGCATCGCAGTTTGAAGGTTGCAGGTTCAAATCCTAGTTCAATATCCCTTCCTTTTACCCACTCCCCCCCCCCCCCCCCCCCCCCCCATATACGGCTCAGCTGCGTCGGTTCCCCGCGATCGTCAATTCCCGGATTTGCAAGCTGTCCGCTTGCATATCGGGCTCGCCTTTGGTGAAAATAAAAGCAAACAAATTCCAAATCTTCAACGTACGTATAAGGTTCCCCGCCTGTGGCGCATGCGCGTGCGAGCAGGGAGCGTTTTCTGGCGGGTGCGTGCTCTACGGGGAGGCGGAGGTGAAGGTGGGAGGCGTGGCGAGCGTCGCGCACTTTGGGAACGTGTCGGCCTGCACCTTCCCGCTGGCGGCGGGCGTCATGGGCGCCGTCTACGCCTTCTGCAGCATCCTCTACTGGCTGCACGCCGCCTGCACGGAGGACGCACGCAGGTGCAGACGGCTGCTGCGGCGAGCAGGCCTCACCGTCTCGTGTGTTGAACAAAAAGTGTCTTTTACCCCGGGTTATTTCCAATCTCAAAATCGGTGTCTTATCACGAGAGAAAGTATACATTTGGAAGTTTGCAGAGGAGTACATTTTGTTAAAGATTATCCTGTAGAAGTTAATATCACAGAACTAGTTCTGAGATTGAATTCACCACTTATCCACTAGTGGCACTGAAAATTCCCACGTGTCATGCAATATCAATGTTTGACACATGGGAGTCAAATTAATATTTTTTTTGTTGGAGTGAAGTGAAAAACCGAATGAAAGCGAAATATTTCCAGTCATTGGCGATTGCGATTTAACCTGGTTTATTTGCAGGCTGCCGCTTAAAGATGGATTCAAACATCAGTAGTGGTGCTGGCCTAATGTTCTGACCCTTAAGCCACCCTGTGATCTCACACAGTGCATGTGTTACACTGCATGCCTGCAGATGCTGCCACATTACTCTCTCTCTTGCGAGCGCAGCAGTACAGCGTACGCTGACATGATACCAACACGGAGAAATGTTTACAGGGCTTACACTGGGGGAGAGGGCGATGTCTGATGTACTGCTGTAATTGTAGTAGCCAACGTCATGTGGCGGTGCAGGGGTGGTCAGTGCCCCTCACACACTTTTTTAAGAGCAATTAAGTGACCTTTAATTATAAGCCTCTTATTCCATGGGTTCGCTACTTTGGTAGTGCCATTTATTTACGTATCTAGGATATACCAACTGAGATTCAAGACTAATTTCAGACGGTCGTTACAATGGGGATGATGTTCAGTCAGCACCTCTTGAATAACAATAAATAATATCTATTCAAACTTATTGAAAAAAATCTTCTTAATAATGTTATGCTTGTGGGAGAAACTGGAGTGGTCGGAGAAAATCCCACGCATATGAGCAGATAATCGTGAACCCTCTTGCCGTACTTCCACCTCGTGGCTGCCTCGTAGCTCTGCAGGTAGAGAGCCTCGCAGCGTGCAGTGATCTCCATTTGATCCTCCCTCCGACTCCGGGCTGGGTTACATGCGTGCGCCACAACGCCGGGACAAAGGCCGATTGTGTTTTGCGTTTCTTCTTCATGGTATGTTTAATCAGAATCTTTATTTATCCTGGAGAAATATGATGAGCACGAAGCTATTTTTCCACAGATGTCCGGTGATCTGGGCAAACTGCACAGTTTATCATTGGCTAGATTCCAACTGGGAGAGCCGATGAAAGCTCATTCACTGGCTCATGTATCAACGTGCCACTTGATAAATAGCCGGCCAGTGGCACTGGTCAGAGCGTTGAGCTCAGAATTGAGAGGTCGTGAGTTCAAATCCTAGTTAGAGGCATTGGCGTGTCTAGGTTTATGTTGTTGTCATGCGTGCGTGTGCGTGGGGAGCGGTTGTGTAGCAGTTTGCACATTGTGCTACGAACCCAGCGACCCAAGTTCGATTCCCGCTCACAGCCAACACCAGTGACGATTATCTGAACCGGTCCTAGGCTTTTTCTAGGTCGATTCAGCCTCAAATGACAACCTGGTGTGGTGTGTAAACATCGCCACTGGGTGTTGGCCACCCACCCCTTCGTGTGCCGGCCTTCATAGGTGCTCGATAACAGCACTTGCCCTTAAGTTTCGTTAAAGGCTGTCTGGGGATTTTTTGTCTTTGTAGGCCGGCGTGGTGGGGTGGTGTGGCGAGCGTGGTGGCGGGGGTGTTGGCGCTGCTGTTGCTGGTGAGCGGCTGTGTGCTGCGTGTGGGGCTGGGCCGCTGGTGCGAGTCTCTCATCACCGCCTCCGCCAAGGTGCACCCACTGCACAGGTAACGGCACCAGCACACACACACGCGCATGTGCGCACACTTAACACGCGCAACAAAGGCAAACACCCTACAACTCCCCCCCCACTCCATAGACTTTAACCGCCTGTTGGTATATGCACGTGTGTCCACAGCTGCAGGGACGCACAGGCGTTGAACTGGACCGACAGCCACAATGGAGCACGGTTCTACGATAACGTCATCTCTGGGGAGGTGAGCTGGCTTGGCAGCTGTGAGTGTGTCTGTGCGCTGTGGTGACGCCACTTAGTGCCGAATGGTGGCTGTTGTTTGTGTGACTGTACGTGTGTACGTATCAGAGGTCGCAATCGGGTACCCGATAACCGTACCCTACCCGATACTCTGCTACCCGTAGCCAGCCGGATACGGGTACGGGTACCCGTTTGCGACCCTGGTGCGGCCGGGTACGGGTAGGCCGTGAGTCACTGGTGAGTAACCGTTTGTCACTCATTTCTCAACGTCTTGTCTGTTCTCACAATTCAAGTTCCTTGAATCAACCCACCTGCGCCTGCAACCTGGCTTCATCCCAGAGGTCGTAATCGGGTACCCGATACCCGTACCCTACCCGATACCCGTTTGCGACCCTGGTGCGGCCGGGTACAGGTACGGGTAAGGAATCAAAACCCGTTTGCGACCTCTGGTACGTATGCGGGCCTGACCTGTGAGCTGTCAGTGAATCCTTCAACACCTCACGTGACCTCAAAGCGCATCTAACTTGGCACAAGTGCCTTGGTGACGTCACCACCGCTTAGTGGCGAATGACGGTGGTGGTGTTGCGCACGCGTGTGTACCTGCTGTACGCACAGTGCTGTCTGTAAGCCTGACGGTGCCTTTAGCTGGAGTGACACTGGTTATATACAAGTAACTAATGACATGACTCATAATTATCGGATCGATTCCTCGACGAATCCGTGAACAAGAAAATAATTGGGGGAAAACGAGTCACCTCTGTTCCCGCGTGCACCGCTGGCCGTGAAGTGTTTTGCAAGGCTTGGCGATGTCATCGGCGTCGTCAGTTTTATTACGCTGAGCGTTACTAGTAAGGGGGTTGATTACAATTTTCAGTCCATTATTTGGCTTCACTAATTGTCCCAACTCGCGATACAATGTACACGCTGTTTTTGCATGCGTGGACCTGCTGGTTTAATTGACATATGAGGTGCGGTGTGTACTTATATGTATGCATGTTGAGCTTCTTTTGCACCGTACGTAGCCAACTGTGCTAATCGGAGGTGTGCTTGGCATATTGCGTGCATGGCATATTGTGTAACGTGCACACTTCACATCGGTGTGCATGGCATGCTCACGTAACGTGAAAATAAGTGTGTTGTGTCTGCTCCATACAGCTATATTTGTGGACCTGCTTCTTTGTGCGGTTGATGTGTATGTGCATGCCATATGGCGCTGTCTCTCAGACGGCGGTATGGATGGACATGCCGGTTGGATCAGTACGATGTGAAAGAAGTTCTACATACATGCATAAATGAACGCGCTGGCGTGTCTTGTATTTGTCTCTCATAGACGGCGGTGTGGGTGGACCTGCTGGTGTGGGTGGGGTGCGTGGTGCTTCTGGCCGTGCGGGGCCGCGTGCACGGGGAGCCGCCCTTCTCCTCGCTGCCAGCTCCGGCGTCGTGGAGCGAGAGCTCCGTCGGGGAGCACACCCCCATCCTCAGCCCCACCGTCACGTGATCCCCACCGTCACGTGATCGCCACCGTCACGTGATCCCCACCGTCACGTGATCGCCACCGTCACGTGATCGCCACCGTCACGTGATCGCCACCGTCACGTGATCGCCACCGTCACGTGATCCCCACCGTCACGTGATCGCCACCGTCACGTGATCGCCACCGTCACGTGATCGCCACCGTCACGTGATCCCCACCGTCACGTGATCGCCACCGTCACGTGATCGCCACCGTCACGTGATCGCCACCGTCACGTGATCGCCACCGTCACCTGATCCCCACCGCCACGTGATCGCCACCGCCACGTGATCGCCACCGTCACGTGATCCCCACCGCCACGTGATCCCCACCGCCACGTGATCCCCACCGTCACGTGATCCCCACCGCCCACTGACCATTGTCAAGCCAGCAAAGCCAGTTGCTGCCCTAACCCCACTCACTGCATTGGGAGGGCACAGCAAATACCAAGAGGGAAAAGCAAACAAAATGAAAAGGGGGGGCTGGTTGCAGAGGATGAATCTAAAAACTTCCCATGTTAGCCCAGGGGGGCGGGGTGGCAGTCCCTGAAATGTCAATATTTTTAAGTTGGGGGGCCTGACATAAATATGAAAAAAACCCAACATAAATATGTATTTTCTCTGGTAAATATCAATGAAATACCACACAACTCTCAGGCTTGCAAGGGGGGGGGGGGGGGGTGGGTGTGCTCCCCACTCGCTGGTTGAAGCGTCAGAGGTGGGGCTGGGGTTTGGGTTATGCGTCAGGGATTGGGCTAGAGGCTTTTTTTCCGTGAGGGATAGGGTTTGCTGGGCGAAGTGGCACACGCCTCAAATGCACCGCTTTCGGAGACAAGGGGTCGGTGTATCATATAGATGATGCGAAACTTGCAAACTAGATAAGTTGCAAGGTGACCACGAAATTGCAGGACAGCAGAAGGATTTCTGAATTCATCTGTGTGGACGTTTGATTAATTGCTGTTCCCTCGCTAAATGTGGTTTTTCTCATCAGTACTCTGGTTTCCTACCACATGCAAAGCTCTGATGTGATTGGCCAACCATTCCAGGCAGAACCCGACTGAAAACGAGTCTTGAGATTCGGCTGGTCTGGTGATTATTCAAATGAGCATCTGCACTTGCTACACCACGAAGGATGTAAGCTCGAAATACCATTTAGATGAAGTAAAATGGATGATGGAACTTATTGTAATTATCGCAGGCATCATATTACGCGTATCTTCTCTTATGCAACAAATTATTAGAAATCAAGATATTAGTTGTTTCGGGGTGAAGTGGTGGTGGTGCAGTGGTTTACACACGGTGCTACAAACCCGGCCATCCGATTCTGGTTTCCAGCCCGCGGCTGTCATCAATAGAGAGTGATATTCAAACCAGTCCCTCCCTTCACCATCCCGCACTGTCCTTCGTGGTGAGGTATTGCCAACCTCCATAACCGACGTGGCGTGGGCAATCCCTAATCGGGAAGTGGCTTAACAAAAAGGGCCGAATATATATTACGTTGCGTAACAATGTAAATAATATGATATTACATCATATCGCATCTGAATATGATATTAATACAGCCTGCCTTGACGTGCCGACGCCGTTTCACGAGCCACTACCACCGCCGTACTGCCCCAGAGGTGGGAGCCGCGTTCAGGAGAAGTTCCTTCCTAAGTAGGTCGCTCAGGTCGTCGTGGTGTTGCACGCTTCGTGTGGCTCAGCCTCCTCGTGGGCATTATTCACATGCCTAATGAGGCTCTTCTGGACACATGCAGTCCATCGCGCTAACGGGTTAGGACTTGGGTCTGGTTGGCGAATGTGGTTAGGTTTAGGGATAGTGCTCTGGGTCGAGTGCTGGTCTGGTTGGCTACAGCATGGTCAGGTTAGTGTTTTGGTAGTTTGTTACAATTTGAGGGTTATGATAAGAGAAAGTGCCGAGTGCGAATAAGGTTCGGGCTCGTGTCTGGAGAGTCTGTTAGGATTCACGTTTAAGTTTATTTTGTTTCATCGGGTGAGATCTCAAGAGACCAGATCGGTCTCAATTGCAATTAGATCGATTAGGGGTAGAGACTGTGCTTGGTTGGGTAGTGAACTCCACCTCTTCACGTGGTTGTTCATCTACCCCCCTTTCCAAACACGGCCTTGTTAGTGTTTATTCTCTTTTTGCTCGTGTTCACAGCACTGGCAAGTGAACGTTTTCAAAACCACTGCATTGTGCCCCCCCCCCCCCCCCCCCGCTCATTCACTTTCAGTCAGACTAAATCCGAAACAATCGGCCAGCCGACTTTATATATCAGTGCCCAGACATGGAAACAATCGCTTTCTCTTTGCTGCTGCAGCTGGTGGCACTGTGCTCACGGCACTGGAAGATTGAAGGTTCACATCGGGGTCAAATCTTCATAATCGCTGTTGGGCCGGTTAAAACAAGTCACTTCTTTTGGGAGTTTGACAGCACTCATCCTATTCAGAGCTGGTCCCTTGTCAAGTTAACGTGGAATTTCCACCTTGGCAAAAGACCGTCAACAGACTGGTATCACCCCGTGGCTTGTCTAAGCAAGAAGAGACTTTCACTTTTGCCTGAGTTTGACTCTGATGTGATAATAGAATCAACATTTGGAACACTCCATGCCACTCCTCTGCGTAGTTTTACATTTTTCGACAATTTAAGGTCGATAAGCCATTGCGATTGTTCCGCGACTTCTTTTGTGAATGCCGTTTCGGCTCCAATGAGGTCGCATGATTGGCCACCACTTTAGTGGATCACAGTGAACGTTTACTTAGATTCAGTTTTGGAGAAGCAGTTGGTGCAGAGGTTTAACGCCACTTTTCTTACAGCACTGCCTTGGCATGGCTGTCCCTCGTTCTTTCTCCGCTTTGCTGGTTGGCCCCTCCACGCAGCTCGCTCGCTTTGTGCGTTGCATCGATGCTTTCTTGCTTCGGAGGACTTGTTTCTTTTGGCGGGTGCCATCTTTTTCTCAAGATGGCACCCGCCATATCTACCTGCTGATCCTCGTACACATTACCGCCCACCGCTTGCTAACAGCTCGCCTGACCTGTACGCTTTATTAGCACACGCTACGTGCACATTACACCTTCTGCCCACGAAACAGATGATCCGCAATTCTTACCAACGTCACAAGTACTCCTTACACATTGCATGCGCTCCTTATACACTGCGACGACGACAACAACAGTAACAACCGTAGCAAATTATATCGCGTCTAAATGCAACCGCATCTGAAGAAGCTCTGAGGGGTAGAGTGCGGTGGTGGTGGGGGGGTGATGGGCAGATTGACGGTTCGGGGCAGCCGGGGAAGCACTGATGAGTCCCAGGGCATCCTGTACTGCAGCGGTACCCAACCTTTTTGGCACCAGGGACTGGTTTTTTCACGGACCCTTTTCAAAGAGGCTCTCCAGTGACGTTTTTTTTTACTCATTGTGGCTACTAGGGGTTAGCAGCTTGTGGGCTTACCAACACTGTGACTGAGACAAGTGCACAGTGCGGGAAAGAGACGCGGACGGAAGTGGTCAATAATAAAATAATGGTCGGTGCCACGCGCGGACTCACCACTCACCTCGTGCTGCTGTGCGGCCCGGTTCCTAACAGGGCACGGACCGGTACCAGTCGGCGGCCCGGGGGTTGGGGACCCCCCTGCTCTACTGCGTCGGGCCCATCCACCAACGAACCCCAGGGTATCTATGGGGGGGGCAGGGCCCGTGACGTGCACCTCTCGCCAATATGGACGCCACGGTGGCGAGATGTTAACTATCTCACCTGGTGTGCAGGAAGTCGTGGGTCCGATCCCGACCCTGATGCCTGCCTGCTGTATATCTGGAGCTTGCATGTTCTCTCTCCCCGTGGACATGTGGATTTTTGTCCGGGTCCTTTGGGTTTTTCCCTCCGCATTGGAAACATGCTTTTAGAGTATTTGGCTGCTATAAATTTCCACGTGAAAAAAACACTTTGAGATGTCATCTGTGGCCAGGTCTCTTCTAAAAAAGAGTTGTATGGCTCAGTGGGCCTTATCTGGTAAAATAACAAATATTTTAGTTTATATTCATTTCTAACATTACCTGCACAGATTGCCAACACATCACATGTACTTCCCACCAGTATACTACATTTTTTCCATACCAATATCTTTTTTTATGTTGGGTAACTTGCCTTGGTTAATATTTAATAATAATAGTAATATTATAGTGATAACTATACAGTGCCTTATGCAAAAATCTAATTTAAACGCACTTTATATTATTTCCAAATGCGGTGTAGCACTTACGTGATTTGTAATTGGTAATATTTGACAGCCATTATGTAATAATTATATGAACAAACGTGGTCCTAATTAAATACCTAGAAATATCAAACCTCTCAACCACATGGTTTTCCTTGGACTTTGCAGTGCACGTGTGTGTGCTGCGGAAATGTATGGCTACTGGCACATGTAGCGAGTTGTGAGCCTTGCTTGCCTTGTATTACAGAAGTTCCCTGGTCTGTCTTATTGGGCAGTGTAATAAAATGTAAGCTACTTGGAAGTTCTGATAGAGCGTTGTAGAAGTAGCAGGAAAAGGAGGTTCTGGTAGGGCGAGCGTGTATGCAGGACGGAGGAGGACTAGTTACCGAGGCAATGGTTGGTCAGCAAAGGAGAAAAAAACCCCGAAAACCAGATGGTGTTGTTGATGGCACTCTTAAGAGCAAACCTTGGACATCAGATGTTCGACCGTGTAACAGTTAAGGGATCTCGCAGAAGGAAAGAAGCGATAAGATGCGGTGTCGCCAACATCATTGCCCGTCACTTTCTAACACCTTTTAAGATTAAGCCTTGGGCCCATGCCTTTCGCCGCACCATATTGAGTATGAGCTGTTCAAATCCTGTTTAGAGTATTGACCCTTAGCCTTTTACATAAATGTGCCATAATGTCTTGCACTCTTGAGTACTGCAATAATTAATAAAACGGTGATGCCCAATTGTGTTTACTATTGTTATTATAGTTCTCGGCTGCAAAGGAATCAACATTTGCTATCATTCAGAATTTTAATTGTTATTGTAAATGCCAGTAGATGCTAATTTCACTTTGATTCATATTTAATTGCATTACAGATCCCTTACTATCCTTCATAAAACCTACTTATTTCGCAAATTTCAATGGAATGGGAATTTGCAGGATTTGAACACAAGATTGGCCAGTGTTGCAGAGCAATGGGAGCAGCAACTGGACTTTTGTAATCCCTGGTGTAGAGTCTGTGCCTTGATGACTTTCCCAACACAAGGAAGGTCAGAAGCAGTGCCAACCATAATGCAAGAGTTCAATAATAGGCGAACATGCGTGCCGGAATGTATTAGTAATGTACTACGTTACTAACCAATTTAATGTAATGCCACATTTTCAAAGCAATGAAATCGATTACATGATCGCTGCGGACCTGCTGACACCACCATTTCATTGTGTCGAAATGTATAATCAATTGTAAACTAAGTGATTAATCAGTTCATGCGGAGGAGTAATCTGATTACATCCTGAAAATGTGGTTAAACAGGATCGCAGCATTACTCTGATCTTACAATAATGCTGTATTGCCCAATCCTGTTCACGCATCTCGGTAGTTTTTTTAATCTGTAAGTACAAATTTAAATTACTATTGTTATTATTTATGTGCACACGTTGCTTACATGGCAGAGTACGCGGTTGATGAAAATTAAAAGAGAGAACCAATTTCAAGTTGCTTGAGTTTTTTTTATCACTTTTGTAACAGCAGTAAAAAAAAATGTGCGCATACAGGCAATGGTGGATAAATAGTGGTGCCCAGGTTTTACACGGCACGTTCATGCATTTCTTCGCTTTCATCTACTGACCAGCGATAAGTAAATGTCTTTTTGTGTAGTTTTCTGAAGTCTCGCTACATGGGCAGCTGTTGTTGTGATGTCTCTACTCCCAAGTCTTGTGCTTCCCCCCCCCCCCCCACCTCTATGGTCAAATAACCCCGCGCGGATTACGGAGGCCCTCATCTAGCAGTGGATCGACCAAGTGATGTACATGATGAAATCCAGCCCCAGGTAGCACTGTGGTTACAGAGATTTAGGTGCACAATTGAGAGGACTGCATTTTCAAATGGCAGAGGTCTGCATTTTCAAATGGCAGAGGTCAACTCCGTGATTGACTCGTTAAAATGAAAATCCACTTTGTCGGAAATAACGGTGGTCATCACGTGGGGAAATTTGACCCGGACAGTCTGGGAATTGGCATCTGCGTTTGGGAGGCAGGAGTTAATTTGGGCCGAGATCTGGCGGCATCGTATTGAATTTTATAACACTTTACTGCACAGTTCATACTGGTAGGAACCTCCTGGTTACACCAGCCTACAGGGGATTATTGTGCCCGTCATGCAGGGTGGGGCTGGGTGGGGAGGGAGGGGCTGGGTGTGGAGGGTGGGGAGGGGCTGGGTGGGGAAGGGCTGGGTGAGGAGGGGCTGGTCACCCCGTGGTGCCCTTATAAAACTCAACGTTTAACCTACTCACGCCGGCTTGTGCCCGCCCTCACAGTCGGGCATATTTGCGGAATACACCACGCCGCCGTTGACCCTGCCCATTGACCGAGCAACCCAACGTTCCTACCAGCTCCCTCCGCAGGAATGTGTTGATAGACCGAGGGCCGACTCAGAAACATAACCGGATTCAGTCGCGTGGCAAAGGTGGTGGGGGGCCCTGATGTTACCTCGGTGCTTGTTTGAGGAGGGAGCTGCCTTAACCCCTGAAGGCCCAGACCCAGAAATCCTCAACACTCATGAACGATTTGAAGTTTTCGTGACTGCAAGGTTCCATACTTTTTGTTTTTTTCGGTAAAGTCACTTAGGTAAAACATGTTTTAAATTAAAACAACTAACAAGCCTCCGTCTTCAGGTGGAACCGCCACAGCAAAAAATGCTGTAGTGTGGAGTGTTTCGCATGCACGAGGAAGCCAGGATGTAGGATGCTCCTGAAAAAAAGACTCGAAGATTCAATTACCGTATACCTCGGCGCAACCAACAGTTGTGGTGGTCGCATTTCGAGTAGAGAATCTGAAGCTGATTGTGAGCGATCGCTGTTTTCTTTGACCACAGAATCTGCCACTGGGCTTGAGTCCACATTCCCGAGCGAGTGCAGGCTTGAGGATGGCTTTAAACACACCACCACCAACAACTTGTCAGCCACACATTATCCCACAAAGGACCATGTCACTCACCCAGAAGCCCTCTATTGTTCTAGGTCTTGCAGTATCCTAGTCCTGCCAGGTGGCTGTGGCTGAAGACACAATCGGAAGGTCTCAATGTAAAGATGTAAAATGCAAGGTGGTGGCGATGGTGGTGAACTTGGCTCATGATGATTGTTTTCTTGCTGGGGCTACAGTGGTTGTCCTATGGAGAGCCTGACCCCTGCCATAGGAATGTGGAATTGTATCCACTGCATCAAGGCCACAGAGAGAGATGGGCATGTCTACATTTACTTGTTTGAGCAGCCAGGAGTGCAGACTACAACAATCTTGATTTGAAGTTTTCGTGACTGCAGGAATCCATACTCTTTGGTTCTTTCGGTAAAGTCACGTAGGTAGAAAAATTAAATGAAATTATTAATTTTATTTTTCTAAATGAAATTATTCATTTTATTTTTCTACCTACGTGACTTTACCGAAAGAACCAAAAAGTACAGACCACAACAATTTACTCTCTTTTATGCTTTTGTAAAATACTTGAAATGCATTCTACAATACAACTCAGGCTGACATTAAAAGTGGCATGCGGTGAACAATCTGAACATGCAGGAGGGAGTGCGGTTTTGTGTTGGGTAAAAGAAGCCTCTGGAAGTGACACCTTTTGAAGTTATTCTTGCGGTGTCATCTTCTGGGTCCGATGCCTGGCATGAGGCTCCACGTGTCGTGTCGACCAATACATTGTCTGCACTTCTCCTGCCGGGTCATGTATTACAAGTGGGATATTAAACAATTAATTCATTAAGAGCACTCGACTCGCAATGGGAAGGTCACAAATTCAAATTCCAAGTCGGAGGTTGACCATGCTCGAACCCATTCAGGGTCGATCATCATGTGTAGCACGCGCAACTGTGAAATGTCAATAGTTTCAGTTCAATACGTTTAACCAGGTGAAACTCCAAAATACAATAGTGGCTTCATGTACAGAAGTGATGTGTGCTTCTATTGGTTGAGTGAACATGATCGAGTGAATATGGACATTTCACCAGTGGCTCGGGACTGCCAATGCAAATGAGCACTGGCTCCAATGCCTATGAGACATGAAAAAGCATTTTATAGAATTACACCTTGGTCTTGGAAAGTTGAGTACAAAATTATACAGGGTTCCCTCGCTTTGTGCGGTAGTAGATGCTGTCCAAAAAAGGGCACTACAAAGCGAAGCCGCACAAGAGCCAGCTGCCTGCCAAGTAGCGCACACACAGCACACACCAACACACACACAACACACACACAACACACACACAATGTTGTCCCACGTCCGGCCGCATCGCGAGTGAATTAAAACCGCATATATCGCATTTTGTGTAGAAAGGTTAGCCGTATATATACTCAGACGTAGAAAAACCGGACCCGCAGAAAGCGAGGGAAACCTGTACTGATTTATTTTAATCCGCTAGGAGGGCATGCGATGTTTCTGTGGCCCAGCCTCCCAAGTTCCTGCTCTGGGTGTCAATTCTGGGATGGGTATTAACTTGCGGCCCTCTACCACAAGATACCGGCACGTAGTCACTCACCGCTTGTGAATGTTTTTAAATAATGTATTATCCCAGTAAAGCAGTTGCCTTCGGGGCTCAGAGCGAAGACCCTTTTGTTAGATTGCAGGGTCATACAGGGTTAGTGCGCTCACTTCTGAGCACGTTTGCACAGTCGTCAAAGTCTTGTTAATTTAATCATTGTGTTTATGCACCCAAGTGGCACTGATAAGAGTACTCGACTGTTCATGGGAGTATGCATAGGTAAATAACCCCCTCAAAAATGTCTAAGCTGCTAGGTTTGGGGGGGGGGTACAACACCCAGTCGACCTTTTACACTCTTGGATGACCAGCCAATACACGGTTATCGACTGGTCTTCAGGAGCCGAATGTCACACCGATTTGACCACTCGTGTAATACTTGTGATGTAAGTGATGTCCTAGAATGTTTAGAGATCAAAAAATTGGGCCCCGTAAATTATGATCCAGAAGTTTGTTGATTTCACTAGTAAGACAGAGTCAGCCAAAAGCAATGTTGCACTTGAGACGATATAAAGTGTTAATATATGCTGTACTGTTGAGCTAAATTAGCAAACAAAAATCCTTCAAACATCCACGTGGACAACGATGAGTGGATAAAGCAGTCACGCATACTGTACATTCAAAATGTTTAATCGCAATAAAGTATAATACAATGTGGTTAGCCTAAGACTGGACCGTTGGGTTTCATGTGCACGTAAAAAGACATCGCTAGATCTTGAAATTTTATGTCAGAGCTTGGATGGATGCCTCTTGGAATTTAACAAAAAAAGAACAACACAGCAACAGTTGCATACCGCTGTCTCCCACAACAAGACAACACAATCTAATCTTGAACCAAACCAGGAAAATTAACTGAAGCGTTGGGATGGTGAACCATGTCTAAAAACTGCGCAATTCTATACAATGCAAAGTTGTTATGGTTATCTTGCAGGTAGCAATTTGTAATGTTAGGAAAGTTTGTGGCATGTCGTGTGTGATAATTATTAGTGGTGTTCAGTGCGTGCTGCTGCGTGATGTTTGATTGATGTATGGTTGTGGTGTTTGGTGGTACAAGATGTTTTTTGGTGGTGATGGTGTTTGATGAGTAACTAAACTAATTCCTAATTATGTTCAGCAACATCTACAGCCTAAGTATTACAGATATACACAAGGCAAGGCAATCTTACATGTAATGCACCATGTCAACAAAGAAGGCATGATGAGCCTTGATATGGCAAGTGTCAGTGTGGTGGTATTGGTGCGTCGGTGGTGGTATTGGTGCATCTGCTGATCTGGTAGGAGCCCATTCAGACACAAGTTTCACACTGACGACTGCTTGTAGTTGGTGGTGTCCAAGATCTTTTTGCCGCACATGGCACAGATTCCTAAAAGCAGAAAGAAAAAAAACACATTGAGACGATTCATGTAACCATCTCATGAGATATGGAGATAGGGGGGCTTTACTGGTCTGGTGGTGCAAGGGCCTCAATGGCCATGTCAGAGACCAGCTTCCACCGCAGAGACCCATGGTCCTATCTGGGCTATAGCTACTTGTGATTAAACCAGGATGCCAAGTCTAACAAGATCATAGTCTCAGTGTGGTCACTAAAGAATGCTTCAAAACATCCATAATGTTTGGTTTGTAACGTAAATTGGCTCTATGCAGCTATGATGGGCACCAGATGCTAGTGGCCTCTAAAATGGGATTAAGGCTGTCGGTGAAGATGTAGCACCACCCAATCAATGCTTATTTCAGCTGACAGAAACTTAGACTTCACTTGATGTCCAAGGTTACATCGAGGGGGGCAAAGTCCATTTGAAAAATTGTAACAATGCAAGTTGTTACAATTTTTACAAAGGTAAACACACAACAATGCACATCGGCAAAGGTACTTGCACACACACAGGCTCAAACACAGGTACAGAAACAACGTTGTGCACACAACAACCAAAACAACCGCCATTCGCCACTAAGTGACGCTGACGTCACCACTGAGCCTGTGCCAGGCTGTGCACATTAAGACCACGTGAGGTGTCGAACGCCCACTGGCAGGAAGTCACGGGACAGACCCAGTTGCCACGGATTAACTAAGATGACTGGCCAATGCACCACCTGTGGCCCTACAGTGCCAACTTGCTGTGTTTTAATCACCCGGCGCTCCGCTCGTTTTTCTACAATCAAAAGTACACACACGCTGGTGCACATATATACACACACGGACAAGTTCTTTAACACACACAGATACGCACACACACACCACACCACTCGCCTTTCTTGTAGGCACAACCCTGGCAGTAGTTGGAGCCCACTTGGTGCACGGAGCTCTTGCATATGCGGCAGTTGCTGAAGCGGTTTTTGCCGTAGGGACTGAAGCTGAAGAAGGGGGAGGGCAGTTCAAAGGGTTCAGTGAGTGGATACCCGAGTCGCAGCCAGGCATTCCACCGACAATACAAACACAACCACATATACACTGATACATCATGTATATACACAAAGACCCCCCCTCCCGCCCGTATAGCCTTAGGGAAAGTCCAGTTAGCCAAAATCTATGAAGGTCGCCATGACACACAAGGGTATGGTGTTTCCAGCATTATCCAAGGTCGCCTTTGTCTCCCCGGGGTGTTGAAGTAAATAGATCACACCAGGTACTCAAATCTAAGTCAACTTAGTGGAGGCCAACGGCAGGTTCAGGTGCCTCGTCACTGATGTTAATGTGCATCACGGTCAGGAATTGAGCCTGGGGTGGCTGATATCTTAGTGCAGTCAGTGAATCCACATTATCACCACTACTCCCAACACACAGACACACAGACCTAACCAAAGAGACGGACGTACACGTAAGTACACAATGACACACAGCCACACTCACCGTGCCCGCTTGGATGTCAGTGCCTTATTCTCGTTGAGTTGCCGGCCACCACCCTCTGTGGTGAATAAGTGATGGGAGTTGGTAAACATGACAGGCATAAAAGTTAACATAATACCGCAACACTAATGCTCTGACTACACAGCCACCCGACTGAGGATTTCAGTTCAAATCCTGGCCAAGGGCCTGTTCGGCCTGCTGTCATTAACCTTCTGGGGTCGATAAAATGACAACGTTGCGTAGAGTGGGTCAGTGGTGGCGATGCCTGTGGCCTGTAATCCAGGACTGCGGAGGCAGCGAGGGTTGGAGGTTCGCATTACCCTGGCACGTCCAGAGAAGACATGACAGCAAGTGGACTAATCGCCATCTGTTTCCATCTGTACGGGGATAAAGTGTTGCCCCCCACCCTCGTGTGCACGTGGGTTTTCTCCAGGTGCTCCGGTTTCCTCACACTTGTAAAAGCACTCAATAATTGTCTGAAGACATCGAAAAAAACAATACAGGATCCTCCTGAAAAAGAGTCAAATGACTCAATGTGGCTTTCCGGGATAAGTGATATTAACACAAAAACATTATTTTTTTACCAGGTAAGGTGCACTGAGCTATGTAGCTCTATTTTCAGAAGCGACCTGACCACGAATGATAGCTCAACGAAGTCGCTTATCACGTGGAGATATGTAACAGCCAAATAGTCTAAATGCACGTTGATTCTAAATGTGGAGGGAAAAACCCGAGGACCCTGAGAAAAATCCGCAGGACCACAGGGAGAACATACAAACTCAAAATATACAGGCGTCGGGGTCGACCTCCTGTATACCTGGTGAAGGAGATAACATCTTGCCACCGTGTAATCATACATGGAACATGTGAATTATAGACAGCAAAATCCACAACAATGACCATAGACCATAGAATTGGTTCTAGATTTGAAGCTTTCGTGACTGCAAGGATTCATATTCTTAGGTTTTTTCGGTAAAGTCACGTAGGTAAAACATTAAAATTAATAAAAGTAAAATAAAATAAGAATCACGACGTTTCGGAGACACAAGCCTCCGTCTTCAGGTGGAACCGTCACAGCCACGACAGCTGTATCAAGTAAATGAGAGATTGCAGGAGCTACCACTCCGTTTATATAATGGTTGGAGAGGGGGAAGGGCCAAGTACAGCACACTTTTTATTCATATGGTAAGGTGACGCTTAAGAGGGTGAGCCTTTGTTATGGAGAGGTACGGTTTGTGACTCAACCTGTGACAAGGAGACAACCACTAAACATGGTAAACCTGTAATAATAGTCTGTCAAATAAGATTGACCAACTAAGTGTAGTTAAATATTTTTTGCATGGTTAATCACATCTTTCCAATGATTACTCAGTTTGTAACCATCATCACGGTTGAAATTATGTCTGTATTGGTTCTCACAACATCCTTGTATGTCGCATGCCATCACCATACTACGACTGTGTAATGCACACAGACTTGCTTTAGACCGCCAACTCAAGACAAGATTGTGGCCATTGAATTTCGACAGCAGCAATCTTTATGATCGGGGGGGGGGGGGGGGTGATCATCTGGAGAGTATCGCCACCATTGCCTACTGCTGTCTTATGCCTCAGGGGCTTCATGAGCAGCACAGTTTGCTACGTGCAGTGCGAAAGAAGTTCAACGTACATGCACGAGGAGAAGCCCTGCGCCCTGATAACTGTGTGGACAGTTTGGTGACAATAAACCAATTCTACTTATTTCTGTAAATCATGGTTTGTGGTGTAATGTGCAATATCTATTTGTGTATTGTTCTCCTGCACCGTCCATTCCCATGTGTATCTTTCCCGTGTGCAATGTATGTTCCCTTAGGTGTGAATTGTGTGTAGTTGTGTACTGGCCATTCCCATTTGTGTATCGTCCCAAATCCGTATTCCCGTGTGTTTTGTGAATTCCCATTGTACTCGGGACTTCTCACCCGTCGTATTTCGTGCTCCATCCTTCCACGTGTCTGGGCAGATCACTTTTCCGAGCTTCGTCTCACCTGTGGAGAGGCAACACTCGTGAACAACATACCCACACGTGTCAAGCATGCACACACACACAGTACAAACATAACTACACAACACACCCACACGTGTCAAGCACACACACACAGTACAAACATAACTACACAACACACCCACAAGTGTCAAAGCATGCACACACACACACAGTACAAACATAACTACACAACACACGAACAACATACCCACACGTGTCAAGCACACACACACAGTACAAACATAACGACACAACACACGAACAACATACCCACACGTGTCAAGCATGCACACACACACACACAGTACAAACATAACTACACAACACACGGACGCGAACAACATACCCACACGTATCAAGCATGCACACACAATACAAACATAACGACACAACACACGGACGTGAACAACATACCCACACGTGTAAAGCGTTCACACAGCGCACACGTACACCCTACAAATACAACGCATACACGCGACACGTACACACAATACAAGAGGTTTCTTGATCATGTTTTGTTGCGGTTGCACCCGAGTCAAGAGCCGCATGGCTCACAGGGTTATACCTAATACATGAAATGAAACACATAGAACATATTTACATACACCACGCTGCGTGCGTACACACACACATATATATATACAACGTACACATGAATTGAAAGTACAGACAAAACACACACAGTACAAGCGTGCGTACACTCCTATATATATATTTTAAAGTACTATACACAAACACCTGTATAACAAGCGCATGACGACACGTGTACACACAGCACACCGTCCACACACGGACGGTCCGAAACCCACAGGGCCCGCAGAACTGGCACAACAATCAACGCGGCGGTGACCTCCCCCGGTGCCCGTGCCAGGCTAGGTGCACCTTCAACCCAGCAATGCCCACGCACTCCCCTATACCGCAACTTATGCGGGTTTGCGAGCAAAAAAGACGACACATGACCAATCACAACGGGGCTTCGGTAGCTTATTAACCAAAGGAGGTTATTATTGTAGTAATAGGTTTTTACCCTTTAAACTGGTACAAAAACCGACACCTTTATACAAGGCATCATGTTTGCAATAACCACAACACGAGCAGTCAAAATGCAAACAAAAATAAACAACTCTGATAATGATATGCACTGTCCTTGAAGTAGGATTGGTCCACACCCGAGACAGCTTTTCTTAGAGCCTAGTCTCCATTGGTGTTATTATTATTATCAACGCGAGTTATAGTTTAAGAGTCACAATGCGGCCTCTTAAACCGCGCCGTCGAAGTGTAAGCGCTGTGGTGCTTGAAGGCAGCACTAGGCCGCGACTCGGCGGCCTAGTGCTGCCCGGGATAGGAAATCAATAAACAAAACCACACACTTACACGTCTTACACACCATCCCCGCGAGCACACGCCGCGGGCAGGAGATCGGCGACTCACACAAAGACAACAACAACAACACCTCAAGCGTAGCGACTGATTGTTTCACGAGAGGCTAAACACTGCGAGGCGAGCGAGAGAGACAATTAACGACGGGGCCACTTCCGTAAACGCGACGTCACGTGACACTTGGCCCCCTTTGCCCCTCCCCCTTCTCCCCCCCCCCCCTTCCTCTTTGCCCCTCCCCCCTTTCCTCACCCCTCCCCCTTCTCCCCCCTTCCTCACTCCCCCTTTTCCTCACCCCTCCCCCTCTCCTCCCCCCCTTCCTCCCTCTCCCCTCCCCCCTTTCCTCACCCCCTCCTCCCTCCCCCCTTTCCTCACCCCCTCCCTCCCCCTTCTCATCCCTCCCCCTTCCTCCCTTCCTCCCTCCCCCTTTTCTCACCCCTCCCCCTTCTCCTCCCCCCCTTCCTCTTTTCCTCTCCCCCCTTTCCTCACCCCCTCCCCCTTTCCTCACCCCTCCCCCTTCTCATCCCTCCCCACGCCTTCTCCCCCCTCCCCCCTTTCCTCACCCCTCCCTCCCCCTTCTCCTCCCTCCCCATTAAAACCCGCCACCACCCGACACAGCCAACTAGTAAGGGTTGTCACGTCAACAGAACGTGCCAATTCGTCACTAGTACAGCACTAGTGTGTAGTTTATAGTGTAGTGTATAGTAGTGTATAGTGTAGTATACTAGTACAGCACTTGTGTGTAGTTTATAGTGGAGTGTATAGTAGTGTATAGTGTAGTAGTATATAGTGTAGTGTATAGTGGAGTAGTGTATAGTGTAGTAGTGTATAGTGTAGTAGTGTATAGTGTAGCAGTGTATAGTGTAGTAGTATATAGTGTAGTGTATAGTGTAGTAGTGTATAGTGTAGTGTATAGTGTAGTAGTGTATAGTGTAGCAGTGTATAGTGTAGCAGTGTATAGTAGTGTATAGTGTAGTAGTGTATAGTGTAGCAGTGTATAGTAGTGTATAGTGTTGTAGTGTATAGTGTAGTGTAGTATAATAGTACAGCACACCGGTGTGTTGGAGAGCCAAGCCACAACATTTACAAACTGAGTACGACGTTTCGCCAGTAATCACAACTAGCTTCATCAGGCGACAGCCAGATTTGTAGAGAAGTCCACCTGTTTCGTTCCTTATATAGAGGCGTAGATGTGTTGACCACCCTTCTGCGCTCTTGCATAATGTGGGTGAGATTACTGAGTCAACGTACATGATGCATGTGCATTATGCGAGCCCTTTGAACTTGTCATTTCTGGCTATTGTGTTTATTAAAATAACCTTACCAACGGTAATCCCTATTGAAGCACGCTGCCTTTTGTAGGCATGCATTTAAATAATGTATTATTTGGTTATTCGCTTCCACGCAGCACTAAGGCGGTAGCTATCCGAACGGTTAAAGTTATTTCGATTTCTTTCAATTTCTTCTAGATTTGAAGCTTTCGTGACTGTAAGGATTCATACTCTTAGTTTTGTCGGTAAAGTCACGTAGGAAAAAAAATGAAATAAAAATTAATAAAAATAAAATAATAAATCACGACGTTTCGGAGGCAACACAAGTCTCCGTCATCAGGAGGGACCGTCACAGCCAGATTTGCTGTATCAAGTGAGGCAGGGATTCCAAGATGCAAGATCTTAAATACAAGTTAAGGGGGAGGGGGGAGCTTATCAGAATGTGGTAGCCAATGAATGGAACGTATTGGGAGGGGGGGCGGGGTTAAAAGATAGATTATCTGATTAGTCTTGGCCAGTAGTAGCTGGTTTTGCACAAAACTTCAACATTATCAAAATCAATTGAGTGTCCTCTCTATGGACATTATCAAAATCAATTGAGTGTCCTCTCTCTGGATGATATTGATCGCGAAAGCCTACGTGTTAAACAGATATACTGCTGTTCATATACAGTACCGCTCTTTGTCAGTCCACTGCTGGATGAGGGCCTTCACCACGCTGTGCGGGTCGTGGGGGTTATGTGACCATACTTCACCGCACCGGTCAATGCGGGTTGGTGAAGGCGGCGGGCGTTAACGCGGACACATTGCAGCGCAGTGCAACGTTGTACGCATTCAACTGCACTGCCCTCTGCTTTCCACGAGGTAGCTCCCGCAGCAGCCTATGACACCTGTTATGCATGGTGGTCGCCCATCATAGCACTTATCCTGCAAGGCTCACACCTGCCTCGCTCCCGAGATCCGATTAGATCGGGCACGTTCTGGGTGATTTGGTTGTTCAAATCACTGCGCCTGATAATTCGGTTTAATTTCCGGTTGTTGAAACCAGATTAAAACTCAGGTGTTTCAGCAGGCTGGTTCAATGCTCTGACACATCTATGATGATGTAGTAATAATAACACTTTAATTTTGCATAGCGTCATTCATGCCAACAGCATCCCGCAACGCTGTACATTCATTTATGACTATCATGAGCCAAGAATGTCTGTGTGTCCCACGCGTGACGTCACTCCACGTCGGCCAGCCCCCCTCATTAATAATCATGAATAGGTGACGTCCTCCATATGGACCCCCCCTCATTAATAATCATGAGCGGGTGACGTCACTCCACATCGAACAGCCCCCCACATTAATAGTCATGAAGAGATGACGTCTTCCAAATGGACCCCCAACATTAATATTAATTAGCGGGTGACGTCACTCCACATGGGGGGGGGCCGGGGCGCCTCCTCCCCCTTCCTCGGCGTCAACTCACAACCCTCACTACGAAGGCAGAAGCCTCACGTCACGTGATCTCCGTAGCGCTGTTGAGACATCAAAGTAAAAAGGACGTCATAATGAACAAGGGATTATAACCTTCAAATTAAATAAGTCTGTGTCCCCGCGGCCTTACAAATTGCACACGAATTGATGCAGTGAATATCACGTCGCTTTCGCTTGCAAGTTTCAAATTTACTGAAACACACCCGTCCTTGGACGGGCAAAAGGCTAATTATATACATAAGGACCAAATCCCATTTCCGCGGTTGGCTATCCACGGTGCGAAAGAAGTCCAACACACACACACCCATACCAAACAAACGAAAACCCGACTACCAAGCAAAATAAAAAAATGAATAAACGAATTAAGAAATTGCATCAAAACAAAAATCACGTACAACAAAAACATATAAAAAAGTTATCACAACAAAGAAATGCCTTGAGGTCTACAATTGCAACATCCCAGACCACAACCCCAACTCGCCAATCAAGCCAGGATACCTTCACAGGATGGGCAGTCGTGGAATGCCAACAGGTTACTTACTCATTTGTATCAATCGGTCCAGAGACAGCCATTACGAACGTTATTGAGACTGAGAGGCACCTCTACTGACCGGGATGGAATCCATAATTTCAGCCTTTCTGGCCCAATGCCTCCGATGTGGGCCACAATGAACCCACTGGTTGAGCCGCGTGGTGGCGAATTTAATCGCCGTCGTATTAGTCGAATCCCTGCAGTCACGAAAGCTTTAAATCGAAAATTAGTCGATGTAATTGTGGCATCACCAAACACAATCAACTTCAATCATCACCTTTTAATGGTAGCATTTCGCTGGATAATTGTGGGAATCATGGCACCGGAAGAAATGCACATTTCACGATAGTTTTGTGCTCATTTTGCCTGTTTAAAATTCAACAAGCAAGAGTCCAAGGTCAGAACTGAACTCAATATCAATACTCTGACGATAATTTAAAAAAAATTACGGTGGCGAGATGTTAACTACCTCGCTTGGTATACAGGAGATCGTGGGTTCAATCCCGACCCTGACACCTGTATATTTAGAGGTTGTACTGTATGTCGCTCTTTCTCTCCCCGTGGTCGCGTGGACCTTCCCAAGGTACTCTGGGTTTTCCCTCCACATTTAGAATCAACATCCGTTTAGAGTATTTGGCTGCAATACATTTCCACATGATGATGAGCCACTTCGTTGGGCTATCATTTGTGGCAAGGTCGCTTCTGGAAAAGAGTTAAGGAACTCAGTGGGCCTTACCTGGTAAAAAATAAAAACAATTGTTCATAGTTTAGTTTAAATGAGACAATATCAGCTCGAGGCATTTCCTTCCAATCTCCTGCAACAGCCCATCGTGGGCTCTGTCACAATTAACAGGCGCTCATTAACATCGATTTGTGTTAACGAGCGGTGAGTATCTCTGCGGTTACGTGTGTATGGGATGTTTGTTGCTGTTTATGTACATGTGATTTTCGACATGAGCAACAAACGTAATATAAAAACAATCTAGATCATTAAGGATATATTAAATAAGTGATTTCATATAGTGTGTTGTGATTAATTGATATGTTAAATAAGCTTATTATTTTTTGATTTAAAGCGTTCGTGACTGCAGGGATTCATTCATATTCTTGGTTCTTTCGGTAAAGTCACGTAGATGATGATGATTGCTTGTGTTGCAGTCGAAACGTCGTGAGAATTGTTATTGTTTAATATTTTTTATTATTTTATTATTTCCCTTCTACGTGACTTTACCGAAAGAACCAAGAATATACGTTTTTTTTATCATTAAAGATGTTGTCGACAATTGAACGTACAGCCGTATATAAAATCAAACAACAACAAAGAGCATGTCATACGTGGATGTGTGAACGTGTCTATGGTTAGCAGTCGCTACAATGGTTGGAACCTGCCTTGAGTTGGATTTCCAGTCACGGCTCACATCAGTGGCTAGTGATATCTGAACCGGTCCTGAGCCTCCACGTAGGTCCACTCAGCCCTAAGTGAGTACCTGGTGCGGTGCGTAGTACACATCGCGAATGGGGGAGACAAAGGCGGCCGGGCGCGGTGTTGGCCACCCACCCTCTCGTGTGACGTGACAGCCTTCAATAGGTGCTCGCTAACAGCACTTGCCTCTACAGTCTATGAAGGCTATACGGGGGATCTTAGTATGTATTTGTGAATGTGTATGTGTGCATATGTACTGTATGTAATTATTTATGCACGTATGTGTGTATACTTACGTGTGTATTATTACAGTACTGTATTGGGTAGGTACACGTGTTTGAGTGGGTATGCATGTGAATGCATGTGTATAGATAGATAGATAGATTTCCGCTCGCGGCCAGCAACGTCAAGGACACATTTCTGAACCGGTCCTGGGTCTCCGCTGGGTAGACTCAGCCTTAAACGTGTGTGTAAAAAAAAAACACCACCAGCACCTGGGGGAGACAAAGGCGGCCGGGCGTGGCGTTGGCCAAGCCACCCCTCCCGTGTGCCGTACGGCATTTGCCACCCCCACCCACCCACCCCCAGCAGCCTGTTAGGATTATACCGGGAATCATCTCGTCTTGTGTGTGTGTGTGTGCATTCCCACCGCAGGTATTGTGGTCAATAAAAACATGATGACTCCTTGTAAAAAAAAAGGTGTCAGTTTTGTCGCCAGATAAAAGGGTTAAAAAAATTTATATCATATTTTGCTACTGCCAAAGGAGGTTCCAATGGTGCATATGTATGGTTATGTGCCCGTGCGTGGGTGTGCACACACGCGGGTGCGCGTGCGTGTGTGCACACACGTGCGTGTGTGTGCGCGTGCGTGTGTGTGCGCGTGCGTGGGTGTGCACATACACGCGCGTGTGTGTGCGTGTGTGTGTGCACACACGTGCGTGGGTGTGCACACACACGCGCGGGAGCGCGTGCGTGTGTGCACACACGTGCGTGTGTGTGCGCGTGCGTGTGTGTGCCCGCGCGTGTGTGTGCACACACACGTGCGCGTGCGTGTGTGCACACACGTGCGTGTGTGTGCGCGTGCGTGGGTGTGCACACACACGTGCGCGTGCGTGCGCGTGCGTGTGTGCGCGTGCGTGGGTGTGCACACACACGCGTGCGTGTGTGCGCGTGCGTGGGTGTGCACACACACGCGCGCGTGCGTGCGCGTGCGTGTGTGCGCGTGCGTGGGTGTGCACACACACGCGTGCGTGTGTGCGCGTGCGTGGGTGTGCACACACACGCGCGCGTGCGCAGACCAACCAGCAAAGCGGAGAGAGGAGGAGGAGGAGGGCGCGCGCGCATTAAGCCAAACAAGAGACCGTCATTATTCAGCGAGCGGAGTTAAGAGAAGCGGGGAGATGTAATTCATTCATCGCCACACATTCAAACAGGAAGGACAGAGCGAACAGGGTGAAGTCGAGGAGACAGCACAAAGACAAAGACGAGAGAGAGAGAGAGCTTGAAAGCTACGGCAAGAGAGAGAGAGAGAAAGGCAGCAAGCAAGGGGGGGATAGAATGTTTATCCAGGCAGGAAAGAGAGGGCATTAAAGCAGGCAAGAGGAGAGAGGGGGGTAGGAGAGGCACATAGGCTGGGGGAACGACGCAGAGAGAGAGACACAGACAGAGTGGGAGCTTCTGTTCTGGCAGTGAGGAGCGTCCCGAGATCATTATTCGCGTAGAGAGGAAGAGGGGGAGAGAGACACACACGGCAGACTCGGATGATGATAGAGAGAGGGCACATTCCATATATACGGGGCAGTCGGGGTGAGAGTCGGAGTGAGTGTGGACTGCGGAGGTAGCGGTGGGAGGGTGGGGAGAGAGAGAGACACACACACTGAGTTTAAATCCGGCGGATATACAACAATTTAGAGAGATTCACGTGGAGATAGATCATTAATTTGGCGTGTCGAGACAGTGGCGGTGAATCCCGACAGTGAATGAATATTAAGGGGGTGGGAGGCAAAAGAGAGGGAGAGTCACATCGACTGGCAATGCAGGAATAGCGAATAGCACTCAGTTGAGAGAGAGATCGAGAGAGAGAGAGATCGAGAGAGAGGGAGAGAGTCACATCGACTGGCAATGTAGGAATAGCGAATAGCAGCAGCGGCAGCAGCACTCTGTTGAGGAAGAGAGGCAGGGAGAGAGAGAGAGATCGAGAGAGAGATCGAGAGAGAGGGAGAGAGTCACATCGACTGGCAATGCAGGAATAGCGAATAGCAGCAGTTGAGGGAGAGAGGCAGGGAGAGAGATCGAGAGAGATCGATACGCACGCACTGCTGGTCACACAGGGGAGGGTGGAGAGAGTCGGAGAGGGTGAAGAGAGCAGATGAGAGGGAGGAGAGGGCGGCAGGCTGGCTATATATACGAGGGGTAACGAGGGGTAACGTGGGGTAACGAGGGGTCGTTGAGGCTCGAGGAGGAAGAAGAGGAGGGAGCCGTGGGAGAGGCTCTGGCGCTGTGAGCCGCAGCGACTCCTCCACCAGGAGCCGCAGACTCCGAACGAGCGGGGGGCGAGTCGGGGATAGCGCACACGGTGAGATGTGTGTGTCTGTGTGTGTCTGTGTGTGTGTGTCTGTGTGTGTGTCTGTGTGTGTGTGTCTGTGTGTGTCTGTGTGTGTGTGTCTGTGTGTGTGTGTCTGTGTGTGTGTGTGTCTGTGTGTGTGTGTCTGTGTGTGTGTGACGTGTGTGTGTCTGTGTGTACGTGTGTCTGTGTGTGTGTCTGTGTGTGTGTGACGTGTGTGTGTGACGTGTGTGTGTGTGTGTGTCTGTGTGTGTGTCTGTGTGTGTGTCTCTGTGTGTGTGTGTCTGTGTGTGTGTGTGTCTGTGTGTGTGTCTGTGTGTGTGTGTCTGTGTGTCTGTGTCTGTGTGTGTGTCTGTGTGTGTGTCTGTGTGTGTGTGTAACGTGTGTGTGTGTGTACGTGTGTGTGTGACGTGTGTGTGTGTCTGTGTGTGTGTGACGTGTGTGTGTGTGTGACGTGTGTGTAACGTGTGTGACGTGTGTGTGTGTCTGTGACGTGTGTGTGTGTCTGTGTGTGTCTGTGTGTGACGTGTGTGTGTGTCTGTGTGTGTGTCTGTGTGTGTGTGTAACGTGTGTGTGTGTGACGTGTGTCACTGTGTGTGTCACTGTGTGTGTGTCTGTGTGTGACTGTGTGTGTGTCTGTGTGTGTGTGTCTGTGTGTGTGACGTGTGTGTGTGACGTGTGTGTGTGTCTGTGTGTGTCTGTGTGTGTGTGTCTGTGTGTGTGTCTGTGTGTGTCTGTGTGTGTGACGTGTGTGTGTGTCGTGTGTGTGTGTGTCTGTGTGTGTGTGTCTGTGTGTGTGTGTCTGTGTGTGTGTGTAACGTGTGTGTGTGTCTGTGTGTGTAACGTGTGTGTGTGTCTGTGTGTGTAACGTGTGTGTCTGTGACGTGTGTGTGTGTGACGTGTGTGTAACGTGTGTGTGTGTGTAACGTGTGTGTGTAACGTGTGTGTCTGTGTGTGTGTGTGTGTCTGTGACGTGTGTGTCAGTGTGTGTGTGTCTGTGTGTGTGTCTGTGTGTGTGTGTCTGTGTGTGTGACGTGTGTATGTGACGTGTGTGTGTGTGTAACGTGTGTGTGTGTCTGTGTGTGTGTGTCTGTGTGTGTGTCTGTGTGTGTGTCTGTGTGTGTGAGACGTGTGTCTGTGTGTGTATGTGTGTGTGTGTGTGTGTGAGACGTGTGTCTGTGTGTGTCTGTGTGTGTGTCTGTGTGTGTCTGTGTGTGTGTGTGTCTGTGTGTGTCTGTGTGTGACGTGTGTGTGTGTGTGACGTGTGTGTAACGTGTGTGACGTGTGTGTGTGTCTGTGACGTGTGTGTGTGTGTCTGTGTGTCTGTGTGTGTGACGTGTGTGTGTGTGTGTGTCTGTGTGTGTGTCTGTGTGTGTGTGTAACGTGTGTGTGTGTGACGTGTGTCACTGTGTGTGTCACTGTGTGTGTGTCTGTGTGTGACTGTGTGTGTGTCTGTGTGTGTGTGTCTGTGTGTGTGACGTGTGTGTGTGACGTGTGTGTGTGTCTGTGTGTGTCTGTGTGTGTGTGTGTCTGTGTGTGTGTCTGTGTGTGTCTGTGTGTGTGACGTGTGTGTGTGTCGTGTGTGTGTGTGTGTCTGTGTGTGTGTGTCTGTGTGTGTGTGTCTGTGTGTGTGTGTAACGTGTGTGTGTGTCTGTGTGTGTAACGTGTGTGTGTGTGTCTGTGTGTGTAACGTGTGTGTCTGTGACGTGTGTGTGTGTGTGACGTGTGTGTAACGTGTGTGTGTGTGTGTGTAACGTGTGTGTGTAACGTGTGTGTGTGTGTCTGTGTGTGTGTGTGTGTCTGTGACGTGTGTGTCAGTGTGTGTGTGTCTGTGTGTGTGTCTGTGTGTGTGTGTCTGTGTGTGTGACGTGTGTATGTGACGTGTGTGTGTGTGTAACATGTGTGTGTGTCTGTGTGTGTGTCTGTGTGTGTGTCTGTGTGTGTGTCTGTGTGTGTGAGACGTGTGTCTGTGTGTGTATGTATGTGTGTGAGACGTGTGTCTGTGTGTGTCTGTGTGTGTGTCTGTGTGTGTCTGTGTGTGTGTGTCTGTGTGTGTGTCTGTGTGTGACGTGTGTGTCTGTATGTGTGTGTGACGTGTGTGTATGTGTGTGTGTGTCTGTGTGTGTGTGTCTGTGTGTGTGTGTGTGTCTGTGTGTGTGTGTCTGTGTGTGTGTGTGTCTGTGTGTGTGTGTCTGTGTGTGTAACGAGTGTGTCGTGTGTGTCTGTGTGTGTAACGTGTGTGTGTGTCTGTGTGTGTAACGTGTGTGTGTGTAACGTGTGTGTGTGACGTGTGTGTAACGTGTGTGTGTGTGTGTAACGTGTGTGTGTAACGTGTCTGTGTGTCTGTGTGTGTCTGTGTGTGTGTGTCTGTGACGTGTGTGTCTGTGTGTGTGTCTGTGTGTGTGTCTGTGTGTGTGCCTGTGTGTGTGACGTGTGTGTGTGACGTGTGTGTGTGTGTGTGTGTGACGTGTGTGTGTGTGTGTGTAACGTGTGTGTGTGTCTGTGTGTGTGTGTCTGTGTGTGTGTCTGTGTGTGTGAGACGTGTGTCTGTGTGTGTCTGTGTGTGTGTGAGACGTGTGTGTGTGTGTCTGTGTGTGTGTAACGTGTGTGTGTGACGTGTGTGTGTGTCTGTGTGTGTCTGTGCGTGTGTGACGTGTGTGTGTGCCTCTGTGTGTGTCTGTGTGTGTCTGTGACGTGTGTGTGTGACGTGTGTGTGTGTGACGTGTGTGTGTGTCTGTGTGTGTGTGACGTGTGTGTGTCTGTGTAACGTGTGTGTGTGTGTGTGACGTGTGTGTGTGACGTGTGTGTGTGACTTGTGTGTGTGACTTGTGTGTGTGTAACGTGTGTGTGTGACGTGTGTGTAACGTGTGTGTGTGTCTGTGTGTGTAACGTGTGTGTCTGTGACGTGTGTGTGTGTGACGTGTGTGTAACGTGTGTGTGTGTCTGTGTGTGTAACGTGTGTGTGTGTCTGTGTGTAACGTGTGTGTCTGTGACGTGTGTGTCTGTAACGTGTGTGTAACGTGTGTGTGTGTGTAACGTGTGTGTGTAACGTGTGTGTCTGTGTGTGTGTGTGTGTCTGTGACGTGTGTGTCAGTGTGTGTGTGTCTGTGTGTGTGTCTGTGTGTGTCTGTGTGTGTGACGTGTGTGTGTGTCGTGTGTGTGTGTGTGTCTGTGTGTGTGTGTCTGTGTGTGTGTGTCTGTGTGTGTGTGTAACGTGTGTGTGTGTCTGTGTGTGTAACGTGTGTGTGTGTGTCTGTGTGTGTAACGTGTGTGTCTGTGACGTGTGTGTGTGTGTGACGTGTGTGTAACGTGTGTGTGTGTGTGTGTAACGTGTGTGTGTAACGTGTGTGTGTGTGTCTGTGTGTGTGTGTGTGTCTGTGACGTGTGTGTCAGTGTGTGTGTGTCTGTGTGTGTGTCTGTGTGTGTGTGTCTGTGTGTGTGACGTGTGTATGTGACGTGTGTGTGTGTGTAACATGTGTGTGTGTCTGTGTGTGTGTCTGTGTGTGTGTCTGTGTGTGTGTCTGTGTGTGTGAGACGTGTGTCTGTGTGTGTATGTATGTGTGTGAGACGTGTGTCTGTGTGTGTCTGTGTGTGTGTCTGTGTGTGTCTGTGTGTGTGTGTCTGTGTGTGTGTCTGTGTGTGACGTGTGTGTCTGTATGTGTGTGTGACGTGTGTGTATGTGTGTGTGTGTCTGTGTGTGTGTGTCTGTGTGTGTGTGTGTGTCTGTGTGTGTGTGTCTGTGTGTGTGTGTGTCTGTGTGTGTGTGTCTGTGTGTGTAACGAGTGTGTCGTGTGTGTCTGTGTGTGTAACGTGTGTGTGTGTCTGTGTGTGTAACGTGTGTGTGTGTAACGTGTGTGTGTGACGTGTGTGTAACGTGTGTGTGTGTGTGTAACGTGTGTGTGTAACGTGTCTGTGTGTCTGTGTGTGTCTGTGTGTGTGTGTCTGTGACGTGTGTGTCTGTGTGTGTGTCTGTGTGTGTGTCTGTGTGTGTGCCTGTGTGTGTGACGTGTGTGTGTGACGTGTGTGTGTGTGTGTGTGACGTGTGTGTGTGTGTGTGTAACGTGTGTGTGTGTCTGTGTGTGTGTGTCTGTGTGTGTGTCTGTGTGTGTGAGACGTGTGTCTGTGTGTGTCTGTGTGTGTGTGAGACGTGTGTGTGTGTGTCTGTGTGTGTGTAACGTGTGTGTGTGACGTGTGTGTGTGTCTGTGTGTGTCTGTGCGTGTGTGACGTGTGTGTGTGCCTCTGTGTGTGTCTGTGTGTGTCTGTGACGTGTGTGTGTGACGTGTGTGTGTGTGACGTGTGTGTGTGTCTGTGTGTGTGTGACGTGTGTGTGTCTGTGTAACGTGTGTGTGTGTGTGTGACGTGTGTGTGTGACGTGTGTGTGTGACTTGTGTGTGTGACTTGTGTGTGTGTAACGTGTGTGTGTGACGTGTGTGTAACGTGTGTGTGTGTCTGTGTGTGTAACGTGTGTGTCTGTGACGTGTGTGTGTGTGACGTGTGTGTAACGTGTGTGTGTGTCTGTGTGTGTAACGTGTGTGTGTGTCTGTGTGTGTAACGTGTGTGTCTGTGACGTGTGTGTGTGTGACGTGTGTGTAACGTGTGTGTCTGTAACGTGTGTGTCTGTAACGTGTGTGTCTGTGTGTGTGTGTGTGTCTGTGACGTGTGTGTCAGTGTGTGTGTGTCTGTGTGTGTGTCTGTGTGTGTGTCTGTGTGTGTGACGTGTGTATGTGACGTGTGTGTGTGTGTAACGTGTGTGTGTGTCTGTGTGTGTGTGTCTGTGTGTGTGTCTGTGTGTGTGAGACGTGTGTCTGTGTGTGTATGTGTGTGTGTGTGTGTGAGACGTGTGTCTGTGTGTGTCTGTGTGTGTGTCTGTGTGTGTCTGTGTGTGTGTGTGTCTGTGTGTGTCTGTGTGTGACGTGTGTGTGTGTGTGACGTGTGTGTAACGTGTGTGACGTGTGTGTGTGTCTGTGACGTGTGTGTGTGTGTCTGTGTGTCTGTGTGTGTGACGTGTGTG